GAATCCAGCGCGCACTTACGGCTTCCCCGGCATGCAAGGCAACCTCCGTATATAGCTGAACTCGCTTTCTTGGCTGGCGAGCGCGCGACCGCCACAGCAGTCTGGGTGCTCGCCATGCAGCAGGAGCGTTTACAGCGCACCTCTTTCATGCCGGTACTGTATCTGAGGCAATGCGCGCTTGACATCCTTCACGAGTGACCGCTTCAAGCAACACACGTCTTCAGCAACTATACTTTACAGATCCGATGGCCTATGCGCATGCTTGACTCACCGACTGTACCGCCGCCCTTGTATATATGCATTCATTCACACATACTTCTGACACTCAAGACTATCCTGCTGACTGCAGCTGCTGCGTCTCGCCAAAGTCGCGCTTTACACGCTTCTCTGCGCCGGAAGTAACGCCTTCCACAGCGCGCATGTCCGGTGGAAGGTGGTGAGCCACGTGACCGGAAAGTGACATCACGTGCGCATGCAACATGCGCGCTCGTCAAGCCGAATCTTGAATCTGGTCACCAGTGTATCGAGCGTGCCTTCTAGCGTTCTCACACCGATCATCGACAAATTGAAGTCATCGCTGTCTTTCAGCGAAGTCTGCCTCATCATGGTGGCCTACGATGCCGCGCACACGGCTGAGCTCAAGAAATGGCTCTCGGAGCAATTGGACGGTATCTGCGATGCCGATCCAGAGGTCCTTTCTGACTATGTGCTTGCCCTGCTCAAGCACGAAGTGTCGGATGACGCACTCTCTGGCATCCTCACAGAATCACTAGAAGACTTCCTAGCTGAGCGTGAGTTGTCGGAGTTCTCCGCTTGATCGGCTCATTGCCGCGTGCTGACTTGATCAATCGCTCGCGCAAGCAGATACCGAACCTTTTGTAAAACTAGTCCATGCAGCTCTCAAGGACCAGTCTTATCTTCCCGCAGCTTCACGCAAGCGACAAGCTTCAGAGGCACCTGCAGCATCATCTAGTCAAATTCCCTCCGCAGCCACCTCTGTTCAAGGCGCCGGTGCAGAATCAGGGGATGGACCATCCTCTTCTAACGGGACCCGTCAGAGTGATCGCGGCGGTGATCGGGATCGCGAGCGCGATGGTAAAAGGAGAAAAGGGGACGGAGCAGGGGAGATCAGGCGCGGACTTTGTAGAGACTACCATCGTGAGTGCTACCATTGCGCGCGAGAATCCTGCGGCGTGTGCCTGACATCAGGCTTCACTATGCCGCCGTCACCGGTAGAAAAGGGCTGGTGCTCGCGCGGTGCAGAATGTAGATTTCAACACTCGACAGACGTGGTCAACGCGCCTGGCAACGGGGCGCACAACCACCCAAATTTCACTCCAAATGGCCCAATGCCAATGATGCTTGGCGCTGGTCCGATCAGGCTAGGTGGCCCAGGTGGTGCACCTCAGCCTTTTGGTGGCATGCAGCAGCCATTCGCATTCAGTGGACCCATGCCTCGAGGACCTTGGCCAGGACCAGGTCAGCCTGGCTTTTCTCATGCAGGAAGCCCACCAGTTGGTCCTCAAATGAACCCTGGAGGCCCACCGGATCAGGCGGCTGGGCCAGGCATGGGTGCGCAAATGCCGCCCAACTTTCCGCCTCAGCAGCAGCAACAGCCTTTCATGTCAGACAGCGCGGGCATGTCTGGAAGACCGGTGGTCGGTGGTCGCGGTGGAGGTCACCGTCAGCATCAAGGTACATTCCGGCAGAGGAAGAGCGAGACTGCCCTGGTAGTGGAAAACATCCCACCCGAGTCTTTGGAGCTGATCAAAGTCAACGAATTCTTCAAGCGCTTTGGCACTATCACAAATATTCAAATCGACGTACCTGGAAAGAAGGCATTGGTGGAATACTCTAAGCCGGACGAGGCCAAAGCTGCTATTAGCTGTCCTGACGCAGTGCTTGGCAATCGGTTTGTGAAGGTTTTCTTCCAGCGATTCGAGGATGGTTCATCCAATGGGCAGCCAGCTTCATCACCTGCTGCATCCACAGCCGCCCGTCCAAGACCACCTCCTCCAGAGAAACCGGCATTTGTAGTGGGACAAAACCAGTACCACGCACCTGGTGTGCCGGTCTCGGCAGGTCAACGCGCAAAATTGATCGCGATGCAGCACGGTGCACAGCGGAAGGTTGATCACCTGCTCGGAGAGCAAAAGACTTTAATGGCCGCCATCACCAGTCCTTTGACGTCGACGGAGGCCAAGAAAGCCTCGATGACGCGGATGAAAGCCATCGAGGGCGAATTGGGTGCTGCTACTACGCAGCTGAGAGAGGCGATAAAGGCTGTCCAGTCTTTGCCCCCTCCACCGCCTGCTGAGGATCCCGCGAAACGGAAGGAAATGAAAGAAAAGGCCGAGAGAGAGCAGATGGACAGAGAGTTGGATATGCATAGCCGAGGCGAGAGCAGCGAAAGCACGGAGGAGCTCAAAGCGAAGTTGGAAAAGCTCAGGGAAGAGGTGAGTAAATGAAGAGGTCGCTGCGACCGTTCTGCAATGTGCTAATATCAGCTTGTCTTCTGCCGGCGAACTCTTTCCAATGACAGGCCGCTGCGATTGGGTTAGATGCGAACGGCACACCCACTCATGAAGGCGGCTACAGGGGTAGAGGGCGCGGACGCGGGACTTACTTCTCCAGAGGTCGAGGCGCGTACGGGCAAAGGCCCAGCATGAGGCTCGATAATCGCACGACCAAGCTTGTTGTCAGTGACGTGCCCACGGAGCACAAGGAGCAAGTAAAGGAGCATTACAAGGTGAGCGAGAGGTGCAGGCAGGTAGGGCGCGAGGCAAGGCTAGAGTGCCTTGCAAGTACGTGCATCGATGGCTTAGACGCGTGTGCCCCCCTTTCCTCCACAGCAATTTGGCGAGGTGGAGGATATCTATGACTCGAGCCCGCGGGCATTCATCATCACGTACAAGGCGCGACCGAGCGGTGAAGCCGTGAGTAAAGAGCGAAAGCGTACGTCAGCACATGAGCTCGCGAATCAAAGCTGAGTGATCCGTCGTCCTTTCTCCTTTGTTGCTTCTTCCAGGCCATGCGGGCTAGCACGGAGATTGCCACCGTTGGGATAGTGAAGCTAGCATGGGCAGCAACGGATGCGGGACCACAGGCTCAAACCGTCTCGGCCGCCTCTGGTGCTCCCTCTTCCTCCTCAACACAGACCAGCAATGCGATATCGAGCTCATCGGACGGGAACAAGGCCGTCCCGAGCGATGGAGAAGCGGAAGAAGGAGAAGAGAAGGATTGGAGGCCTGCATGAACCTGTTGGGGACGAGCAGGGTAGCCGAGCAGAATGTCCGTGATGCAAAGGTCAACGCAAGGGACGTCAGATGATAAGCAAAAAAAGGGGGGGTCACGATCGACTTAGTAGTCCTACCTGTCCACTCTCTGTCGCAATATTATGCTACGCTGTGCAATGTGCTTTACCTTGGCCCCGAACATCGAGCGCACGACCGTTTGCGCATCTAGGTGGATAGAGCGATGATGCATTACATGACATGTGCAAGAGACGGGGTGAGATGCATGTGCGAGCAGGCAATTTCAAGAGGTAGTGCAAAAGTGCAAGAAGCTGCAAAGCGGAGCAGCGAGGTAGCGCTGCAAAGGTACATTTCTGCTGCTTGACTACCAAAGTGTCAAAGTGCTTGCTTGGCTCTAGCCAGGCGACACTTTTCGACGCATCTTCCGATGCCCTGCACATCCGAGAGCAGGGTGACGTGTCTGTGAGAAGTATGATGTTCTCCCAACTTTCCCTCTCCTCGAACAAGAAGCTTGGACCAAGAACCAGGAAGATCCATGGCGCTTCGAAGCGTAATGACGCCATCTCCGGGCTCGTATAGCATGCGGGAATAATCTCCCGCCCTCACGCCGATCTTCCAGCTCTCCGCTTCGGAGCTTTGTTCAGAGGGCGCATTTTCCGTGCGCACCAGAGCACCTCGGACCGTCGGTGTTCGACCTGACGCCAGGATAGCGATAGGCGGGTATTGTCCATCGTTGAGACGTGCTTCGTCAAATCCGTCTTCAAGCTCTTTGTGAAAGCGTCTTGTCTCGTCAAGGGTCTGCAAGGCCACCAGATCCTGTCATAAGCGGACGTCTAGATGCACGGCGAGATGATCCACCGGACTCACCCGAACCAGATATGCCCAGGTCTCTTCTTCCGACGGGGCAGTCGATTCGGCTTGTGCGGCGTCAGTATTCTTCTTTGCCTCCTCGTTCGTCGTCGTCGGAGCACGATACTGAGCAGGGGCAATTGGCAAAGCATTCAAACTTTCGTCTTTGATCATCTTGCTCGTCTCTGCGATATTTCTACTTGCTTCTGCAGTACCTTGGACAGCCTTGGCGACTGCTTGCCCACCTTTCGGGGAAGAGGCTTTGCCAGCCAGCTGCAGATCTAATCCGCCATCCAGACCCAAATTATTGCTTTGCGCATGATCGGCCCTCCGACTGTCTACAGAAGCTTCGCTAGATCGATGCTCGTCCAAAGCTGGCAGCTGCGTCTTTTCTTCGGACTGGACACGCGCTTGATACTCTTTGAAGCGCCCAGCCTCCAGACAAGGAGTGAGTCCCAAATCATCCCACACGTTTGGGTCGAAAAAGTCCAGGTCGAAAGGTTTGCCATCCTCCGACTCGAAACATCTGCCATCACGCGGAAGCAGGCTGAACGAAGATCTAAAAGAGAAAGTGGCGCGAGGAGAACAGACTAAAGGACAGCACGGAGTGTGTGTGAGTCGTCGGGCGGCTGGCGCACAAACTTGAGCGGGCGGCAGAAGCTCACCTTCGTCATTAAATAAAGCAGCATCTCCATACCGAAACGGTCCGAGAATGTTTGCAGTGCCCGCAAACGGAGTTGAGGCCAAAACGAGCTTGTCGAAGATCTTGGGATTGCTTGTCTGAGCAAGTGCGTGCAGAGCAACCAGGCCGCCCATGGAATGAGCAACAACAGTGGCTCCCTGGCGCTTGGACTCTTCCGCATGGCTCTCCTCGTAGAGCTTTGTCAGAAATTCCCTAAGGCGCTCGCTCGATCTGTGCAGGCTGAGTCTCCAATCGTAGCCCCACGAATGCACTGTAGGTCGCTTCTTGCCCGCTTCGATGCGAGAAGCTAGTCGTCCACCCATGTCTACCAGACGGCCGATGCCCATCAGAGATTCACCCGGCACCACTAGCTCTTCGGAATTTGCCTCTGCCTGCACGTCCAGATCAAGCTCCAGCGTTGGTCTGCGGAGCCCGACGCCGACCTGTTGGGAAAATGATGGACTGACAAAGTCTCAACATGCGGCGAGTGTGCGTAAGGCGCGTGGCGTTCAGGGCGACGCACCTTGATCGGAATCCACAGCATCTGTCCCGTTTCGGCGTCTCGTAGCACACTGCCTCTGTACCCGCCCATAATCACCACGTTGCCCTCGATGTTGTCAAAGTATCGTTTGGCACTGGGATCCTTGTGCACAGTTGGTATCAGTTCCGGCTCGTACGCGGCCGCTACGCTCGGTACCGCGGTATTTGGCCCTGGCGTCGGGCCATTGCGTGCACTTTGAGGACCATCGTTGGACATGGACGATGGACCCAGAACTCCCAGACTGGTAAGCCCATTCCATCCGCTAAGCATCTCCTTGATACGATTTGTACCCGCATTGAGGATCGATTGGCTCTGCTGCTGTTGCTGTTGCTTAGCGTGCTGCTCCGCTTCATCTCTCACCCTGTCGATCGGATCGACCGCTCCTGAGCCTTTGGCATGCTTGCGCTTCCCGCGCAGTGTGTCCCAAGGGTGTCGAACAGGCTCAGCCAAGCTACTCAAGCTTTGCCAGCCCGAAGAAGCCCCAAAGTGCGTATCATAGAACGCTTGCTTAGCTGTGGGATTTCTGTGGCTCGGAGAGATGAAGGTAGGCAGGCCCGAAGATGCTTTGCTCGAGCTTGTCGACATCGTCATATCTCGCCAGGGATAGCCCCTTGGGGTGTGCACCACAGGCGGTGGCGACTCGATTGGTGACAGAGGATGCGAGCCTGCGACTCGCAACTGAACATCCTCAACGGCCCCTGACTGATCTGCTCTCTCACGAGATGAAGCGCCCTGTGCTACCTGTACGGCACGCACGGGTACTTCTGTATCGACCTGCAATCTGTGCGAGCGTGAAGCATTCTTGAGGTCCTCTTCGTCATACATCGCTTCTGATTGTGAAGCTTCCTGCAGCGATCGCCGTCGCCTTCTTTGCCGGAACGAAACGGATCCATGTTCAGCCGAGGCGTCAAAAGAGTTCTTCCTGCTCGAAGGCCTTGCAACGTCCTCGTCCACGACATCGCGCTGGTCAAGACCTCGCTGGAAAACACGCTGCTCCGATTCCGTCTCCTCTTCCATTACAGGAGCTGCCCTAGAAGCAGCTGCGGAGAGCGCATCGCCTCGCAGCCCCGCTTGGACATTGGCAGCGTTCGTGGCAGGTGTGGACCGAGATCTTGTGCGCATCAACTCTGGTCGATCCTCCGATGTCGCAGTCTGATCACCAGCCTTGACCTTTGACGAAGACTTAAAGTCGAGCCACTGTTTGCTGGCCAAGGAGCTCCTCCTGCGCTCACCTCCTCTCTTGGAAGCTATATCGGCACGTCCGCCGTCATCGTACACCCAGCCCCGCTCGGATTCGGGTATGAACCTTCCGTTGGGCAACGGAGAAGCTCGAGAGGTGGAGGCTAGTGGACTTTTCCTGGTGGTGGTCACGCTCTGATTTCTCTGACCCTCCAGATCGCCTTCCTGATTGCTGGTTGTACCGCTTCGCATGGCGGGAGAAGGGGTCCTACTTGTGGCCCATGCTGGAAGGGATGGCAGCTTGAGGATGCTTCCGCTGCGAGGCGGGGAGCCAACAGGCGAGGTGGCCTTCGACGAGTCCTCAGCAGCGGCCATTGCATGCGCTATCGGCGATGCAACCTGGCAAGACTGCAAGATTGTGCGAATGTGAATGACTTCAAGAATGAAAAGCACCAGCAGCAACGTCGAAGATTCGTGATTGGCAAGAGCAAAGATCTCCTTCTCTAAGAGCAGAGATCTGAATGGACTGCTGCGAGCCCCTTTGGCTTGAATTGGACCGCTTCTTCCCCGGTAGGAACACGCGGCAGGTGTACCGTCCGTCACCTTTCTTGCTTGCATGTATCCGGCAGACCTGCCGGCACGGCCCCGGCAGCAAAGATCCGTGACCCTGCAGCCGAGATGCGAGAATCAGCATCGACAGTCACGATTCATTTGCTCAAAGTCTCGGAACTTCAGTCGCGAGTGGATAGTCACCAAAGGATAGTGTAAGGGCACGAGGGCGGGTCGAGGTGCCCGACTTGAAGGTGGATTGTGACGGAGCTCATGGCCCATGCGATTCACCGGTGCCGGAAGGTGAAGGAGGGGTGGGGTGTTGGGTCACGAGATAGAAGCACCACAATAATAATTGTGAATAGAATCACAACCGTGCGGGAGTAGAAGAGCCGCAGATACTTGTGACTTGTGACTTGATTGCATCAGCAGCTGCAAGAGGCGTGGCTGTGCTGCGCACAAAGCGGCGTGATCGTCATAATAATCCTGAATAGATCTATCTACACACGTACAACCAGTCGTGAGTCACCGTGTTGAGTCAGTCACGAGTGGTGAGTCTTGAGTGTCAGTATATAGCAGACCTGCTGCCTAAACAACATTGAAATTCACGTGAAACAGATTCAGATAAGACTGACATGGCGTAGGGTACCCTGTGGGCATCGAGTGAGGACCGCCATCAAATGATCGCCGTTGGACAATGTCTACGTGCATGTGTATTCGCGCTCTCTCTCGCCTCCATTCACTCGTTCACTCAGAATGACCGCACGGGGCTGAAGTGACGACAGTCTTGAGTGTGCAGCGTCACACTGACTTGATTTGATGGGTGTGACGACATTCACGAGCCGCGATTCAAGTTTGCGAATAGATGGTTGGATAGCTTCACAGCTCGTGGGACAGCATTTCAACGATCATTTGTGATGTTCTTGATTTGATGGGATTCCATTCTTATTCTTGATTCAGATTTGATTCAAGATTGCTACATAGTAGTGATTCACATTCAAGTGATTGTACCATTCGTGATTCAAGATTCTAATTGCGATGCCATTCACATTTTGGCGTTCTGCAAGGCGAGGTGCCAAGCACATGTGCCGAGCTGCCATTCACGAATTTTGGTGCACCAGATAGCGGCAGGCGGTGCATGCAGCGTGCGATCGTGGACGCATGCTCGCTCTCGCTCATCAATCGCGCTAGGTTCCTGGCGCATCGCGAGGATGGCGTGCAGGCAATAAGTGAAGAGTTACGAGTGGTGCAGCAGGCTCTTCTCACGCAGCGCAAGCCGCGGCAGGCCCCCCCCCCCCACGCTGTTCTGCCGCTTCGTTGCGAAGACCATGTGCATGATGCACCCGCGTGCCTCTTTCATGCGGCGTTTGCATGCAAGCAAGCAAGCATGCATCGACAAGCTTTGCGGCACAGCCTTCTTTCTCACTCAATACTCATCAGACTACCGGTACTACTGCTGCTGCGCTGCTCCCCATCATGCTGCCCTGCTGTGCGAAATCACCGCATACGAGCTGTACGCCCGAACGTGTCCTTCTGCTGTCCCTTCTGGCGCTCACGAGAATCGCAATCAAGTGAATCTCAATCAGGAGTGACGGATGGTGCGAAGGCTGTACAGTCGACTTGCAGTCACGAGTACATGTTGCCTCCGGTCCTCATCTACGGCAACGAGTTACAGCGACAAACACTTTCTGGCTTCTTGAGCTCCAACTCCCTGACACAACGGCATTGCGCGGACACACACACCACCAGATCACAAGCAGTCTTTCGATTTCCTGCGCTCGCGTCAAGAGCCAGCTTGAAGCCAGCCAGCCAGCCATCCACTCCACTCGCTCGCAAATCCGGTCGGCTCTCTGCACACGCAATATTGGCGCTACCTGTCCTGCTGCACGGCATCTAGCCTTCGTCTTCCTAAGCAATAGCTATACCTTGCTCCCGATCACTCGTCATGTCGGACGCGGCTCTCGATGGCGTGCCTTCACTGGGCGGCTCGCCCGTCATCTTCATCGCGGTCATTGCAGCGATAGCATGTGTCGTGGTCGTCGCTGCAGTGTTGATCTGCCTCTAGTAAGTCGAGGCAGCTGAGTATCGCGACCACGAGGAGCTATCTTCTCACCTTGACCACCTGTCTTCTCATATGCGGCACAGCTGCCGCCGACGAAGACGCAGAAAAGCAGCACTAGCACGAGCTTCGTTGGGCAATAATCTCAACACTTTGCACCCTGGTCCATCACTAGGTGGCCGCAGGGGAAGGGCGCAAGGCTCGGGTTTTGCGCCAGTCTCTCAGATGAATGATGACGAAGCTTTCAACGCCGCTCCTTCGCCTAGACACTCGTTGCAGTACGATGGAGCTTACGATCCGTACAATTCCGCCAACTCGACTGCTCTGCGCACTGGAGGTGCACCATACTCAAATCCATACGGGGTGGGCGCGGCTGTAGGCGGAAAGTACGATGAAAGCTCAGAAGTCCTTGCGACGCCCACTTCCACCAACAACGCACCTTTCAGTGGACGACCGGGTGGAGCTGCCGGTGGATCGGCTGGCGTGGGAAGCGCAGCAGGAGCAAATGCTTACAACAAGCCGAACAGGGCTCAACAGAGTTCCGCTGCTGGCCCAGGGCGCATGTATAGCGGCCATCAGCCCACTGCTAGCTATGGGTCCGGTTTCTCCGATGCATCGTACTCTGCGCCTCCTAGGAGAGAGGAGAGAAGCTCTTACTATGGCGGCGTGGGTGCTATGGAGCCCGCGTCTGACTACCTGCCCCCAGCGCAAGGCGCTCACAACTCCTACACCGCCAGCATGCCACCAACATCCTCAACTCACAATCAGGCACAATCGTGGACAGCATACGCGTCAGATGCACCGGCTCCGGAAGATGCTCCACCATCGCACGACTTTGGAGCGGCAGGATATGCTGCGGAAAAGCAAGCCCACATGGCTGCGCACACATCCAGTGCTAATTCCAGCAACACCCAATCGCTTCCCAATCCGTACAGCAGCGAACGAGGTGCGCGTCCATCTGCTTCCACCGGACATCCAGCAGCGACGCACGCGTCCGCTTCGATTTCGGCTTCCTATCCTCCTCCACAGACATCATCTGCGACAGAACCTCCTTCGTACGACGCCTTGTCCATCGATGAGAGGTCTGGCTACACTGCTGCTCAGCCTGAGAGCAGCAGCAGACCGCACAGTGAAGTCATGGCTGCTGGACCTAGCAGAGTGGACAGAGCATCCGGATCCTTCCCCAGCAGCAGCGCAAATGGCGGTCAGAACAAGTGGACAAGCGGAGACTTTAAGGATGGCGGCGCCGCGTGAGGTCCGCGTGCGCCAATTGGATACGCGTACTCGACGGCGAGCCTTCATCTTGTTTTGCTTTGAAGACCGCTTGGTCGCATGGCCTGTGCGTTCGCTGCGTCCCGCGTGTATTTGCTCCATATTCCTCTACACCTCTATCTCACATCACACACAAGGACAATTTTGCAATGTCGATCGTCGATCTTCATCAGTGATGCCACATTATTGTCCTTTGCTGATGTGCCCACCAAGCACGATGCGCTGCCAAAAGAGAAGAGCACCAGCGCGAGCTTGCTCACGCTTGGGACAAAAGTTTTGGACATTTGATACGTGATGAGAAGAGGGAGGGCATGCTGCGAGACGATCGAGTTAGATGAGATTTTGTGGGCGTGGTAAACATGTTGCGAACATCCATGTGACAAGACAGTGTTGCGAGAAGTGTAGACGTGTCAAGAGTGGTGATGATGAAAGAGATCGAAGTTGAAAAATCGGGGCCCAAGCAGGGTCGCACTTCCATGGCAAAAGTTGGAGAGTAAAAAAAAAAAATTGGGTGCGAGGTCCTCCTTCCTCGCCGGGCAAATGCCATCGAGGCCATCAAAATCGATCGGAAGACATATCCGCAAACGAGGATCTCCTACCTCCTCCTCCTCGTCGTCCTCCTCCTCCTCCATCAAAATCAGAGTCTCGCGCTCCTCGATCTCTTCGTCCATACGATCCCGACTCGTCTCGATCGAACATCCCGTCATTTCTTCCGTACGATGGAGAGAAATTGTTTCGACCGCCTCTATCGAACCCTCTAAATCCGCCGCCTCTCCCAAATCCTCCTCTCCCGCCTCCTCTTCCACCTCTACCTCCTCCGAACCCACCCTTGGCAAATCCGCTGCCTCGTCTGTCATTCAAGCCGAGCTTGTCGATCATCATCTTGGAGACGTACAAGCGTTCCGAACCTCTGCTCAAACTATCCACCCACTCCTTTTGCCCTTCCAGAGCGGCCGATTTGCTGAGATTGAGAGCGTCCGCATGACCAGAAATAAAGCCCAGGTGGGACATGGCAATGCCGACCAACCTATCGTTGCCGCTCTCCTCCGACATCCTGCTGATCTGCTCGCCCAGCACACTCTGCACGTGCCCCGGGTCCAGCTTCTCCGAAAAGGAGCCCACAAATTTGGCCTGAGGTATCCTGAACCCGTTCGGTTCCCGACGCTGCCGGGGATCCGGTCTCTGATCTGGACCCGTCAGCATTTTCAAAGTTTTCCGATCCACGACGGATTCTGGTTCCTCGTCGTACCTCTTGCACAGATCCTGCAATTCCTGTTGAAAGTCGCTGAAAGCCAGCTCTTGCACTGGGGCCAATTTGGACAGCACACCGGTCAAGAAGGGCTTCTCGCAAGGCGCAAGGATGATATCACCGCGCCCATCAGCTCCCGCACGACCTGTCCGGCCGACTCGGTGGATGTAGTTGTCGGCACCAGGTGGAACGCTGATCTGAATGACTCTGGTGGTGCCAGGGTAATCCACACCTCGAGCAGAGACATCAGATGTGACAAGGACAGCAGCTCCGTTCTTGTACGATCTGAATTGACTGGAGACCCTGAACCTCTTATCCTGATCCTTGCCGCTGTGGATCACGTTCATAAACGTCGACGTGCCGCATGGCAACAAGCTCTTGACGCTCTTGGAAAGCAGGAGCTCAGAGATGAACTCAGTGAGCTTCGTAGTGGGCGCAAAGATGATCACCTTGCTCTTGCCTGCATTGACGATCTGGTCGTGCGCGACCAAATTGACGAGATGCACCATCTGATCCATGCCAGACGGGGCTTCTGTGGCGAATTGAGGAATGTTTTGGTGCACGTTCTCCTCCCCCTCTGGCACAGTGTCGATGAATCGGTGACTCTTTTCCAGCAATGAGTGTGTCAACTTCCGGATCTCCTTTGAGACGGTAGCGCTGAAGAGGAAGTTGGTCCTTTGCTCCCTGGGCGGCAAGTACTCTCTGATTTTGGCAATGTCGTCTCTAAAGCCCATATCCAGCAGTGTGTCGGCCTCGTCCAGGATGAAAGTCTGCGTGGCCGAAATGGCATCTCTGACCATCTCGTCTTCCTGTAGCAGATCCAACAGGCGACCTGGTGTGGCGACCACGACGTCCGGTCTGCCCCTTCGCCAATCCTTGAGCTGCATATGTCTGCTCGCTCCGCCGACCAGCAGTCTGCATTCGTAACCTTCGTGAAAGTGGTGCAGCTTGATGGCTTCGTTTGCAATCTGTGTTGCCAGCTCTCGCGTAGGGGAGATGACCAGCGTACCCACCGTATTGGCGACGTACTGCCTGACCAGAGCTTTTCTGCCGTGCTTGTCGAGCGAGCTGAAGTCAAAGTCGGGTCGATGCCGTTTGAGCATCTCTGAGAATGGCTGGTTAAAGATGCCCCTCTCCACATCGTGGATCGCATTGATGCGCGATTCCACCGCGGGCACCATAAATGCTAGCGTCTTGCCTGTGCCCGTCTTTGCCTTTACGAGCAAGTCGCGCCCTTTGCCATCCTCCATCTCGCCCGATTTGACATCCGCCAGCTTGGGCAAGAGGTGCAGAACCTCTCTCTGCACGTCGGACATGTCCACATAGCCAAAAGGCTTGACTGTGAGCGCCTTGAATGTGCCGTAATCGATATGACCTTTGAGCGAAGCGAAAGTTCCATCCCGAGGCACGACAGGCTTAGGAGCCCTGGCCGCTTGCTCCTCCTCTTGTTGCCTCTGCTCGTCCTCTTCCTCGAGCTCTGCCTCCGATGCTACAGCGCTTTCTGCGGTAGAGTAGCTACGCACGGCCAGAGCTGACTTGACATGAGAGGTGAAAGCATTCCTCGGGGTGCTCGAGCTGACTGGTCCGAATGCGGTGCTGGCGCTCAGCAACGCTGAAATTGTGCTGGTGCCCGCAGAGAGTAGCCGCACGCTAGTCCTAGCACCGCTGCGCCTCGCGCCCGCAAGAGCCGCATTGACTGCTCTACGAGCGATCATGGCTCGGTTGGTGGATTGTAGCGTAGCGTGTATGCGTTTCCGGTCTCCACGATGTTTTCTAGAACGCTAAATGAAGATGTACGCGATGGCAAAGTGGGTGTATGTAGTGGCACCAGCAGTGGGCGCTCGAGGTGCCTCCTGAAAAGCTCTGCAACGATCGTACGAAGCTAATGTTGAGATCACAAACGAAGGAATGCAAGCAAGAAGTCTGAGATTGCTGGTTGTGGGAGGAGGGGTGGAGCGAAAAGGGAAAGGGCTTTTGGAAGGTGGGCGCAAGACCTTATAGCAGCCATCTATCTGCAGCTCTTGAACGGGCTTTGTCATGCAAAGGAAGACAATCACGACATTCACCAATCTTCAAAAATTCACAATTGATTTTTTGGTTGCGCAGACGTAGGAAAGCGTGTACTCGGCCGATAGGGAGGCGGCGATCGGGTCACGTGGCACGCGGTAGTCGTTCGCGCGGGCTCCGCGGTCTTTGGTGCGAAGTCAGAGTCAATTAAGAGTCAAGAGTTGATGCACTCGATATAATAATCACGAACGACTTGACTTTAAATCAAAATCAAAATGGTTAGCGGGCCGAGTCACGGGTGCTGCACGGCGGGGGTTTGCTGCACGCACGGCCACGAACAAATCGACGTTTGCTTTGGCTGTGCAAGCACACACCATCCTCACTCTTGCTTCGATTGCCAAAGAATCAAACAGGGCTGCACACGATCTTGTCATACGATGGCCTCAGCATCGATCTCAGACGCTTGGACGCCAAGCAGCTGGCGAACAAAGCCGATCGCCCAAGATGTGCTCTATCCGGATCAAGCAGAGCTGAACAGGGCTACGGAGAGATTGAAGCAGTTGCCAGGTCTGGTGACCCCATTCGAGATCGAAAAGCTGAGGAAGCAGCTTGCAGATGTAGCGGATGGCAAGGTGGGCCAAGCTATGAACCTTGTCTGCGCTTGCTCAGTAGAAAGTACGCTGACATCCTCTTCACTCGTGACTGCGCGTTGTACAGGCCTTTTTGTTGCAGTCTGGCGATTGCGCAGAGTTGTTCACAGACTGCGTGCCTTCAAAGATCGATGCCAAGGTGAAGCTCAGCTTGTTGATGAGCTTGATCCTGATTTGGGGTGGCAGATTACCCGTGGTGCGGGTCGGAAGGATAGCAGGGCAGTATGCCAAGCCGAGGAGTAAAGCCACAGAGGTTGTCAAGACTGAAGATGGAGAGCAGGTAGAAGTGTTGACGTTCAGGCAAGTGTCACCAAGAGACAGTCATCAGGACATGGGTGTGCGTGCAAATGCATCCGAGGAACACTTGTTGACGCCCGTGCCTCATTCTTGATTCCCACAGAGGAGATAATGTAAATGCGTTTCAAGCCTCTGCCTCTGCAAGGAGACCGGACCCCGAACGGCTACTGCAATCCTATTTTCATTCTTGCGCTACACTCAATCACATCAGAGCATCTCTCGGCAGTGGCATTGCAGGTGCGCAGCACGAGCCTCGGCCAATCAAATTGGGCGGCTGAAGCTCATCGCCTACACCTTGCAACCTTGCAGACCTACACGCTCCGCAGAGCTGGTCCTTGGCTCACGTCAGATCGCCAGCGCTGCAACGTGAATTTTCTAGCGTCATAGAATCGCTCGAAGATGCGCTGCATTTCATGCAAGTCGTTGGCGCTGATAGAAACGAGCGAAGCTTGGAAAGCGTAGATTACTACACCAGGTGGGTGCTCCTCTCTCACGCCCAACGCCGAAGTAAATGCGCTCGCTGATTTCCTGTTCCAAACAATCATTATGCCTAGTCACGAAGGGTTGATGCTCGAGTACGAGGAAAGTCTGACGCGCGGTATCGAGAGTTCTCGAATGTCCAAATCAAAATCGCAGGCGCCGAACGAATCCAATCATGCATCGCACTACGCTCTCAGCGCGCACACCCTGTGGTTGGGCGACAGGACTCGTCAACTCGATGGCGCTCATGTGGAATACTTCCGCGGCCTGATCAACCCCATCGGCATCAAGGTTGGGCCAAGCATGAAGCCGGGCGAATTGGTGGCTTTGCTGGCCAAGGTGGACCCATTTGCTGAAAAGGGGAGGTGTACATTGATCTGCAGATTCGGAGCTGGCAAGGTGGGGGAAGGCTGAATGCGTGCTTGTGAAGTCGCTTCTGCTGATGCTGCAATTTCTGCATTGGCAGGCACCTTCCCTACTGCCGCCCCTTATCCAAGCCGTCCGATCATCGCCGCACGCAAATAGCGTCATTTGGTGTAGCGACCCCATGCATGGCAACACTCGTTCTTCGCCTCTAGACCCTAGCATCAAGACACGTCGCTTTGGCGACGTGGTGACGGAGCTCGTGGAGAGCTTGCAGGTGCATGCGGTGGAGAGAAGCAGGCTAGCAGGCGTGCACCTAGAATTAACAGGAGAGGTCAATGCGAAGGGAGAGAGCGTGACAGAGTGCGTTGGTGGCAGCATGGAGCTATCGGATGAAGACCTCAGTCGGCGGTACTTGGTGAGTAGAATGTGCTGTTTTCAGGTGCGGGATGCGATGGGCTAATACACTACTTCCCCACTTGTCGCCTCGACAATCAAACAAGACCCATTGCGACCCGCGTTTAAACTACGAGCAGTCCCTCGACGTCGCTTTCTTGCTTTCGCACTCGTTGCGCAGTCGCAGACTGGGCCGATCTTCATCTGCAAGCAGATCGAGAACACGAGAAACGAGTCCGACCTCTTCACCTATTCCGCCAAGCGATAACGCGCAGAACAGGGTATCGCACGGTGACAAGACGCATCCCTCGCTTCTGCTGAACGAGGACGAAGATTCGCTGCTCAAGGAGCTCGTCAGAGGCATTTCGAATCGGTCTTGATCGCGCTCTGAACAAGCAAGCGCGCAAATGGGGGACACCGCTCGGTCCAATCTAGAAACGCGTCTGCGTCACAGGTAATCAATCTATTATTGCTCTATGCGGATCGTTTGTCGTGCGAAGAAGATCGGATGTACTGCAAGCTGCGACACATTGTAAGCGGCTCGGATGCGATAAGGGTTCCAGATGCTTGAGTCAGTGTGAAGCACGAGAATGTGAGCGTTTGCCCACAGCGGCGAGATGATGAGCAGCATGGGGGCCGTGAGGAAGGATCTACTCTTCGTCGATGACCACTTGCTCGTAGAGTGGGTTGTCATGTCCGCCCACTGGACGATTGAGGGGAGAGTCTTGTCCGGTGTAGATGAGGAGATCATAGATGGCACCACCAGCAAGACCTCCGAGGATAGCGCTGAGACCGGGACCCCAAGCAAAGTAAAAGTGATTGTTGGTCCACACTTCGTTGCCATAACCGACGAGCCAGCAGGCTAATCTGGGACCAGAGTCTCTGGCCAAGTTCATGGCGTAGCCAGTGTTGATTCCCAAAGCTGCGCCTATACCCACTAGCACGATCCACATGGCTAGAGGCATGAGACCGGTAGGAGGAGGCAGATTGGCTTGATCGCTGAGAGCAAAGACCACAGCTACCAGGACTGCGCTAGCCAGGAATTCCGAGTAAGCTGCGCTGGTCCATGGAAGAATGTCGTAAGGGAAGGTGAAGAAGAGACCAGCGGTAGAGTGAGGACCAGTGACGGATCGAATGTGTTGACCACCTTCGTACAGAGAGATGCTGTAGTAGTAATTGGCGTAGATGAGCAGCGCGGCTGCTGCGCAACCTAGGATCTGCGAAGCGATGAACCAAGGCACTCTTCGTGCTGGGAATCCTCGGAAGACTGCCAAGGCGATCGTCACGGTGGGGTTCAAATGAGCTCCGCTCACTCCTCCAGAAGTCCAGATACCGACTGCTACACCCGTCGCCCAAGCGAAGCGTGAAATCAGACTCTTGGCAGCGTCCGGTCCGCTTCCTAGACCCATGTGCAGCTGCACTTGACACTCCACACCGCAGCCAAAGAGGATCTGAATCGCAAGCGAGAGGAGGTGCAACGTGTGAATATGGCATCCACACGATCATGGGGCCAGAAACTTGGAGACCATCACGATCACTGGCTACGCGATCATACGTACCAGCCTCACCCTACCGTCAAGGTGGGTGATTGATACTACCTTCCTCCTCTTCCCATTCAGCATTCTCAGCGACCTACTCACAATCATTGCGGCACCCAGAAATTCGCCTAGCTCCTCACGCCAGACATAGCGGAACTGCTGAATCTTGTTCGCTTTGCCATTTCGCTCTGCCCATCGGGGGTCGTGCGTGTCGGTGTCGAGGTGAGCAGGAACAGGAGCAGCAGGAAGCATAGGTTCGGTATCTGCAAGTGCTCCATTCACGTTGGAAAAGCCGCTCCTGTTGAGAGAGTTGCGGATCTCGCTTCTACGAGCATCCCTAAAGGAGCGACGGGATGAGGAGGAGGAAGACTGACGACGGGACATGTCTGAAGAGGTCGCTCTTGCGCCAGCTCCGCCGGCACCTGCCGCTGCTGCTGGTTGGCTTTGAGGTAGAAGCGGTTCGCGAGACATTGTCTGTCGCACCTGAGACATGATTCGTCCCCAAAGTTGATCCTCGGGTCGGAGTTCAGAAGAGCTAGAGCAACAGCTTGAGAATTGCTGCTGGCGGTCAGAGGAAAGTGATGAGGCCGAGCATGTGAGAGAAAGATGGCTGAGCGTATCTGGGACGTTGCGATTTGGCAGTCACACGAACGATGAGGTGAAAGAGGATAGGGGCACTCGGCATCGAATTGCAAACCGCAAGCGCACTCGGCAGAATCGCGGTTCAGAGATCGAGTCGAGTTGGACCACGCGTACCGTCTACGTGCGCTTGCGTGGTTGCAACCGTGACTGTGACTGGCTGGCTGTGTTCAGATGGCCACACGGCGACTTGACTTGCGCGCGTGGGTGCATATACAGTATATACGCACGGGCGCGGCGTGTTCAGCCGTCTTTAGGCGCTCGCTCCTGGATAGCTACAGTAGCGGATCTCGCATACTTTGAACGCCGGCAGCTGGCAGATGCAGTACAGTAGTAGTAGTACTATAGTACTCGCTACGGTGACTGTACACTCACTCACTCAAGACGACTTCTTTGCACCTGTATCCAACGCGCGTGTCAACCTCATCATCACTCACGACTGCATGGCGCACCAAGCACGCGGGCAAAAGGGGCGCGCACAAGCACACGTGATCGCTCACGACGTGACTCCCGAAAGTCTAGTCTCTGAGTCGTGAGTCGTGGGTTGAATGCCAAAATGTCGAGGCCCAGCACTAGAGACGCCAAACAGAGTCGCACTCGTACATAGAGAATCCAGTCTCTAGAATCCAAGAGTGAGCATACGATGAGCGAAACGCTGTTTGTCTCCAGTCGCAGCATACAGCAATCACTCCGACGGCGCTCGAGTTCGCACCCACGCAAGTTTGCACACTCGGGTCCTGAATCGCAACGTCGATGAACTTCAATTTCCATTCTCGTAGGACGATAAAGAGAGGGAGTGGAAATGATAGCTGGTCGAAATCGATTTCGTTGCGAACAGCGTGGGGCCAGACTGACCAAAGTGTGATCGGGCACAGAGCCACGCTCGACGAGCCCATCAAATGCAAGTGGGAATGGACTCTCACTGCGCAAAGCGTGCTTTCTTTCCGTTTCCATTCGACCCACCGTTGCCGTCTTTACCGAGCACATTGGCATCTGGAGCAGCTTCGAGGCCGAGGCTACCTCCCTGACGTGGTCCAACAATGCGCGACAAGAAGCCCTTCATACCGCCCGACAAAGCTTCTGGTCTGGCTTCGTATAGCGTCGCCAAGATGGCCAGCGCGGCTCCCAACAGTAGAGCCTCGCCATTCTTGACGGGCTTGACTCTCTTGTGCTTCACCAGCGTAGCCCAATAGCTCTTTGCAGAGAGACGTCCCACATACATGCCCAATTGTTGTCTTCTGGCCGGAGGGACCGCGAAGATGAAGATGGAGCTGAGAAAGCCGTTAAGGAAGTACCTCGCTTGAGGGAGCAGATTTCGTGGCAGCCAGTGCTGGAAGAAACATATCAAAGCCCAAGCGCTTCCAATACTGCCGCTGATGAGCGTGGCTCCTTGCAGGACAGCCATGCCATACTTAAAAATGGCAGTCTCTGGATCCTTGATCACTTTCTTGATGCCGATCAGGTTCAAGACGGCCATGACTGCAGCGACGAACTTGGCGCTCGCCACCCATTCTCGCTTCCAGAAAGAGACGAAGTTGTTTGAGCAACTCGGGTCGCGAGGATGTAGAACTGCGCATAGCAAGTTGGCATGGCTGGGGTGAGCAGGCGCATAGTCCAGCAACGGGTTGATCGCATCGTATGGGCTGGTCGGGTGTTTGGACGGAGTGAGAGCCGAGAGCAGAGGTGAGGAGAACGCAGGATATGCCGATGCTGTCTTGCTGGGTGTCGAGAGCGCAGCGATGTTATCCACGACTGTTCGTCCGCTCGGCCATGGAATGTCGTCTGCCAGATGCTGCGGCCGAGGCGGCACGTAAGCCGAAGAGCGTGCCATGATCAGATCCCCGTAGCCTTTCGGGAAGCAGTCGCTATCGAAGACAAAGGCGTGGAGCAGCTGACCATTGCTAACGGCGTAGAGCAGCGTGCTGTTGACCCATCCAGGTATCCAGCGCGTGAGTGGGCTATTTAATCTCCGACTTTCGTGGTAGGATGCTACGATGGCTTTGGACATGAGATCCACCGCAATGTCCTGACGAGGGAAAGCACTTTCCGCTGCACCTGGTAGCATAGTCAGGGCTGGAATTGAGCTGATCGCTGCTGCGAGAGGGACCAGCGATGCCGAGCGCAAAAGACGCAGGACCGAGGCAAGGGCCTTGTCTCGGTGAGTGATGAGCTGGTCTTTTGAGAGAGGCTTGGGAAGCAGAACCAAAGCGCGAGCTCGGACAAGAGAAAGCGCCTGAACCAGAGTGCGGTAAAATAGTGCGTAAAGCGCCAGTGCACCGCCTACCCGTGCAGAAGTGCGGGAGGCCAGCGATCGCAGAGCATCTGCGGGACTGTGGAAGGCAACAGCAAAGAGATGCATGAGCGTCAGCCATCGGACACTATTTTGGAGGCTATTGGCATGCGTGCAGGCACGTGCATCCCTCGTGAGCACTACCATTCAATCTCCTCGCAGTGTACTCACCTCTTCTTGCGCAAGACTGCTGGCAGGAGCGACTCGAGCGCGGTATTGACCAGGTATCCCAGAAGGAAAGCCCTGATGGCAGTTCGGCTCGTGAGCGGCAGCGCAGCATCCTGCTGCCAGAGATTTGGTGCGTCTCCGCTGCTCTCATCCTTTGCTCCCGAAGCTATGGCGTAGGACAATGCAGCGATGCGTGGAGGAACTGGCGCCACGGGTGTCGCTGGTTGAGAGATCGGTGTCTGCGCTGCAGACTCGGGCGGAGATGGCGAGACCAGTTTAGTCTTTGCTAAAGCCCTGCGAGCTGCTTTAGCCTCGGCATGAGTGAGAATAAAGGTCGCCCAGAATGGATAGCCAGAAGAGGTGCTGGATGGCTCGCCGGAGATGCTGCCCCCCAGCCACGAGTTCTTCCTCTCGTGCGACATCCTTGTCGCGTTTGCTGACGATCCGCGTAGCTCAAATCACGAGCGCTTGATGGACAATGCGAATGCTGTCGGCTTCGAGCCGCTTGCGAGGCGTGAAGAACGAGTGAGGGGGGGGTAAAAGAGCTATGGTGAGTCGCCAACTTACATCGAGGGTGCTCCGAATGCGACGCTTCTCTGTCGCTCGACAGTCACAGTCACTGAGTGTGAGTGCACTGGTGGGATGGCTCGTTGAAAGCCGGCCGCTTAGCGCACCCGCGGCGCGATTTGATGTGGGGAAGCTATAGCCATGCGTCTAGCCTAGCCTGATGTGATGCGCAGCAGCCAAATCACAAGAACGGCATGCGTCACTCGCCTGCGTGCTGGGCAACCCGGTAGCTATCGGCCGGGTGAGCCGAAGCTTCAGGGCACCACCGCACGCGCGCGTGCGGCACTTCCTGCTGTTCACTCGTGGCTTGCAGCTTGCATGACGTGCCTGGCGGGCGAGTCCGCGATTGACGTGACGTTGCGTTGGATGCAGCTCAAGCACGAATGGTAAATCACGAGTGCCTTTCATTCACTCGACCGACTCTGTCGTAGGCAAGCACATCATAACGTTCCGTCCATCAGATCGGACCTTCATGACTCAAAGGGCTGGCGTGTGAGCACACTTCCAACATTAGCCTACTCGAACTTGAGCGTTGCCTACACCCACCGCACTGCTAGGTGCCCACTGCACTGCGTTGGGCTGCTTGTCCAAACCTTTCGCGCTCCACACGGCATTGCATCAAATTAGATCGCACAGAGACCGCGTGCGACACTTTCCCCCTCAGCAACATGCTCCAGCGACCGGCTCGCTATCAACCTTGGCCAGGCATGCTGCTCTTCTAATCGTCAGACGTTCCGCTCCAAGTGTGCTGCCATCATGAGCGCCAGTGTTGCTGGCCGATACGCTCATGATCGGCGGGGGGGAGGGGGGACGATGCTATACGATAGCGGTAGTAGCAACAATACGCACGGCTCCAAGCTCAACCTAATCGAAGCTGGCTCTTCCCCTGCCGCTCACCTGGAGTCTTCCACTGCTCGGCCTGGACCGAGCTCGGCACCCATTACGGACTTCGGGCCTGCTATCAATCAAGGTCCAACATGGAGGCCACGTCTACATCCAGGCTCGACTGCGCTAGGCAAGCCCGACTTCTTTCCACCCGATACCGATGCAGAGCAGCTTACGGAGCAAGTCATCCGCTTAGGTATCACTAATCGGCCTGCTGTCGGAAACGAAACCATGACCGCAAACGACATGATCTATGACAGGTTGACTGGCGCCAATGTATTGGACACTATGGGCTCCATGATGGACGAGATCCTTATGCGGAGAGAAGAGCTACAGCGCGATAAGATCAGTTCCTCGTCGCATCGCGCCCCGCCACGAGTCACGCTCAACGAAGTCAAGCTGGCGGCATACATGAGGGATCTGGGAGACCCCAGCGTCCCCTTGCAGCGACTCGCTCGAAGCGTGCCACACGGTTACAGGGGTGAGCGTATGCTGGATATGCTATGGATGGGAGGTGTTGCGCCGACGCCAGCATCATCCTCTGCTGCGGCGGCAGCGGCTGCCCGATCATCTGCCACCGCTTCTCAAGCCGCTAGTGTGCTGCCTCAAAGCCCGCGCAATCCCGTCGAGTTGCATCGAGCAGTGTGGTTCATACGAGTCGTCGGCGCCAGCGAGATTTCCTCTTCGCGTGCTCGTCAGAACAGCAACTATACAGCAGAGTGGACAAGCACTTTTAACGGGTGGCTACGTAAGCAGCTCGCCGAACTCAATATTGCTCCGACAGCATCCATGTATCAAGCAGCTCATTCATCTCCAGCTTCCCCGGCCCCGACTAATCGCACGCCCGCCCATGCACGGTCTCAGCCTATCGCCGCATCTTCGCCATACTCTGCTAGCGCCAATGGGCACAGCCTGATATCATCTCGTGACTCCATCATACTGCAGCAGCCCGATCTGGAGGCGCGTTGGTTCGCCAAATGGGAGTACAGCATCGGACTGGCTCAAGCACTCGTTGCAGAGTCCCTTCTTGACATTCGGGTTTTTGCGCTCTGGATCTTCGAGCAGCTCGGCACCGCTTCGCTCGCCCAACTGCCATTCGTCTTGACTTTGGCTCAAGAGCACGCATGGGTCGCTTTGGATGCGCTCATTTTGCAAAGGGCGTTGCTGCAGTCCTTGTGCTCGTGCATCACCGAGCTTCGCAAAGCTGAGCTGCCAGAGGACAATAAAAATACGCATCTCATTCTCAAAGAGGCATGCGCACTTGTCAGGTTCCTCTTCGACTCAGACTCGGACGCGTTCGTCTCTCCCAAGCTTTGGTCGCAGTATGGGGCTACTATACGCAAAGTCGTTGATGATTCTCATGACGATGTCGAGACTTCTCGTGCGGCTGCACACAGGCGCGAGAAGCTGAACAACATCGACAGGCGAGCTCAAGCGTGCCTTCTCGGTGATCTCGTTGTCTCCTCCGATGAAGTCTCGGCTTCCCGCTGCGATGTTGAGGTGAGCCCCCAGCAGCGGCCCGAGACGTGAGTGTGCGCAAACATCGACTGACTTACTGACATGCACCCACTGAAGCTGCTGGACGACTTTTCTGTGGATGATTTGGACGTCGAAGCACTTGCGGATGCGTATTTTGCACGTTCCAAAGCGCAGTACTCCATCCAGGACAAACTCTGCAACGTTCTGATCTGGGCCACAACGCAATGGCGAAGCGGCCAGCATCGTCCATTACTCGCAGCACGACTTGTTTGGACCTACCACAGCCGATCGCAAGACGCGAGCGCCAGGCTAGCTCACGGCTGGCGTGCTGTGGATCTGCAAACGGTGCTCTTCGACTGGCTGTCTTCAGTAGACAAGGCTCAGCGAGATCGCGGCAATCCGCCTTCAGCCGTACTACAATCGCTAGAATTGGAGAGTGTCATCATTCTCGTCGGTGAGCTCATACGTCTGGGCTGTTTCTCATTCTCCAAGTATCTCCAGCGCCTAACAGCGCGGGGCATGACAGCGGGTCCGACAGCGCCTCTGAAAGGCACCCCGCCAGGATCTTTTCAAGCTTCGCAGGCCTCTTCTGAATCCGAAGCTTCATTACATCAGCGAGTTCTACGCTCCGTGCCGCTTGCAGCTGCGACTCCAGCACTATCGAGCCAAAGACGATCTGCCATCTATGGCACACGCCTCAAAGAATCCCACGAGGAGGCGTCGGAGCGCAGGCTACGACGCGAGCTTTCCAATGCCTTGCCTTGGCTTCACGGCGCCTCTCCTCAAGAAGGCAATAATGCGTCATCGTCATCTGTGTGGAAGGAACAAGTTCCACATTTATGGTCCGCCTCGCGCTTTACGCTGGCTAAGGTCATCACAAGTGACCTCATGCCAAGTATACACTCCCTCGAAAGGAGTCTGACGGTTGACGAGATATGCATTCTGGAAGTCATTCTAGCACACGCCCGCGATCACGTTGCTTTGTCACAGGTGCGTCCGCTCCCATTACGCAGCCAGTCTTTCGCAGTACTTACGATCGGCGCCCAAATCTAATGCAGCTGCTCAGCAGTCAGTTGCTCTTACTTGCTTTCATGGAAGACAGCGAAGCGTTGGAGGTCTTGACCAGCTGCATCTGCAAACATGCTCTGTGCTTTGCCGCGCTGGACACGTTGAATCAGTTGTCAAGTGCCGTATCCGACCTGTACATCCAATGCGCTGGCGACGACATTTCACCTTGGGGCGCTTCTTGCTCGGAAGCTTTTCAACGGGTCGCTGCCTTGCGAAACCTCCGCCGGCACATCTCGTGCAATCGCGAAGAAGAGCAGACATCGGCCTCTAAAGGCCATTGCCGGACAGAAAGCCGTCCATCTGGTCATCTACATGATCAATTTGTTGAGATTGCACGACGACTAGCCAGTGACCTTGATGTGCGTGCAGCAATGAGAAGCGTGCAGGCCATTGCAGGTCCCATAGCGGGGCAGAGCATCCTCAGCGCAGCACTCCACGTTGTCTCAGAGGGTGCCTCGGATGGGGCAACGATCGCTCTCGTGCAATGGGTCAGGCATGCCACTTGGACTGCTTCAGACCTTCATACTGTCCTGCGCTCGTGGGCAAGTCAAAGCGAGCACAATGCCGCCAACGAGGGGTCAGAGCTTTTCTTGCTGCGCTGCGTCGCGTCAGGCGCGCTTCGAATGCGAGATCTGTACGCGTCTTTCGTTCTGCCAGCTCTGGAGCTCGAGGCTGAGGAAAATGGCGCTCCTCCAATCGAAAAACAGAACAAACGGAGCATCAAAGTAGCAACTGTCGCAGCCATAATCAAAGGCTCGAGTTCGCCAAGAGAAACCAGCGCAGCGCTCCGCCTCGACTCGCGTCACCGACTCCGGCTGGAAGCCGAATCGGCCACCGTCACGGGGTCAATTGGTGAGACCTCCTTGCTCTTCCGCGTATTGGTCCTGCTGCTGCACCTGCCCAACCACGATGCAGCCGTACTAGCTTGTAATGAACTCTTGTCCAACCTCTCGGTGCGGTGCTGCATCATGATCAAGGCTTTCGAGCTGTTCAGCATCGTCAGCGAGGTCAGTCGCTCTGTCTGGGGCTCAAATCCGAGTCAGGTGCTCTCGCAGGTCTTTGCTAGCGTCAACCAAGCAGGGCTGTCCACCGTCAATCCCAGCTCAATCGATGCCCAGATGATCTTCCAACGCCTCGATCCTTGGAGATGCAACCTGACTGTGGCAGAAATCGCTCACATCACTGGGAAGGTAGCAACTGCAGATGCTAGCGAACATCTTCGCAGCCAAAACGCTCTGACATCCTTGTCTGTAGCCATCTTCGAGCCCTTGTGTCTCGCGTCGAACTCAAGCCTCCAAAATCAGCTCATACGTCATACCAAGCACATCAGCACATTTCAAGGTCGACTTGTGGATCTTTGCATAGAAGAATTGCTCCGACACCTGCACAGCTCCAGTAGGAGAGCGGGACCAACGCACTCTTGGCTTCATGACAGTCTGCAAACGCTCGCACAAGTCTTGCACAGCCAGACCCGCGCTTCCATCAGCCCTCATACTCTGATCCTCGCTAGTCAGCTCCTTAACGCTATCGCTGCGGGGTTCGAAATAACGTCAAGCAGCAGAGACTGTCGGGACCTTAGCTTGATCCCGCTGGATGTGAGTGTCCGTGCGAGCCTGGGGTGTGCGCGTCTTGCTGGCTTGTGGACAAGTGCAGATGCCCGCTCTACGGCGCCGAGGCTCCTCGAGGCTATGTGCGCTTGTGCTGTGAATTGCAGTCTCGAGGCGTTGAACGACTTCGACGTCATTGTAGACGCAATGTCTGCTCTCATGGAAGATATGCCGCCAGATTGTGTCTCGAGCGCCCAGACGTCCATCTCAAGCATCCTCGCTCAGGTTTGTGTTCGGTCAGCAATACCCGACTTTGCTCAAGCGCGACTACAAGCCCTGGCGATGCCCGCCACAATCACAACCCAAACACATTTCGCCGGGGCCACCAGCGATATTATCCTAGCAAGTAGCATGACATCGGCCGCTGTCAAAGGCAACTTCAGTCAAGCGCCTTTCAAAGCCTGGGAGCTTCATGACCACATGGATGCCGACACATTGTCCAGAGCACAAGCCCGTCTTCCGGGAAGCACGATACTCGGCGGCGGGTCTGCTACTAGCCATCCACCCTCAGTATCGATGATTGACGCGGATGAGGTAGGCTACGCTGCTGTCAACTTGGCAAACAGCGGATCTGTCTCGCTGCTTCAAGTCGGCGCAGTGAAGACTCGCGAGCGCGTGGCCAGCGCCTCCGGCCTCAATGATTACATGTATCCGACGCGTAGCCCTCACACCTCAATCGGAGCGGACGAACCCGAGCATTGGGCAGCGCACGAATCTGAGCGCACGTACGGTGAAGGAAGGGCAGGGGACACGACGTACGCTCGTGATGCTCGAACGGGCTCCGACCTGCTGGCTCTGGACAGGGCGCGAGAGGACGGCGGCGAAGCAGCTTTGATACCCGAAGAGCTTCGAGCAGCCGATCGTGCTCTTGCGCAACGTGCACTAGCAGCAGCAGCAGCTGAAGCTGCTGCGCGTGCGGCTGAAGAAGCAGTCAAGAAAGCTGAGGCTGCGGCTGCCTTGGCAGCTGCTGCGAAAGTGGTTCAGACAACACCACAACGTCCCAAGCCCGTTTCCAAAGGCACTAGACAGGCACCTGCCACGTCTGCCAAGAGTAGAAAGCGCAAAGAACCACCTGACTCACCAGACACAGCGTCTCGATCGAGCACCCGAGGTGGACGTGGAAGAGGGCGGGGACGAGGTAAAGAAGCCAAAGCCGTGTGAAGCCCATCACAGGAGCATCGATCACGCTCAAGAAGTTTGCCTGCATCGATTGATGACGTGAAATCATTTGTATTCTATCGCAGTCGCACCACTGCAGCAGGCAATCATAGATCGCATGTAGGAATTCTCCACGTTGAGTGAAATGAGACGGCCAACTCCGGACTGCCCACGTGTTGAGCGCGAATCACGAAATTGCCGATCCGCTTCAAATGTCATAGTGTCGACAAGCAACTTACTCGGCACTCTGACTCCACGATTTGTTAGAATCTCTACGCAATCGCGGTTCTGAAAGCATGGTGCCAAATGGGTTGATCAGTCGCAGTCACGAGTCGTAGGTGCCCGCGCCTCGCGGTCACCGCTGTCTCTGCACCTGCAGCAAGCGCGGGAATCTGTGCGCGCACGGGCTGACGCTTGGGTCGAGGCAGAGAGGCACACGGCATCTTTCAGTCACGGAGTGCCAGTCAGTCAAGAGTGCTTAGTACCTTGCAGCTTCGTGCAACGTGACTCGTGACTGCAGCCTCTGTAACCCCTTTCTATCTCGACCACAAAACCTCAAGCAACTTTTAACTTGTTGCAACCTCGTTTCGACATTGCTTGAGCGCTGAACCCGCAGACTGTGACCATCCGGGACCCAAATCTCTAGCGATTTCCCAGAGCCGCGCACCTTAGCGTTCATCGAGCCCAGTCTGTCTGGAGTAGTGAAAAGCTGGCTTAGATGCGCACGACTTCTTTATTCAGCGCTCTGGCGGTGCTTTGGCCAGCAGCTTGCCAAGCTTGGTACTTACCAGGTGCAGCTCCACGCTCTTATGCTCCTGGGGATGTTGTTCCATTCACAGTCAATGCCCTAGCCCCGGCTGCCTCGTCCCCTGGCCTTCCACCTTCATCGGCGCAGGGCACGGTCTCTTCTTCAACTCAGCTCAAGAGCATCACCAGCGTCAACTACTACGAGCCCAGACTCCATTTCTGCAGACCCCCTGGCGGAGAGGTGTCCCAAACGGAAAGTTTAGGTGCTGTGCTCTTTGGAGACCGTATCTACAACAGTCCCATCGAGGTGAGTAAGAATGGCTCGTCTGCTCTCCACCATCTCCAGAGCAGCGCGTCGGCCACTGCGAGTCAGAACGTGTGCTGGGGCTTGAAGGGAATGCAAATTTTGGAGTTGAAAGCGCGCACTGCGATGCACCGAAGTAACTCTGACGGGCACCTTCGATCGATGCGATGCCTCAGGCCCATCTCCTCAAGAACGAGTCGTGCCAGCACATTTGCACTAGTTCGGTCCCAAAAGAAGACTTTGGCTACATCAACGACAAGATCCAAGAACAAGTGAGGATGACTGATGCATCAGTTCTGCTGCGTACAGCGCTGATCTCGCTCTCGGCACCCAAAATTGCAGTATGCGGTGAATTGGATGGTCGATGGATTGCCGGCAGCGACCAAAAGGGTCGCGGACAGGACGCGAGAGATCTGTGAGCGATACCTCGCAGCCGCGCTTCCCTACATGTGCGAGCTCAACAGTTACTCTGGTTGCTTCTGCAGTCTACTCGATCGGCTTTCCGCTGGGTCGTCAATTCGACCATCACGGTTTGGAGCTGAAAACTCCCGCTTTGCATAATCACTACGAGGCCCTCATCGAGTATCATCAACACGCGCCCAACGAATACAGAATTGTTGGGGCGACTGTTTGGCCAGAGTCGAAGGACAGCTTGCGGGGATCAGCGGGAAGCAAGCCAGACTGCGGCAATGTTGACTTGCTAACTTTGGACGAGAGCTCCTCGGGCGCAGGCAAGGAGGTTGCGTACACGTAAGTGGGGCAGCGTCGCCAAATTGTAATGCTCCGAGGATTAAGCTTTGCGCAATCCTGTGGATGCTCGCAGCATCACTACTTACTGGATTGAGAGCAAGACGCCCTGGGCGACGAGATGGGACAACTACCTCCGCGTCTGTGAGTGCCATTTCGTCATTCTTTCCAAAGCAATTACTCGCAAGACTGACTCATCGTTGTCTGCTTGGCAGTCGATCCGCGCATCCACTTCTTTGCGCTCGCCAACAGCGTCATCGTAGTAGTCTTCTTGATCATCATGGTGAGCACCAAGCCGTGCCTGTCTCTACCTGATTGTGTTGACCTCAATCCGCGCGCTACATTAACACAGGTCGGCATGATCCTTGCGCGATCGGTCAGTCGGGACATCCATAGGTACAATGCCATCGACCTCGATGAGGATGTCCAGGTAAGTTTTGCAGCGGGCTCACCCCTTCGTGCCTGCGCACACCTACTGAAAGAGAGACGATGTGGTAACTGCGCAGGAGGAGTACGGTTGGAAGCTCGTTCACGCAGATATTGGAAGGACCCCATCTCGGCCACTGCTTTTGGCTGTCATGGTTGGCACAGGCACACAGCTCGTAGCCATGGCGGGCGTTACCCTCGTGTTCGCCCTGCTCGGCTTCCTCTCGCCATCCAATCGAGGCAGTTTGGGAACCGTGATGGTGGTTACTTGGACGCTTTTTGGCGGTGTGTCGGGCTACTTCTCAAGCAGGATCCATGTTAGCCTTAATGGAGAGGACTGGAAGAAGTGCACGTTTCTCACCGCCTTTGCCTTTCCTTTCGTCGTCTTCTCTTCCATTCTGTGAGTGCTTTGGTGCGCCAGGACTTGCCGACCACAACTTACCTGAAGCACCTCCGTACCAGCGCGATCAACTTCTTCCTGCTGGTCTCGGGCTCCTCTGGTGCTATTCCCTTTGGCACTTTGCTAGCGCTGGTCGCTCTCTGGTTCCTGATTAGTGTTCCCCTCACGCTAGTCGGCTCCTTTTTGGGCATCAGGAGCGGTGGCTGGGCCACTCCAACACGCACGAATGCCATCCCAAGGCAGATACCACCGGTGCAGTGGTATCTGAGACCGTTGCAGAGCGCCATCATGGCAGGCATCCTGCCATTTGGTGCAGCATTCCTAGAGCTCTTTTTCGTGCTCAACTCTCTCTTTGGAACGCGGAGTGAGTTTTCCAAAAGCCTGCACCTATCGCCTTGTTGATTCTAGAAAAGCTAACAAGTGCCTATGAACGCTACATAGTCTACGTGGCGTTCGGTTTCTTGGCATTGACATTCATCGTGACTGCTTTAGTGCGTACCATCAAAGCATCTTTGCAAAGAAGACGATATTGACTTCCCATTCCAAAACAACACAGACTACGGCGACTGTCACGATCCTGTATACCTACTTCGCGCTGTGTGCTGAAGACTATAGGTGGCACTGGAGAGCTTTCATGACAGGTGGAGGATCCTCTTTCTGGCTCTTTGCATACGGCGTGAGTATACCAGCTTCAGCCTCATGCACGCGTTTCTGACGTTGGTCATTCTGCGTCCGATCAGCTCTTTTATTGGGCGACAAGATTGTCTCTGCCAGGTTTGTCCACCAAAATCCTGTACCTGGGATACCTGAGTCTTTTGGGCCTGGTCAACTTCTTGCTCTTTGGCTCAATAGGCTACTTTGCGGCGTGGATGGCCGTCAAGCGGATGTACACTGCGGTCAGAGTCGATTAGAGTCGAAATTGAGCTTGGCGCCCGGCAAAAAGTGATAGCGAATCAATATACATATGCGACACGACACGAGTTGGACAGACTCCTCTTTCATGCTGATGACGACCTGCAACGCAGTCACAAGACGAAAGAAGGATTGCTTGTTGCATGAAAGAGTCAGATAAAAGTACATGAGCGATTGCTTGGTGAGGAGCGTCGCTTTCAAGCTAATTTGGCAGCAGGGGATTGTTGGTGCGCAGGAGCAAAAGTCTGCGCTAGCGAGGGAGAAACATGCACTTCAAACGCTTGTGCGAGCTCGAGCATCGTCTTCCAGATGTCTCGAGGCTTTTCTTCTTCGTCCAGCGCAAAGCTAATCATGCCGTTGGTGGGGGTCGGATTCAATGCATCGTCGTTCTCACTCCTTCCTGCTTCGCTTTGCGCCTCGAGTTGAGGGTCGAGACTGTCCGATGGAGCTTCGTGCCATTCGTAGCTAGCGGAGTTGAGCACCAGTAACATGACCGGTTGGGATTCTTGCTGCGCACGTCGAGGATCACTTTCGATCCTCGTTGTGGTCCTGGAAGTGGAGCGCAATGGCATGACGAGCGTTGCTCCGAGCTGCGGCGGAACAAGGTGAAGCTTGAGATCAGCACTACATGGGCGGAGCCGCGGAGACGCATCCGTGCCGACTTCGTTGAGCTCATTGAACGGGAATGATCGGCTACCGCGAGGCAGGACCCATGGACCTCCGTGAGTTCCCAAGTACTTCTCAACGCGCGCCCGACTTCCCATTCAACAATCGTGTAGGAGCGGTATTCCTGTATCCAGCGTGCATCATTCTCGCAGCTGAAGATCTTTGGTACACTGGGACTCACCTCGGAGTGAAACAAAATGCTGGTTGCGCTAGTCAGGTCATCTTCGCCGGCCGGGCTTGTGGGGAGAGCATCGCTGAGAGAGGCTCCCTGAAGCGTTGTGCTTCTGCTCCTTCCTCGATCCCCATTCGGTACCACAGCGTTGTTGTTGCTTCTATTGGCAAATGCACCTGATGATGCCTGATGAGGCTGTTCCTCCCTCCAAGCTTGCGTCGCAACAGCCGCTAATGCCCTCGCTCTCTCGTCGGTGCTTAGATGAGGATGTCTTGGTGATAAGAACGCAGCAGTAGCGGAAGTGGCGCCAGCACCCATCAGAGCGGATCCTATCGAAGCTGCATTTGCTGCTGATGGGTGAGCCGAAGTGGAAGCTTCGGCTGTTGCAGGGAACGTGTCGGCTGATGACGATTTTGGTCGATGGGCTGCTGCGTAGAGCAAGCCTGAATCTGGAAGAGCCAACAAGGCTGTCTCGCACCTAGCGACATCATCCGACAGGCCATCCTCCAGCAGAGCTTGCAAAGCGCTGTGCAGAGCGGTGGGCCTGAGCATGATTCCCATGTTTTTTGTTTTTGTTTTGCCCTCCTTGCCGGCGAGCTCGAATGCTTACGGCGTGGAGAAGGGAAGAGGCGACTGGCTATTGTAGCGCTTGTATGGCGTTCACTGACAGCACTGCCGTCCTCGCTGTGCGACCATATATGCGAAGGTCTTTTTTTATTGATCGATGCCGTGTGCGACAAAAGCAAATGGATGCACCTTCGCAAAGATCACAGCTGTTTGTGTCAGAGACGCAGAATAGGCTGAGGACGCGGTGGCTTGCAATCTCGATGGAGCGAGCGATTGAGCAGCTGGCCTTCTTAATTCACGATTGTTATAGCGGTAGAATAGGTACAGTGTGAGTACCATCACAATGAGGATGAGCAGCAATTAAGTTATCTGCCTCGCGTGAGTGAGTCACGGCAGGTCGGCAGCTGAAGGGAGGGAATGCTCTCGATCACACAGTTCGTCCCGCTTATTGCGTACGTCGGCCCGCACACACGCCCGCCTCGATCCCTATGCATACAAGCGGCCGCGGCTCCACTTCGGCGCGCAGTGAAGTGTATTTCAGCTCGATCGGAAGAAACTCACAGCTACGCCTTGGGCGGGGAATGTGTGGAATATGCGCATTCACCATTCACATTGTGATTCGCGAGTCTGAGTCAGAGGGTTCGAGTCACAGACATGCTCATCAAATGTTTGCCTATATACTCCCCGTGCATTCACCCGCGCCCTCGTTGACCGCTCCATTACTTGTTTGAGCACCATTCCGACTCTTCACAGTCACGGAGTCGGGCAAGTCTCACGTTGACCGATTTTCCGTCAGTCCGGCTCCATCAAATCCCCGAATCACAAACATATTCGGGACGGCGAATAGCATCCAATTGCATATAGCGCACGCACCTCGACTGTTTAGCTGCTCCATCGAGCGACTCGGTGCTGAGACACGCTCGTCTGGCTTTACAGCGCTAGTCGAGATCCCAACGCTGCATGGGCTGCTGCTGTCCAAGCTCTCCCTCATTCAGCAGCTCCATCCGCTTCCTTTTGTCGACGCCTACATCCAAGGGCAGGCTGTGAGCTGCTAGACAAGTGGTTGCATCTTCTCGAACGAACTTCAGCGGGATCTGAAGAGCTCACCGCCAACGCTACGTATATATGGATCAGCGCATTCACATCTCAGACAGGATATTCGCCCTCGCAATCCCACCTGCGTCCCAAAGTGTTGGAGTCAATCATCGGCACTGCTCCGCATAGCAACGCAACATCACTCGCGCATTTATATCGAAGCAAGGTTATCAATTCTCTTGTCAGCCCTTCCTATCAAAGACGCGCACACTTCAGCAGCATCAGACATCCGCACCATGCCGACGCAACAGTCAGAATCTGCTCCCAGTTCGATCGCCAAACCTCGCATTCTGATTATCGGCTTTGGTGCACTCGGTATCCTGTACGGTTGGACCTTGGCGCAAGGTGGAGCTGAGGTTGTGGCGTATGCTAGGTCCAACGCAGAGCTGATTCGCAAGGATGGCGTTGATCTCAAGAGCCTCAAGTACGGCGAGCATCTCGGCTGGAAGCCAGCTGCTGTCGCTTCCAGCGAGTCGGAAGCGCAGCAGCACGGACCTTACGACTGTGAGCAGGCTATCTTGGCCACATTGAATTGTTGAAACGGTTCAACACTCACCTGTCGTTGAAACGGCTCAAAGCTCACCTGCGCCGGCTCTTTGCACTTTCCCAGACGTATTGTGCACCTTCAAGTGAGTCGACGACACTCCTGACCCAAGCGGCGAGAGATGCTAAGGTTGATCAAATGCTCTTTGAACGTAGGGTGGTGCCGGAACTTCAGTCCATCTCATCCCTCGTTGCCCCTTTGATAAGCCCTTCTCCCAGCCGCAAGCCCCTGCTCGTCCTCGTCCAGAACGGTATAGCGATAGAGCATGAACCCTACGAAAAGCTCTGCTTGGGGCACGATGCGCCATTGAGCGGCTTGATTTCTTGCTGCGCTTGGCTCGGCGCCACTTTGCGAGAAGGAAGAGTCTGCGAGCACGGAGGATTGGAGACGCTCAACATTGGCCTGTACCCTACGCCCGAGGCGAAGGAATTGCAGCAAGGAAGCGAGCGGGTCAAGGCATGGGAAGGCTTCATTGAGGTCTACAGCGCCGGCGGTGGGGGTGCCATCAGAAGCGAAGACGTCCAGATTGCGCGCTGGAGGAAAAGTGAGTTGGCCATTTGGCGGGGTATGTAGCTGCATGGCCTCACGACTCTTACCTTTTCATGTCGGCGTGCTTGTCAGTCTTTTGGAACGCATGTGAGCAGCCCGTAAGAGAATCGTATGCCGAAGCGAGCACTGACCCTTTTCTGCAATTGCGCAATCAGGCTGGGGAGGGTTATGTTTCACATCGAGACAGACAGTCATGTCTTTACTGTCAGACGACTCGCTCGAATACACCGTACCCGTCGTAAAAAATCTAATGTCTGAGTACGTGCAGTGTAGACTGGGTCAACAGTCCTCGTCATTCAATCTCACTCAAAAGGCTTCGAACCATACTTATCCGTCAACAGGTGTATGCAGGTCGCGCGCGCAACTGGACTTGGACCTGAAAGCCTGCCCGACTCGGCCATGGATGATGCCTTCAACATCACTTACCCTGAAAGACCGTCGAACCCAGACAGACAAGGCCGCCTTGCTCCCGGATTCAAGCCAAGCCTACTCGTAAGTAGAGCGTGGACGAACAGCTGCCACATACGTCGCTGCTCGCCGTCACGCGCCTCCAGTAGGACTCCGAGTCTGACGGCCACGTCTCCAATTTGCCCCTGCCGCCAGATTGACCTCGAAGCGGGTCGCCCGATGGAACTCGTGCCTGGGGTTGGGAACGTTTGCACCCTTGCTCGCAAGCATGGAGTATCTACGCCAGCTTTGGACCTCGTGCTCGCCAGTCTGAGACCTGCGCAGGTCGCCGCTGTGAAATCCGCCAGACAAGAAAGAGGCCTCGACGCAAAGACGATCGAAGGTAGCGGAGGTCCACCAGCGGGACCTCTTTGAAGAGAATGGTGCCACAAGCACTGATAAGCTTTGTCTCTTGTCCCAAATATGGTGCACGACGAAGAACGATACGGTGAATGCTTTGTAATAGATGCTCCATCTCTTCGTGCACGCGCGTGATCTTGTCAAAGGCTGGTCGCACGGTGTCGAGCCGTCTTTGTTCGCCCCTACTCGACAACGTCGCCATTTAAGTTCACCGCAGAAATTGAGTCTACTGTATGTTTATTGCGATGCGTTTGAGTCTCTTCCCCGTCGCACGGACAGACGTGTGTGAGGGTACACGGTACGGCGAGCGATGTCAATGCATGTGCTGCCGCTCCTGATGAATGCGCTTTCAGTTGTTGTACAGTTCCTCGCGCAAGTTGATGCCTGTGGAGGGACACGGAAACCAAGTGACTTGGCACGTCAGCGCAGGTGTCCCAGCACCGGGATTTGGTGCAATCACATGCAAAAGGATTCCACCGGATAGCATCTCGGTGCCGAACAAACGCTTCTTAGCACTCACCGAGCTCCTTGCGAACATCAGCGAGAGCAGTGACGTACTGCTGGTACTGTCCCTCATTCTCCACCTTCTCCTTCAGACCCTCGAAAACGCGAACAGCAGTGGAGAAATCGTTCACCCTGCGACTGGCCCTGAGCGCACTCTCGATGACCTCTGGCGCAGGAACCAAGTCGTATGAGAAGCAGTTGTTCAGACCTCTTTGCAGCTCGAACAGATCCTCGACGGCATCGAAGAAGGATGTGTAGCGCGCTGTGAAGGACTCGAAAGTCTCGTCGTCGTGAGAGTGAGATGCCATGCCTCGCACTGTGATTCGGCAAAGGCCAAAATGGTGTCGTGGTCAGTCTTTTGCGCTCAAGCTCGAGACACAGCGAGATGCCGTGCGAAGAATGGGAAAGAGATTATCCTCACGACACCCTTCGGGACCTCAGAGCCGACCTGGGTCCGTCCTCCCGCTGCGAAGATCTCGCGTTGTAAACCCGTTTCTGGCGTTCTACGGCTCAACTTATGCGCAGTCCAGCTTTTTGATCACCTTTTCCCACCTCGCCCACCACCGTCTGACTCGAGCACACGAACCTTGAGGGAAAGCGACGGCAGCGCTGCGTCCGTTCAGCAAGGCATGGCGGGCAGCCGTGCCCTTTGCCGCTTGGCGAATGGCACCGGTGAGGAAAGACATGACTGAGGGCGCTAGCTGAGGATGGATAGATGGTTATGGAGATCAATATGGAGCTTGGGGAACAAGACGAACGTTCTCCTGCGCTTAGCATGCGTGTGAAGGGTCAGACCATGAAAGACGTTCTCGATCGCCTCGAACGCGACACACGGCTGGTCAGGTCTCCTCTTTGCCTGCAAGGCTTCCAAATCGCTCGCACGCACGCGCACACCTTCGCTTTCTTGGCTGATGAATGCAGCCTTCAAGGTCGGCTGCTGCCGGTTCGCGGGCGGGGCCAATGACTGCATCCGACGTGGGCGCGCGCAACGAAGCGTGGCCGTGTACGCGTGCTGGTCGACTCGCGCGCACGTGGCAAACTGCAGCCCCTCTGTGCATCGGCTGACTGGCGCGCTCCGCTCAGCCGTCATGAGCGGGGGAGCGCTCGTGCCACCCTACCGTACCGTCCTCATCCATTCGTGATTCACGATTGCTCGAGATCACAGCTGTCTGGGATATATGCACATCTTTCAGCACTTACCAATACCTCTCTAAGCCATCAGAGCACCCACTTCACGACTGCAGCACGAGATTTCCAGAGCGCTCCACTGTACGACTACTTCGTCTAGCTACTCCTATCCGGACGCCATCATGGTCGGCCAACAGGAGTCGCTGTTCCGCTCTGCGGCGATGAGCCTGGTCCAGCTCTATATCCCCTCTGAAGTCGCCCACGACACTGTGGAGGAGCTGGCCCTCTTGTCGAATGTGCAATTCAAAGATGTGAGTGCCAACGCTCTGCTGCTCGCTTCGTCTGCGATCGCTTTGCTGATTGCCCCTCTCTCTCCCACAGCTCAACCCTGATGTGACACCATTCCAGCGCTCATTCGTATCTCAAATCCGTCGCTTAGACGACATGGATCGAATCGTCAGATTCCTACAACAGCAGATGACCACCGAGTCGGTGCCAGTCAGGCCTCTCGAAGCGGCGCTACCTTTTGTCAATGGTGCGCTCGGAGCTCAGCGCGGTCCCGCGCTCGTGGAAGACTTGGCCTCCAAGCTCAAGCAGCACGAGGATCGACTGGCCGATATGAACGGAAGCTACGATCAGCTTCAGAAGCGCCTGCTGGAACTCGAAGAGGCCAGACACGTGCTCAGAGAGACTGCAGTCTTCTTTGATCAAGCAGAAGGCCGCGGTACCGATCACGGTCGCACCAGCACCGATGACGCGAGCGCTCCACTCCTGGAGGACGACATCGAAAGTCGTGCATTTGGCCGTGGCGACAACCAGGACTATGGCACGTTTGATCTCGAGTGAGTAAGGCTGTCACCAGGCCACGGGGCAAGCGCAAGCGATGGCTGAGGTCATCTCATCCCGTTGCTTGGGCTCTACAGATTCGTCGCCGGTACGATCGAGCGCTCCAAAATGTCCACGTTTGAGCGCATTCTTTGGCGTGTGCTGCGCGGCAATCTGTATATGAATTATGCCGAGATTGACCAGCCGTTCAATGATCCAACCAAAGAGGATCCAGTCAGGAAGAATGTCTTCATCGTTTTCGCCCACGGTGCTGAGCTTCTTGCCAAAATCCGCAAGATTAGCGAGAGCATGGGAGGGACCCTGTACCCTATCGACTCGAATGCCGACAAGCGAGAAGAGAGCCTCCGCGAGGTCACCAACCGTATCGAAGACCTCAACTCTGTCCTTTACTCCACCAGCGCCACGCGTCGTACCGAGCTGGTCAAGATAGCAGAAAGCCTGTCAGCTTGGGCGGATGTCGTGAGAAAGGAGAAGCTGATCTACTCTACGCTCAATCTCTTCAATTACGATGCGCGCCGCAAGACGCTCATTGCTGAGGGGTGGTGCCCCACCAGCGGAATCCCTTCCATTCAGCTGGCGCTGCGGAGAGCGACTGAAAACGCTGGATCCAGCGTATCCTCGGTTCTCCAAGAATTGCAAACAAAACAATCGCCACCCACCTACCATTTGACGAACAAGTTTACGGAAGGCTTCCAGGCTATCATCGACGCGTATGGGTACGCCACGTACCAAGAAGTCAACCCCGGACTCTTCACCGTCATCACATTTCCCTTCTTGTTTGCAGTCATGTTTGGTGACATTGGTCACGGTTTCATCATGTTCCTTGCAGCAGCTGTCATGTGCTTGTACGAGCGCAAGCTGGCCAAGGCTGGTCTTGGAGAGGTGAGGAGGACACTCACGTCAGACTTTCAAAGAATCCTTAGCTGACGAGGACGCGAATCACTGTCAGATCTTCGAGATGTTCTTCTACGGTCGCTACATCATCCTGCTCATGGGCATCTTCTCTATGTTCACCGGCCTGATGTATAACGATATTTTCAGCAAGTCGATGCACCTCTTCCACGCAGGCTGGGAGTGGCCTCACCCCAAGTCGGACAAGCCCGGTCAGGAGTTGGAGGCCGTCAAGCTCAATCACACATACCCGATCGGTCTGGATCCGACATGGCACGGCTCGTCGAACTCTTTGGTGTTCACCAATTCACTCAAGATGAAGATGTCAATCATTCTTGGAGTGGCTCACATGACGTTCGCCATCTTGCTGCAAGTGCCCAACGCTATTCACTTTAAGAAGCGCAGCGATTTGTGGGCGATCGTCCTGCCACAGATGCTCTTCATGCACTCTCTGTTCGGCTACCTTGTCGTCATGATCTTCTACAAGTGGAGCGTCGACTGGTATGCAAGGGATGCAACGGGCGAGCTGATCCACGGCGGGCCTCCAGGTCTGCTCAACACGCTCATTTACATGTTCCTCAGCCCCGGCAACGTCGATGCCGACAAGCAGTTGTTCACCGGTCAAGCCTTTGTCCAGACGCTCCTGCTACTGCTTGCAGCTGCATGCGTGCCTTGGCTCTTGGTTGTGCATCCCTACCTGGAATACAAGGAACACCACGCCAAGCAAGGAGCCGGCTACCAGTCTGTTGCATCAGCCGAGGACGAGGATGATGAGCACGGTGATGGTGAAGGTGAAGGCGGGGACGGGCATGGGGGTCATGGCGAATTCAATCTCGGCGAAACTTTCATCTACTCAAGCATCCACACGATAGAGGTGAGTTGCTTTGGTCTTTTTCTGACACAACAAGCGTTGCTGACCGACCTTGCCATGATCATTTGACAGTTTTGTCTGGGCTGCATTTCGAATACGGCCAGTTACCTGCGTCTTTGGGCGTTGTCCCTCGCCCACGCTCAATTGTCGGAAGTGCTGTGGACCATGACGATTCAGAACGTGTTTGGCATGACTGGAATTGTCGGGGTCATCGCCACCGTTGCTGCATTTGCCATCGTGAGTGCTCAACGTCTCCCACGTTTTGACAACCTCTCCAGAAACTCATCTTATCGTAATCGCACGCCGAACTGCAGTGGTTCTCACTCAGCATTGCTGTGCTGGTCATTATGGAGGGCTTGTCGGCCTTCCTTCACGCTCTTCGTCTGCACTGGGTCGAGGCGAGCAGCAAGCACTACCAAGCTGCCGGATATCCATTCAAGCCGCTCACATTTGAGGAAGAGTAAACACGTAAACAACTGCAATTCAGCAAATGGGCTGTAGCCCTTGCAACGTTCAATCGATTGGAATCGAACTGACTCTTTTGGCAGAGAATGTGCGCGTGAGGGCTCTTGTTACAGATGTCGAAATGGTGACGCCACTCGTAGATATTTAGTTACTAGAGCTCTCCATGGACCGTCTGCCTCAGATTTCTGAGCTCTCGAGGCTGCAGCGAAGGCCGCAAGAGGCGTATCGTGCGACACAGAGCCCATGTTTGGCTTCACTCTCTCCTGCAGATCTCATAGAGCACAGGATTCAAGCATCTTGGCGCCGTGCATCCAGGAAGAAGACTCGATTTGACGCGAAGACGAACGCTGCATGCACATTGCACCTCGTGATGCGGCCGACTTTTCTTTTCGTTCGACAGAACACCGATACGCGCCTCTTCTGCACGTGAGACCGCGGATCTCGCGTCGAAGATTTGAACTCTCCGCTTGCGTGCCGCTAGTCCTTGCGTTCGATTGTTGAAGTCGTCGTTGATTCATCTTTGTCAATGAAAATGCATGGGAGGCAGCATTTACTGCGATTCAAATTGCTGTAGCAGTCAAAGTCTCGAGTGTGAATCAAGTGCTTGCTGGTGCGCGACTGTTGAAGCAATTAAGCAAAGAATGAGCGTGCCGTTGCAAGCCGATCGGACCGTTCGAACGTGTTGATGTCTCACGACTGTCGCCGCCATCCAGAATGGCGCAAAGGGTAAGTTCGGTGTACGCGCCATGCATGGGGCGAGACGATGACGGTTGCGAATGTCACTATTGAGACTCCATCAGCGCTGCTGCCTCGTGGGCGCGACCAATCACGGATATGTGTGATCAGGCTGCCTGCTAATGAGACTTTGGTGTAGCTGCCTGCCGCACGAGGAATTTCTCGAGCTGCTTGCTGCTGCTCGCTTCATTCACGATGTGAGGCCGCGCCCCTCTGTCCAAAGGCGGAGTCTACGCTGTACAGTACACGGCGCGGAGTCGTGAGGCTCCCTGCATGCATGCCATCTGCAAGGCGTCTCTAGTGCGCAAGCACGATCGACAGGCCACATATAACTCAGCCTGCGACGTTCGAGATTAAAAAAGTACTGTAGAAAGCCGAAAGCAGGGCATTGGAGCAGTGACAGTCGCGAGGTTTCTTAGCTTGCCGCGACCAGCAGCAGCATGCATCAGCAGGTGCATGAGGAAAGTGTTGCTTTGCTTGGCCCGTCGGTTGCCAACGCGGCCCAACGTCACGATTTGAGCGTTTTTCAGCTAATTAGGGTGGGCAAAAGATTAGGCTCACGATGGACGAACAATTTCGATTGTGCATGATGTGCACTCACCAACACTTGTACTTTTGACTCGTCTCCATGCAGCAGCGCAAGGGCGACAAACAAAGGATGAGTTCCAATCAAAGAGGCGTGTTCATGTGAGTGCGGTGGTCTGCTGTCATGCTGCTCATGACGCTGTATGGCAGCAAATAGCGAAGGCTGAAGAGCGTCTTGTTCGTGGCGCTCAGCAGCATCATGGCTCATGGCTCATGACTCCTGCCATGCCATTCACTCACACTGATTCGAATCAGCCATGGAGATGGCCGCCATGCACCTGCATGTCGGCAGTCAGCAGAGGCGTTGCAGGGACACCGTGTAGTGATCGAAAGACCAGTCAGTCGTCTCATCTGCAATGCGCACGCACGCACGCCCGTTCGACCCGTCCACTGGCACTAATGCCAAGGCCGGCCGGCTGGCTCAGCTGCTTGCTGCTGAGCAAGGGCTCACCTCACCGTGTGATCGGGTCGATGGACAGGGGAGGCGAGGGGCTCGTCTGCTGCCGCTTGCAGATTAGAACGGAGAGGCGGTAGGATGCCTAACTCGAGCACACGCACAACTCCTATATACGAGTGCCGAGTCAGAGTGCACACGCGCGATGCTGCTGCTCCATCGGACGGTGTCTTATCCGCCATTATGGCTTGGCCTCGCGTGCGATCGATTTCGGGCAAGTACGGCTCAAGTGCCTTCATGCGCCCCAAAGATAGTCGCGCGCTTTTTTTTCGCGAGCACGAAATCTGCTGTTCCTGTTCCAAGCTCACGCAACTGATGATTGAGTAGTCGGGCAGACAGCAGCGCTCGGGACGGTACGCTAGCCTGTCACCCATTTTTCGTTCTGCCTACAGACGTGAGTTTGCGCTGGAGCCTCCTTCCACATCTCGACTCCAATCCTTCCCTTTCCATCTCTCCCATTAACATCCATCACCCACCGCTCATCAGTCCCTCTCACTCAGATCAAATCAGCACAGACTTGTCTGCTCGATTGACTTCAACTCTCTCGAACCAATCAATTTCAGGTGAGTCGTGCGTGCCCATCCTACCGCGGTCCCATCCGCCCGCCGCGTCGCACGTACATCGTGTGGGACATCAGCAGCTATATACATACGTATAGTTGTGGGCTTGTCTTCCGCCGTCACACGACGAAAGTGGTTGTCTGCTGGGGCAGTGCGTACGTCTCATCGTATGCACGCCTGTGCGTTCCGATTAACAGCCCGTCGCAGCGGATGCTCGGCGTCACTCGCAGGCCATCCCCACATGGGCAGCCTTTCGCACGCTCTTGCGCTCCGCTCCTCTCTTGTCCGCGTCTATCTGCCGAGCAGCAGCAAGTCCTTCTCGATTGGCGTACTTTGCTGCTTTTGCGTGGGCGTGACCAGGTTGGAGAGGCGACAGTGCGAGCACAAGCGAGCTCTGCGACGTTTGAGGCTGGATGTAACTCGAGACCGTCAAGTTAGAGTTAGAGTGTCGGCCATGCAGCCTACGCAGCCTCGCAACCCAAGCTCCACTCAATTTGCGGCGCCTTGTCCGTTTCAGTTCGTGATCGACTCATCAGTCTTGTGGCTGTTCGTGTGGGTCACGTACGCGCAATTGCTTCGCAAGGAGTGACCCGCGCAGTCATGCCTCCTCTCACGACTTCATCGTCAGTCGTGCTCGCTGCAAGTACATAGCCTGCAGCACGCAGCCAAGACCTAAGCCATTCAAATTGCGTGTACCTTGCGCTCGGAAGTACGTCACGAAGCTGGGCGCAGCCATCTTTCCGTTGCCGCTGGCTCATTTGTTGCAGCGGCAGTGCGAGAGATATCGTGCTTCGATGACCAGCCAAAGCTTCTCGCATGTGAGCCCCGTGACTGACGCTCTCTTCTTCACCAACCTTTGGTTACCTGCTGCACCTCATCTCCATCACCTTTCCGCACTCTCGCCATCCAATCTATCCTCGTCAAACAACTTCAGTCCCACCAAACGAACCCAACTCACTATCAACACCATGTCTTCCACTGAGGCCCCTGTCGCTGCTGCTGCCGCCCCCGAGGCCGTCGTAGCCCCCGAGGCTCCCGTCGACGCTCCCGCTGCTGCTGTTGAGGCTCCCGCTGCCGAAGCCCCCATCGCCGCCACTGAGGCTCCTGCTGGTGAGTAGAGTACCAATCCACGCTGAAAACAAACGCCTCACTAGCATACCCAAGTAACGTCGTTGTCTTTGCCTTGGTTCACTTGCAGCTGTCGAGGAGGCTGTCAAGACCGAGGAGAAGCCCGCTGAGGCCACTGCCGAGGCCGAGGCCGCCAAGGAGGAGGTAAGTCGTGCAGAATGGTGATGAAGTCAACCTGGCCTGGTCTCATCACACTTCGTCACGGTCTAGACTGCTACTCCTGCCACCCCCAAGAAGGAGAAGCGTCAGTCTTTCCTGAACAAGTTCCAGGGCCTTTTTGCCAAGAAGGAGAAGAGGTGAGACTTCGCGTAGATCTCGCTGGCCCCACTGCCGACCACATGCGCTGACTTTGGCCATCTTCTTGTTATCACTTTTCCAGCCCCAAGAAGACCAAGGAGGCTGCTCCCGCTACTGAGGAGGAGACCAAGGCAACTGAGGAGGCACCTGCCGCCGCCGCCGCTACTGAGGAGGCCAAGCCCGTTGAGGAGGCTGCTGCCCCCGCTGAGACCAAGGTTGAGGAGGCCAAGCCTGCTGAGGAGGCCACTGCTCCTGTTCCCGCCGAGGAGACCAAGCCCGCCGCCGAGGAGCCAGCCGCTGAGGGCGTTAAGGTGAGCTGACTGACATGACTGGCACCGGGCGTACTTTTGGACGCCCTGATTGACGTTAAGCCTCACTCGCCCAACAGATCGACGAGTCTGCCAAGAAGGAGGACGCTGCCACCCCCTCGCCCAAGGACAAGATCGCCCGTCGTCTCTCGACCCGCGTTGGCGCTCTCTTCGCCAAGAAGGACAAGAAGGCCACCGAGGCTGCTCCGGTCACTGACGAGAAGGTCGAGACCGCTGCTGCTCCTGCTGAGGCCGCCGCCCCTGCTGAGGCTGTTGAGGTCAAGGCTGAGGAGCCCGTCGCTGCTCCTGTGGCTGCCCCTGCTGCCGCACCTGCCGTTGCTGCTGCCGCCTAAAGCGGACAGCGCATCTCACTCGTAGTAGGCACTTCGCCTTCTTCAAGCTCTCTTGTTCGTCCACCGCAAGTTCAAGTCCCACTCGTACATGGGCAAAAGCCCCAGCCTTCGATCTCTTTAGGAAGAATGGTCATCTATCTATACCCCCCGCTCTTTCCGAAAGCATCGAGGGCAATCATCCGTCTCGCTTGTCCAAACCCCCCCTCTCCCGATCCACGCTGCCAATCTCCTACATATGCCAAGAAGGACATAGCTACAGGGCTGCTTCTCCGACAATGCAACAGAATGTCGCTTATCGCCATCCCACGCATTTGTCCGAGCACGGCTCGTGTCCCTCTCTCTCTCACCAGCCCCCATCCACGCGCAGCGTGATATCCATCGATATCCACGTCATATACATATCTTAACCCTTCAATGCATACACTACGTATGTCTCTAAACATGTCTTGGCTGAGTGTCTGAGTCGCAGTGTGAGAGTGACTGTAGGTGCTGCTTGCTGCCTATCGCTGGTCCGGACAGCTTGCTCTGGAGGAGCAGTGATGATGGACCACTTTCCACCTGGTCGACGAACGAAGGTCATGTTCAAGGCGCACGACCTGAGCTACTTTCACGCCGGAATCACCGGTAGTAGTACCTTGAACTCACGACTTGTGCTCTCGCGACCTGCCGCCTCGACTGGCGACGATGGTGACTGGAAGGGTCGTCGCTGAAAATGTAAAGGATGCATGAGCACTCTGACATGTTTGCACTAGCGTCATATCCTTGTCGTTGAGAACGTCAGCGCACGCTTGCACCAGCAGCAGGTCGTCCTCTCCCGAGCGTAGCTGAGCCGCGAGCGGAGAAGCACACGGGGCGATCGATGACTGTGACGGTCGCCCAAGGTCCCTGGTTCTGCTGGTTGTGAGTAGGATCTCTCTGTCCTCGTGCGCGTCTCCTAGCTGCTCTTCCATGCCTGCCTGCCTGCCTGCCTGCCTGCACCTTTACCCGCCCGGCTTTTCGTATTGTGGACTCTGTTGATCTGACTCTCACGGGCTGGGCTGATCGAGGGAGGGGGCCTGCATGAAGAGCCGAGCTAGAAGAATGCTGCGAGCGCGTCGCGATGGCAGCGCGGCGGGCAGGCAGATCAGAGATGGCGCAAGCAAGCAAGCAAGCAAGCAAGCTCGCCGCTGCAACTCGATCTGATCCTCCTGCATCACCCCATCCATGGTCCTGCTGGAGCAGGGAATTGAGCGTATTCACGATCTAACATTAGCCATGTCTTCCAAAGATGAGATGCACCTCGAACTTCAGTGGCTGACAAGCGAGCTGGCTTGTCACCGCTCTCGAACTGCTAGTTTTGGGTTGGCATTCATTAGAAAGAAATCACGCATTCACGACTCCACGGCGGTCGATCTAATGGAGCAGCTGACAGTCAGAAATTGTCGCTTCACCAAAGCCTCTGCGATAGCGTCTCGTCTCGACCGCACCACTCGAGAATCAAGACGCCTGCCAATTTGTTTTGGCTACGCCCCTTCATCCAGTGCTAAGCATGCATGCATTGATTGACCTTTAGCTTGATCTAGCAAAGGCGCGATCAGCTCAGATTCCTGCCAAGAAGCAAAGAGGCTGTCTCGTGAGGTGCCTCGTGAGGTGCCAGTCGTGAGTCTTGAAGTGGCAGATTGGATGCGACCGTCGATAACGCTCTCTGTCGACCTTCGCGGTCATGCACCTCGCAAACGATGCCACTTGCAAGCTGCGGCAGACTCGCTCTTCGACTCGATGTAACGACAGGCCTGTGCAAACCGCCGGCATTTATAAGAAGCTGGTGCTTCGTTCCGCTTCATCCAAGCCGCTGGGCTCTTGGTCGAAGAACAACCCTTCTCACCACTTCATCTGCGAGCATAGCAGTCATGTCTTGGGCGCTTCTTCTCGCTTGCCAGGTCGCCTCGCTGTTGCCGGCGGCATTGGCTTCGCCAGACCTTGTCTCTGTTAGACCTTCCGCAGACCTGCAGAGAGGCTCTTTGGCCAGTCTGCACTTCGGCTGGCTCTCATCAGAGGCTTTCACACACTCAGCTGAAAGGCACGACGACGCTCACTACTCTGTCACTCATGGCTTGTGCGACGAAAGCTTCCAACAAGCGCTTGCGAAGTTCTCAGGCAAGCCAGAGCGATTGGCTTGGGTCGTTCCGGAAGACATCGTCGAGCAAGGCTGCCTCTTCGTTCAGCATCGGGGCTCCGAGGGAGAGGAACCACACATCGTGGGTCGCAGCAGCGCCTTCAATGTTGCGCAGCCGCGTAAATTCAAGCGTGCTGCCGATTTCCAAGAGGAGAATCCGTTGCTGAAAGATTTCGAGTCCCTAGGAGCTTGGTTCGATGGTGTCGCCGCTATCAGGGCCAAGACTAACAGCGACGGTGCGGTCGTTTCCCGCAGCAAAAATACCTCCATAGGTATCGTCGGAGCTGGGGTCGCAGGCTTGGCTACAGGCCTCATGCTAGATAGCGTGGGTCTGCGCAATTGGCACATTATTGAAGCCAGCGACAAAGTCGGTGGTCGTTTCAGATCGCGATACGTCGGACCGACGAAGGAGATTGCTGAAATGGGACCTATGCGATTGCCCTACACTGTCAAATACGACGATGGCGAGGTTCTACCGTACACAGATCACCAGTTGACCTTCCAACTGTTCGACTGGCTGAATGATTTGAACAAAAATGCCAGTGATTACAAGATTGATCTCATCGACTGGATCCAACATTCGCCAAACGAGCTGCTTGCACGTGGCACCGGCAGACTGGCGAATGGACGCATTCCCACGCGAGCCGACATTGCCGCCAACGCTTCATTAGCCCAGCCTAAGCCCTTGGATACCAAGGCGTACAACGACACCAAGTCGCGCATGAACGACATTCTTTTGGACAAGGCGCGACTCAAGTCGATCCAGCGAGATGTGTGGAGAGCGCACAAGCTGGCAATGGATCAGGGTTTCGACGACTGGAGCGAACAGGCTTTCATGAGGCACGTGTTCAAAGCCAGCGAGAACGTTACTGATGCGATCTGGACTTCGAGCGACTACGACGTTTTCTGGGATGAGATGCACCACAACTCCAATCTAGGCCTTAGCGGTGGTCCTGGAGCACTTGGAGAAACTCAGTGGAAAGCCGTTGCGCAAGGATTTAGTCGTATTGGAGAAGCCTTCATCCCTCACGTTCAGGACAGACTGACGCTCAACAGACAGGTGCGCAAACTTGAGAACATTGGCAATCGCACACGCATCTCGTGGTATCCCAGCGAGGCGAATCGCACATTCGAGTCGGCCGAATTTGATTACACGATTATGGCTGCACCTTTCACGATGACAAGATTCATGGATCTACCACCCTTCTCCTCCGTCCTATCTCGTGCCATCTCTGAGGCAGGCCTGCGCTTCAAGTCGGCTTGCAAGGTTGGTCTGCTGTTCAGGGAGCGCTTTTGGGAAAAGGGCGACAGACCCATCTTTGGTGGCTACTCTCAGCCTTCAAGCAATGCCGTCGGAGCCCTCTACTACCCGATCTTCAATCTCAACCAGACGCGTCCGGGTCTGATTTTGCACTACCGCGGGGGAGACTGGAGCGATCGCATGGTCGCGCTCACGGACGAGGAGCATGTTGGTCTGGTCTTGGATTCCATCGTGGAGCTACATGGTCAACAAGCACGCGAGTTGTACACTGGGGATTACGAGAGGCTTTGCTGGCTGTCCGACAGGTTCACAGCTACGTCATGGACTCGACCGGACATTGAGCAGCACAAGCTGTACATCCCATCCTACCACGTCACGGAGCACAACACGATCTTCATTGGCGAGCACACTGCCCCGACGCATGCGTGGATAAGCTCATCTCTACATTCTAGTGTCAGAGGTACAATTCAGCTCTTGTTGGAATTAGGGCTCGTCGATGAGGCCAAACAGCTCAACAAGCAGTGGATGGGCCGATGGATACGCCTCTAGGTGGGATGTAGAGCAGCTTCGAGAGGTTGATGACATTTGTGCGCATTTTGCTCTCTCTCGACGGGCGGAATTACGGTCTCCTCGATATGGTGCAATGCATCTGTCCAGATCCAATAAGACTTCCTTTACGTGCCGCTAGGGACGCCAACATGAATGGCACTTGTCATTGTGCGCGAACAAAAAGTTGGCTATACCGGCGTCCGACACCTTTGCCACCCTCTTTGGCGAGACGTGTGCGAGTTTGCCGAAACCTAGAGTGCTAATATGGCATTTTGCCGCTCAAGTTTTCCTGTGTGTTGTGAGGGCATTGCGCCCGAACTCAAATTTCCCTCCGCGTCTCCACACTGTGCGACTTCGCCACTCCACGGCATCAAGAGCGAAGTTGGAGAGCAGGAAAGCAGTCGTAGCATACTCAAATGTTTAGCATACCAGCTGATGCTAACTGTCTAGCATACGCGCTGATGTTCAACATCTGGTCACCGTACCCGCTGATGCTACGATGGGACAGTGGGGCGCCTTCTCGCGCCCGAGGGGCTCTTCAACACGCCAAATTTCACTGCTATGCCATTGAATGGCTGCGGGTTTGCCGAATGTCTGAGCCACTGTGCTGTAGGCCGTCCGTGCTTGTCACCCTTTCCCGGCTCACGCGCTATCGAGACTGAAAACTGTTGTCAGCTCGAAAAGGCTGATCGAGGAAGTTAGGAAAGCCAAAGCGAACGCCGTCCCAATCCAGTTCAGCCTCACCAATGACCTACGTATAGCCCTTACTCTTTGCCTCCGTCATGAAGCTGCCGCACGCTTCAGTGTTCTTCGCGCCCCTATGGTCTGCCTTTCTGATCATCGTGCTTCCAACTACATCCAGTCGCCCAGTGAGCACGTCAAGAGGCAAGGAGGTCGCGCAGCAAGTGACTGATGGAAAATGTGTCATCGATTGTAGCGGCTTGGGAGGGCGCTTCTACAATGGCTGGTTAGATGCCACGCAACAATCGGCCGATTTCTACAAAGAGCACATTCAGCCAAAAATGCACCGTTTCAAAGTAAGATCATAGTGGCTTGTCAATACTTCCGAGGTGCAGCATGGTCCTGATGAGAGCTCCGTCGACTTCTGTAGCCTACCAGACACTGGCAGACCTCGAAGGAAAATGAGCCTACCGTCATTGGAATGGCGTACGATGAGTGAGCAGACCAGGCCCACGGACGCTTCACACACCTAATCCTTGAACCTCGCGCTGAGACCTTGACTGGTCTGGCAAAGGAACGGCAAGCCATTGATGGGCATCAACGCCCAGCCAAAAGGAAATACCAAATTGACCACATTGCATCTGCCGCCTGGAGTGAAGCTCACCTTGAATCGGAAGCAGCATGTTGGGCCGCCCCACTACCAGATACCTCACTCGCATTGGAGTGGCACACTTGCCACTCCTGAAGCATCCGCCTCCACCGAGCAAGCAACGCCTGCAGGCGTGGTATTGGTGGACAAAAGGCCTAGGCATGTGAAGGCTCACAGCATCAGATTCAAAGACGCTGGAATGCAGGTGTCAGCCAATTGGTATCGAGACCATATCAATCCTCGAGTACACACCATGGAGGTGAGTGAAGTCTCCCGACCCAGAAATTGTGATCTCTGAGAACAAAGGAACGCCCTCCTCTGTGGGACGAATGCTGACTAGGGGACGATCGCGCCTTTTTCATCAAAGGTGCACTCTCGAATGAGGATGTCACCCCTCAAGTTGCCAAAAGCTCTGGAAGCGTTGCCCGACCCGCAGCAGCCGTACAGCATTGTCTCGCTGTACGATTCCGAGGGCAAGCCGTTGCACCGGCTTAAAAGATGGCGGCCTACCTCTAATGCTGAGCCACGTGTACGCCTTCATTTGGCCCCAGGTTTGCACATGCTCGACGGCAATGGCAACCACTACCACAGCAAGGATCCGCCTCCTTATACGCTGGAGGAGCGCGACCCCAGCTACCAGGGCGCAAGTGCGTTCGAACCGAGCTGGCGGTATCGGAGCTCACGCACTTCATCAGACTCGGGGCGGAGCGCTAGTGTCCCTGCAATCGAAAGCTCGCACCACGACGAAATCCCTGCTGCTATCCCGCATAGCCAGCCAGGATCAAGCTCTTTGCAGCGTACGCATTCTGACGAGGCAGAGGGCAGGACTGGCATTCCGGACCTGAACTGGCCTGCTGTTTCGCAATCAAGCGACCTGCGAGAACGAGCGGTTGCTCTAACATGATGAAGTTGCTTCCGACCAGCGTCGCGCACGCACAACGCGATGCATGTACCGGTACATAGAGCTCAAACCTGCAATATGAACACCAACATCCCTGTCGAATACAAGCGCGACACCAGTAGCTGTAAGCAAGTAGCTCCACGCTTTGCAACACCACTCACTGATGTCTCCGGCACAGGGGCCGCACAAGGACAAGGCGCTCGCCTTCTCACAACGCAATCTTTTCATCCTCGGTGCGAGAAGGCCCAAAGACACCAGACTTGCCGCAAGTAGCACACACATCTTGACGTCTGATGGTCGTTCTGTATCGAGCCCTGGAGAAGCGCGCCTTGTAGGAATGGCGAAGGTCGGGAAAGGGGGGCGGGATTTGGTGCTGGCGATGCTCTCGCGTGCCTGCATGATTCGATTCACCATTCAAATACGAGCAGCATCGATTTTGCAATGCATACCTCATCAATCACGAGTGTATCTAAATCATCCCAGCACAGACACGATCGCTGATCCACAGAGAGGTTGACAGAAGCTGGCCGCGACCGACCTCAGCTTGTGGCCATGGCTGCGATGGCTGTGCCGTAAACGCATTCGTCGATTTGACGTATGGCTGGCTGATCTCCAAGCGCAAGGTTCAGGTTTGCCGGTCATCCAGGCATATAGCGCAATCCTTGTTTCCGCTTGGCTTGACGAACCTCTGTCCTCATTCGGGCGCCACAATCAAGGGCTGAGTAGAGTGCACATATGCCTCCAGAAGTACGTATAGAAAGTGTAATTTGAAAGCACCTCGCCTCGCCGAAGTGAGAGAGATGGTGGTCGGGTGGCCGGGTCTGAATGTCTGCTTCTCAAATCCTTGCATGTCTTGGATGCCGGATTCCGACGAGAGCGCTCCTACGCCCACGACGTGTCTGCGGAGAGGTGTCAGCCCAGGAAGCCAGCTTGACTATGCATCACTCTTGATTCACGTTCCATTTGCTGGCTTTGGACGCAGCAGCTAAAAGTGGCGCTCTTCTTCATTGCCCTCCGGATGCATTTCATGCTGCATCCTGGCCTTTTTACTCAGTCAGCCCTGAGGTGGCAAGCTCAGGACCAGTTGGAGGTGGCAAGAGGACTGGTCTGCGCTGCGAGGCCGCAATGAGGCCGACTGGAAGTCACTGGCCGAAGGTACGAAGTCCAGACACGCTGTGCCTCAGCGGGTGCGTGACCCTCTGCATTATCCTTGCGTCTGCAACGTTGACTATCGCAGATTGCGCCGCCCAGCAAGCAGATGACGGGTGCAAGAGGAGGCAGCGTGTCGACCTCGACGTGAAGGAGACCCATTCCGAGTCCACAGCGGCGTCGCATTGGATGAAGTGCCTCACTCAGCACCAAGAGGTGCACTGTGATCAAACATCGACGCTGCCTCTGCTCCCTCGCGGAACGAGCTCTGAGGCACCTTCTTCGATGGACGACCTTGGACCATCGCATCTCTCGCTGTCATCGGGCGACGTCGGTGCCAGGCCAGACAGCACTCCTCCGCAGACGCCTCAGGAGATCAAGCTTGATGTCGCTCCGCGTCCGTCGCAAAATGCTGCATCAGACATGCCTCTGGATGCTTCCCCCGCTGCACCATCTGAGCTCACACACCCGTCAAGTGAGCCAGGCTCGCCACCGTTCGACCCCACCCCGCGCAGGATAGGCGCAGCAAAATCTGTTGACGCCCATGGCGCATCGCCTGCAGCCCAAGGACTGGCCCTAAAGAGCACGGCCACTCCAAAAGAGAGCCAGAGCGAGGCACACGAGCAGGAGCACCAAGGGGACGCAGCGAGTCCGGCAAGTCCAACATCGCCGGCACAGTCCAGCAACACTCCTCTGCTGGGTCCCACATCATCACGTAACGATGATGGCGCTTATGAAGTTGGCACTCACCAGTCTGTTCCCCCTTCGACTGCTTTCGAACCGCAAGCAAACCAGACTGTCGAAACGAGCCACCGCGAAAGACCGACGCGACCGACGCTCGATCCTTCGCTACCCGACGCCGATCTTCTCGGTGACAGTAGCTCGGGCTCGAAGCCTTCGCACTGGCGTGCAAAAGTCGGTCTTCCACAAGCCAACACCTCTTCGCAAGTGTTAACAGCAGACAGCTCGACCCCTTCGTCGTCTGGCAACGCTCACCCGCTAAAAGACTTGAAGGCTCAATCAGCTAACCTTACCGGCCCCCAGCGCTCGTCTACTACTCCAATTGCGAGCGGATTGGATCGAGACGTTTCAGGAAATCGCAGCAACGCCTCCGCCCCACCTCAACCGACCATATCACCATCCGCCGTAGCAGAAACGCCGGTCGCTTCCACGACTGTCGTGACGACGATCGAAGCTAGTGCAACAGTGTCTACCGTGCAGCAAGTCTTCTCAACCTCCGTCAGCACACCAAAGGACGAGCCTAGCGTGACACTGATCAAGGTTGTAGAGATCACCACGACACCAGCGAGTCCGACTGTTAAGGGTGGCAAGCTCAACAATCCTAGCGGCGCGCTAGGGGCATCGTGGATGGAACGTCTTGATTTGCAAGTGATCTTCACCACCGTCTTCGTCGTAGCGATGAGCGTAGCTGCTTTCGGGGCTCTGTGAGCGCGAAGGATTTTCGCAGACTGTCCCTAACGAGGCGTAAAGAAGGAGACCAAACGAGGCAATGGATTCGCGCAAGTGCTCTCGAACGCTTCATTCGCCACCGCAGGCAAGGGAGGGATCGCAACGATTTGCAGGCTTTTCCCAGGTCGAAAAGCCAGGTGCAAAGCCTCGTGCCTACAGGTGCTGAGGCCGGCCTGCAGACCACAGTGACTGTTCCGCTGGCTCGGATACCGGCTACTGCAAATCACCGGATCAAGAGCCTCGCAGCTTACCAAAAAAAAACGTCGTCATGGTCCTTGCACCAGGCTCTATGAACCACGAAATTAAGCTGACAACTCCCATCAGCAGAGGCGAGCCTGCGATCATCTCGCCACTCGCCGAACAGAGGCGTCGATGAGTGCGGGGGTGGCTTGGAAAGAAGTTGAACAGTTGCGCCGCTGCCAGGATCCATGCCTGTCTCACTTCGCAAAGGGGGGCCATCCCCGAATGTCGAGGCGGGAAAGATGGACGTCGAGATGCATTTGACATACGTTGCCGTGCGGGATAGAGGAGGAGGACCCAGCAGCAGAATGACACGCGGTACCTGAAGGAAAGCCATGCAGCGGTCCAATTCAGTGCGTGGTAGAACGCGGGGCCCCAGTGGATCTCATATGCTGTGCCACGCAAAGCATGCGAGCAAGACATTTGTTGACCTGCGCTGTGAGCAAGAAGTGAAACAGCAATGAATGGATAAGACCTCGATCTCGAGATTTTTTGGCCTGCGTCAACGCCACCCCGGGTGCCTGGCGAAGCGCAAGAACAAGTAATTTGTCAAGAAACCCAGCGAGAGCTTGATTTGGCGATGTCGGAGCGCGAAGAGGCTGTCGCCGGTACTAGCTGCCAAGATGCTCGCTGGCTGACCTGTGTCTGTGTTTAGATTGGGGTAAGGTCTGAAGTCCGCTGTCGGACCTGACTGACCCTTGACACAACGAGCCGAATAAGGACGCCTGGGCGTGGGAATGGCTGTGTAGAGGTAACGGCAAAGGTGCCGCATGGCCGCCACACTTGCAGAGAAAGGCCACTGGCGAGATGTGCGTGAAGATGAGCCCGTTGGGTCGAGAATTCCAGAACCGCTTCGGCGAATGATGATGTCCGACTGCCGAGCAAGGAAGATGTGCGAGCTTGCAAGGAGATGCGGAGAAGTGTGGGGTAAAGGTGCATGTACCGTACCGTGTAGCGTTAGGTACAGCACCGCAGAAATCGACGGCGGTTGATCCGAAGCGGTGTGCCTGCATGGCGTCGAAGGCTTTGACGCGCGATGTCGGTCTCTGCCATATACCGGTATTGTACTACCGTACGACCTGATTGCCAAGCATGCAGGCCCCCAAAACTGCGTGCAAAGGCCCAGAGTCTTCATTGTTGCTATTCGGCCAAGTCAGACAGAAAAAGCTTCAAAGTCACGAACGTCTTTTTGCCGCATGGCCGGTAGGCCAGCTGTTCATCGTGAACTCCACGGGCCGAGCAGGCCAGATACCAGCAACAGGGAGACAGGGCGATGGGCCACGCGCTCGCGCTGCTTGACGCCGCAAATCGAGGGGAGTGGGCAGATGGGAAGGGTAGGAAGAAGTGGAAAGCGGGGAAGCGCGCATGCACGGCCGCTGGCTTGGCTTGCATGATTTGTCCGCCCGGGCAAGGGACGAGGATGGAGGAACGAGTTGGACCGACTGGAGGACACGAGGTCAGCTCACTGCTCGCCTGCTGGATGATGATGGATCGACTGACTGACTGACTGACTCCTGCTACTCGACCCGCCTTGCCGCGGTTTCCGTGACGTTGCCACTCGACATGCTTGCTGCTGCCAGTTGCTGCAGAGAATCACACTCGCTCTTGCACTCACACTGTGACTCGGCGTATACTGTGTGCTTGTGTAGCAATTGCATGGCTCCCTCAGATTCGCCCCACTATACCTCTCGAATGCCGATTCTTCCCTCCTGATGACGCACAGACTTGAGCCGAGACACGCCGGGGAGAGGGGCAAAGCTCGCATGGACTGCGGATGCCGCGCCGACGAGCTGTCATTTGCGTGTTGCTGTTGCTGTTGCTGTTGCTGGTGAAGCATCAGGAAGGAGGCGGGCAGACCTCATTAAGTGATTCTCGTAGAAGAAGAGGTGGGACGCTCTGCTCACTTGATTCGTGGCTTGCGCGGGCCGCATCAAGCGTTACCGCGGCGCGACTCACAGACCATGCATGCATGATGCGGACGCGGCTGCCATGGCAGGCAGCCACACAGCGTACGCACTTGCATGCGCGAATGCATCCACGATTGGGGGCGGCGTGCAGCAGCAGATACAATCAGAATAAGAAATGTGAGGCCTACGTGGCGCTTGTCACTTCTTGAACCCTCCCCCTTGACGGCGCATAGCGGTACCTAGATAAGCTCGGAAGAGGCAAAGGAAGAGAGGTGAAGCGAATGCAGTCGTGAGTGTAAGATGGAACCTTGTGGCTGGCGGAGTGTAATGTACAGCAGTCGTGCAGGAGTACACCGCTACTCTAGCTGTACCTACCGTAGCGCGCATGGTCACCACACCATCCACACCCCTGCTAATGTCCCAGTGTGAGTGTGAGTGTGAGTTGTGAGTGAAGTTTGCATCTTCGCCAAGCCTTTAGGAAATCTCGCTTCAACGCAGCTTCCCCACATCCGCATCCGCATCCCCATCCCCATCCGCGCATCAGCTCGCAGACAGCCACTGAAGCTTTCGAAAGTGAATTGACAGTCAGAATGACGACAGCTGCAAGCTCCTTCATCCGGTCCACTCTAAATCCATGGGGCTAGCCTGCATGTGTGCGGAACAGGGGTTCGCCAGGCACGATCGAGGTAAGGTGGCTGAGACTAATCGGCTACCGTCAGGAAAGACGGTTAGTCAGGTCGATTGGTGCGGCAACAGTGCGTGACTTGCTCGCGGTGCGTACACCCGGCACCACACCAGCAGCTGATGTTGCTCGCACAAAGCTCCACACACGCACACATCTATAAGAGGGGCCATTCCGAACGTCACGCAGAGCCTTCCCCCTCTCTGTAGGTTTGCCATCAGGACTCGAGTCGAACGCCTCTCCCAATCCTGCCTCACCTCCTCTCACCTAACATCGTCTTCATCCCCTCTCACCTGAGCGCCCACCCTAACACAAATACGCGCACGCGCACGCGCACGCGGCTCACTACTCGCCCACCATGCAGTCCCTCAACAGACAAGAGACTACTGTCTCTGACGACAAGCGCATCTCCGACCCAGAGCTGGCGGTAGGCCAAACAGATGCGCTCGGCTACACCACCGACGCCCAGGATGTCAAGACGGCATCTGGATCTCAGACGCAGCTGCGAGCCAACATCGACGAGGGCATGGACCCTTGGGAGGTCAAGAGGACAATGCGCAGGGTCGATTGGAGGCTCGTGCCCATCCTCGCAGCCCTGTACTCCATCTCCCTTATCGACCGTACCAACATCTCCCTTGCTCGTGCAGCAGGTATGGGAAGGACCCTCAACCTGAACATTCCAGGAACAAACTACTATTCCATCGCCGTCCTCATCTTCTTTGTTCCTTACATCCTCTTTGAGCTCCCTTCCAACCTCGGAATGAGGCGATGGGGCGCTGCCAAGTGGCTCGGCGGCGCCACCATCCTCTGGGGTATCGTCATGCTCGCCATGGGCTTCGTAGAGACCTGGCAACAACTCGCTGCATGCCGTGCTCTGCTCGGTATCTTTGAAGCTGCATTGTTCCCTGGTGCCGTTTACTTGGTGAGTGCTGTGCGGCCGTCACCATATCGAAGACTTGTTGACTGATCGATTCACATCGCCTGTTTTCTCGCAGCTTTCTTCCTGGTACCCGAGAGCTGAAGTGCAACGAAGAATGTCCATCTTCTACTCCCTCTCCATCCTCGCTTCCGGCCTCTCCGCTATCCTCGCTTACGGTCTTGGTTTGATTCGCATGTACAAGAACCAAGGATGGAGGAGCATCTTCATCATCGAAGGCATCATCACCGTTGTCCTCGGAATCGTCGGTGTGCTAGCTATCGTCGACTTCCCTGGACCCAAGGCCAAGTTCTTGAGCGAAGAGCAACGCGCGATCGTCAAGACGCGCATTGAGCGAGACCGTGCCGACTTCGTCCAGGACAGCATGACCTTTTCAAAGCTGATGCGCTTCTCTCTCGATCTGAAGATCTGGGCCACTGCTATTCAATTCTTTGGCGCGACTCTTGCAAGCTACTCTCTCAGCTACTTTTTGCCCAGAATTTTGGCCGGCATGGGTTTCGACGTTGCCCTCAGCCAGCTCCTCGTCGCTCCTCCTTATGTCTGGGCGCTGGTTCCCGTCATCGGATCCGCCTTCATCTCGGACCGCTTCCAAGTCAGGACACCCCTGATCGCCTTCAACGCCATCTGCACCATCATCGGCACCAGCGTTTACTCGTACGCGACCGGTACTGGACCTAGGTACTTTGGCGTCTGCCTTGCCGTCGGTGGCTGCAACAGCGTCGTTCCCCTCGTCATTGGATACTCTCAAATCAACATTCGAGGATCGGCCAAGCGTGCCTTCACCAGCGCCATCGTCGTCGCATTTGGAGGTATCGGTGGTATTGCTGCAGGCCTATCATTCACCGAGAGAGCCGCTCCTCACTACACTCAGGGTATCCACTTGACCCTCGCTATGAACGCCATCACTGTCGGAATCTGCGTCCTTCAGCACATCATCTTCAGAGTGCAGAACAAGCGCGCCAACGATGGAAAGGCCGTTCTCGAAGGCCACCAAGATTTCAGATACCAGCTCTAAGTCAGTCGATAGGTCTGAACTTACGGCTTGTTTCACCTTTCAACGGTCTTTGACGAACTCGTTCCAGCTCCCATTGCCACGCCACGCCACGCGCTCTCGCCCTTGTCATCTTGCGTCTTTCTTCGCCTCTTGATCTCCTCCCGCGTCACCGTCCAGCACCCTCTCACGTCTCACATGTCCAGTCGATGTATCTCTTCGAAACGCACCCTATACATGGAATGCCAAATTGCTGAAAGGATAACGGTGCCTGAGCAGCGCGATTGATGGTGTGGAACGCTGCTATGCTGAAGTAACTCGTGCAAGGGGCCAGACGTCGGCGCTGCGCAGCAGCCAAGGTGAGATCAAGACTTACATGCAAAGGAGCGATAATGCAATGAAGGGGCCGTAGTGTGCTATAGGAAAGTTATATAAAAAAACCAACTGAAACGGATCGCTGCAAACCTCTTGAGCAGGAAAGGAAAGCGCTGCGGAAAGGCGCAAGTGAGGAGCGTGCCTCCGCACACGACGACGCGTCATGGTATGGAGTGCACAAGCACGCTTCCAGGCTGTCGGGGGGTGGGACGATTGAGATGGAGCTGCTTCTTCTAGCCCGTGCGCCCGCAGCATACTCACAGTGGAAAGTCCAGGTCTCACGCCTTTCATTCTGAAAAGCAGTCCCAGCAGGGAATGGATCTTGGGCTATTGGAAATGCGAAGTGAAACGGTCAATCAGTGACGCTCGTTGCAGATCTTTGGCGACTCGAATCTCGCGCGAACTTTGACCAATACAGGTCGAGTCACAAGCATACTCACGTGCTTGTACGATTGTATGGCACTGATATCCTCCACAGCGGCCTGGACAGCCTCGACGTCCCTGTCCACATCGACGAGCTCATGAGCGCTCGTAACAAAGTCGGATTCATCTGCACTTGTTCTCGGTATTCCAAGTAGGCCGTTGCCAGAATCGCTCCGTTTAGCTACGACACCGCCCACCAAGTGGGGATGCTGATGCTCAGATCCTCCTGCATTGCTGTGCGGTCGAGAGCTGGCTGGAGAGCCGGTCTGAGAGTCGCGCTGCCGATGGTTTGCTACATTTTGTGACCGCGAGCTGCCACTGCTGGGTCTGCTCGGATGCATCAACTTGTCCAGGATGCGCGCTCTTCCTCGCTGCTCGGCGAGACCAATGTCGTTCCCTTCGGGCTGCATCCGCGCTTTGACGGCCGCACCCTCAAGTGCGTCTGCTCTGTCTCGTGGTTCTTCCAGCGCATCTTTTGGAGGAGCGGCATTAGGTAGATCCGGAGGAATCACAGTATGCTCGGCGTGGAGATGTGCTCCATCACTGTCTGCTACGTGTTGAAGAGCGCCTTCGGCTTTGTGCGCATGATGCTTGTCATCTGTTGGTTTCTGCCCAGCTCCCATCTTAGGATCTTTACCAGCTACCACTCGAAATTTGAAACCCGGGTCGTTGGCTCTTTCTCGGTAACGCTGTCTACTAAGACCGATCTCCACGTACGCCGCTCTGCTGAATAGACGCACCGCGGCATGAGGTCCGACAGTAGATCTGAAGAGATGCGGCAGAAGGAAAGGGTAGTCTGAGACGTCGAGATGATTTGTGGCGCATACTGTCAACAGGAAGCCTCTATTTTCGCCATTGGCCTGACGAGCGGCACTCATGATGCGCTTCAACTTCTCAAAGTGTTCCTGCCATACCGAGAAGGCTTCGGTGTTGATGCAGAACGTTGGCACCGAGTTGGGCTTCCCGCCATCCTCGACGACGGGTTCGACCCAGGGGTCCAGAACGATGGTGAGCAGCCAAGGCGGCATGGATTGCTGGTCTGCGCTGGTCCCGTTGGGCGTTTCGTTTTCAGGTGCCATGCGAGAGGACTCGAGCACTGCAGCACCACCGAACGAATGGCCCATCAAAGCAGGCTTGTCGACATCCAGCTTCCCTTTCCACGCCGCGAGACCATCGATGGCTTCTTCTAGACTTCCCGCTGTGTAAGAAGGCTGCTTTCCTACTCGTCTCTGCTTCTCGCGCTTCGCAGCCCCTGTGCTCAATTTGTTTGCGAGGCCACGTGTGCTTTCTCTCGCCACTTGCTCTCCTTCACCCCGTTCAATCCTCTTTAACACGTGTAAGCACTCATTGAGCTCAGCATTACGCATCGCCAATTGTGCTTGGCGCAAGCCCATCTCATCCTCGGTCGGCTTCGGCGCGAACGATCTCATGCCTACTGCCTCAAAGACGAGATACGGCACGTCTGATTTGGGCTGATAGGATGCTGTGCGCCTTCCAAGCAGTCTGTTGGCGTGCGGGTGGTGTTCAGTCTTGCCTGGATTCTTCGTCGTCAGGGCTGATCCCTGCGCAGGTCCGTCTCGCTGCACTCGCTGCGCCTCGTCCTTGCCCTGCTCCGCATCTTCTTCCTTTTCGCCTTGACCAAGAGGGAAGCGGACAGAGCTGCGAACCCCCGAGCCATCCCTATGCTCGACTGCCGCGACGACTGCCCCGTAGGAAGCTAGCTCTCCACAGAATTGCGAGTAGGCCAGACGATTGCCAGCCAGCCCGTGCGAGAAGATGACGAGGGGAAAGCGGGCAGGCTCGTCGCCGAACATGCCAGTCTCTGTGCGAGCGAAAGGTGGAGGTACAGAGACGCGCGGATCATCTGTGGATGCGAGAGGAGGAGCGCACCTCGCAGTCATTTTTGCGGCCGCAAGGGAAAAGATGGCTGGACTAGCAGGAACAGCCATGGGGCCATACTGCCCGACATATGAGAAGAGAGCGCTCACGCCTTTTCTCTTGGGACGCCCCAGCCAAGCTACTCGGTCGTACTTTTTGGCTTCTTGCTCGTTGATGCTGCTGGGGTAGTAGACTGTGAAGAGCACGGTGCTCATGTACAGGGTAGACGTCTTGCTGCCACCACGCAGCGGACCGTATGCGCCCTTGGTTTCATCGGCGCCCTCCTCCGCCTGGTGCTGTGTCCCTTCGGCAGTCGATGCTAGACCTTCTGATTGTGGCTCCTTGCCTTGCGGCACTTGATGCGTATGGCCACGCTTGCCGGCTTTGCGACGCCACGAGTGAGAGCCTCTGGGCACATTGATGCGGTCATTTGCTACTACAGACGCGCCGAACGGCCTTGGACGCCGTACCGGTATCTCCAGATCGATTGCGCCTGGTAAAGCGCATTATTGGGCAGGCGGGGAGGTAAGGTGTAAACATGCCAGCTGAATCTGAGCGACAGCCACGTTTGGAAAATGCATCGGGATCTAAGTTTTTGCTGCCCACTCACCAACCTGAAATGGCCCTGTGTAGGGCGGGAGAGGCATGTTGCGATTCGTTCTCTCTGCACTGAGTCATGTATGCCCTGCTCGACTTCGTGCTGGGTGTCTGATCTATGTACGAAGCTGACAGGCAACGTGTGATGAGGGAGACAAAGGAGGAGACCAGGCGAGTTCCTGGAGGAGGTGCAGCGAGCGGATGGTGATCAGTCGAGCCTAACGTCTCACTGGCGGCTCTTTCAGCTGATCCTCTGGCGCATACACGCAATCTAATGAGTGGTAGCTCGGCAGCATGATTCGAACCAGAGCGACAAATTTCTGCCAGGAACCAGCAGAGTGAGGAGGGTCGCTGGAAGAAGCGAGGCGATGCTCGCTCGCTGCGCGGTGCAAACACCACGAGGAGCTGCTTCTTGCGGCAATCATGCGCAAGTTCCCATGAAGGGCCGCCGCCGCCACGGCGCTGTCCGGCGGGTGCTGCTTGCTTCTGACGATGAGGGATGATCGACTTGATCCCTGCAGGTGACTGTTGTGCATGTGGAGCGGCCCGCGCAAAGCTCGGCGGACCAAAGGGAAAAAAGGGAAAGCACGTGAGCCACCGAAGATCATGAATTATGCGGATCACGTGAACGTCAATAGTGAGCGAGTCTTGATGAGTCTTGGTGGGTCAAAAAAGTGCATCGCGGTACTCGTGACCAGCGTGACTTTGCCCACCAGCACCAGTTATCGCCGTCGATCTCTCCTTCGTACGTGATATTCATCTTCATGAATCCCACCATCCGCGCGCTTCACATCGTCCTTCCGGAGTCATTGCGTCCCTGAGACTACGAAGAAGCGCCTCGACCCCTCTCTACCTGCTCGACAGCGTGCTCGTCACCACACGCAGGTTTGTCAATTCATCACGAACACGTCCTGCTGCATCAGCAGACATCGACGCCGACTATTCGGGCATTTTGCGTCGTTCGCGACTTGCACTCGGATCTGAGCCGAGACACCGCCGACAGATTTGAACTCGTGGTCAAGGTTTCAGCTCTTGAGCTTTCTGCTAGCAATCTATACAAGTCTCTAGCACAGACGATTGGTCGCACAATATGCATCTCATGTACACTCTCGATGCCGTAAGTGTATGCGCAGGTGGACTTGGCGCACCAAGCTTTTCTACGCAACATGGCAGAGCAGGCTGCTGACCGATTTCTATCCGCCGCCGCCCTCACTAGAATGGCAATCGTCTGTACACGCTCAAGAAGAGGACAACGGCTGGAAGCATCACAAAGAGCGCACATCCTGCTCGGTTCTCACCCGATGACAAGTTCAGCAAACATAGGGTGACGATCAAGAAGAGATTCGGTATTCTGCCTACTCAGCTTCCTACCAAGCCCATGTGATGCGAGTGTGATGCCGCAGCTACGGTGGAGGGAGTCTGACTACTTAGCGACATGGATGCTGGACCTAGCGGGTGCCAGTAGTAGGAGGGGATGGAACTGAAACGAGACCTTGCTGGGGTGGATCGCCTGGAGTCTTTGCGAGGAGACTCTGGCTGATGAAAGGGCATACTAGCACAAGCGTTAAATGGCAGGCTTTTGCGGCTCAAACACTCTTGGCTCTGTCTTCAAGCAGCACACCGGAAGGATGCACGAAGCCGTCTTCTCTCACGTGCAGCTCGCACCGCCTACTTGTACAACTCATTCTCGGAGAAAATGCACTTCTCATCTCAATTGCCAACTATCTATAGGAGGCAATGACAGCTGATAACATTCCGTGCTCGGTATGCAAAATTTGGCAAAAACGCGAGGAGTGGTGCAGGTGTATCCGTGTGGATTCGTTTGGATGTGGCCTAGGACGTGACGAAGTGAAGGTGACGTGATTTCTATATATGCAGCATTTCGTGACAGGACGATGCGGTGGGTGATCAAGGATGTGCGAGGATGTGACAGGGGCGGCATGCTTCGCTCGCAGGACTACGCAGATTTGCTTTGTCGAGCTTGGGTGTCGAGGCACTCAGCTAGCTGCAGGTCCAAAGTGGGAAGTCTGCCAAGGCTGCTCGTCCTCTTCTCAAGAACCGGCGTGTACTTGCCATCCTCGGTCGCTGCATTGGTAGGAGTACTTCTACCAGTTTCCGAGAGCTGCGCCTCGAGGTCGACCTGAGAGGCGTTAGCCGAGGTGAGAGTGCTTCTCGCGCTCTTGTGCGAGTTCTTGGTATACCGCTTCTCCAGCGTGTCGCCCATGATCCAGACAACCCAAGAGCCCCAGATCTGGGTGACGGCGAGACCGATGGTGGCGATCCAAAAGATGACGGAGTAGGCAGTGTAGAGGTCACCATTGCCGTGCAGCTGCCACTTGACCCACACGAAGATGGTTCCAGCGATGGAGGCCATCTTGAAAACGAGGGATTGCACCGAAGCAACACGGAACATTGGGCGCAGAATCCGGGGGGAGACTTGCAGACGGTACATGAAGAGGGCGACGAAAGTGGTTTGCTCCGTCGTCGCCTGGAAAAGCCACAGTAGACCAGTGAGGACGAAGGATGGGTCGCTTAGCTTTGAAAGTAGGACGATGGCGAGACTCATGACGAAGAGGGTGATGATGTGGTGGGCGATCATGGTAGGACGCATGGTGGATCTCCAGATGAGCTCGAACACGTACAGCCCGCCGATGAGCGTCGCGCAAGCGCGCATGAGCTCCGTGCGTCGTTCGGTGAATGCCAATCCGAGGAGCGGCAAGCAGAAGCATTGCATGATGAGGACGATTGTGGTGATGAGGGTTTGCAGGACGTATATCACCATCGTTCTTCTGTGCTCAGCCTTCATCGCACGCCACTTCTGCGCGCCGATGAGCCAAGCTAAGATGCGGTTTTGAAGGAGCTGGCCGATGACGTAGAGGGTCACCAGCAAGGCGAAAAGCCTGAGGAACAGCGAAAGTTTGGTAAGACTCGCGGTATTGGACGTGAGGAGACTTTTCCTACTCACCCGACTGGGAACCAATACGGCATTTCGGGTGTTGCTTTCAACGCTACCACCTTACCAAGCTGCTCGAGAGAGTCTGCGCTCAAAGAGCTGACGATAGGAGCCGGGTTCGCCATGATGCCTTGAAGGGCGCTGTCCGACATGCTGGTTCCGAGCTGCTGTACTGTTGGAGAAGAGGGGATGAACATTGACGTTTGGGAAGCGTGATCCTTGTGGTTGGAGGGTGCTCAGCAATCAATGGTAGCAGTTGCTTGATAGAGAGCGCTGGATAGTGAGGTGAGATGAAGGGACAGGGAACTTCACAGAATCAGCCTGTATTTATGCCTTTTCAGGATGGCTACAAAGGCTGGTAGCAACATGGATGCAGGTGTCGCATGGAGATCCAGTGCTGTTGAGTGGGCACCGAGATGGCCCAGCTCTGATTACTTCGATCATGCTGGGAGCGATGATGTCTGATAGCCGCTGAGCTTCCCTGGTTCTGGCAAGGGTGGGCAGCCACACAAGTGGATCTCGGGAAGGCGCAAGTGGCCGACTGTTTATCCGTGTGTGTAGGTGTGTGTGCGGAAACGTGGCCTCGACAGTCTCAAATCTACCGCAAAGTTGCGACACCGCTTGTGAGTATCGCGATCGTAGAGCATGAGCTGCTGAATTTCAAGCCATGGAGGATCCTTTCCAGCCCGTGCCGATCGCGGGACCGCTTGAGTTCCGGAAATACTCTCTCCTGGCCGTGTCACGTTGCGAAATGCATACAGCTTCCTGTGCAGGAGCCGAAAGACCGCATTTTCGATTGAAGACCAGCGTCGTCTCGGTCTCTCGTATCGTCAATCTTGATTCGGGCAACAGACTGTAGGGTGCAATCTTGAATGCAAATGCGGGTGGTAGAGCGGAAGCTGTGCTCGATGCTTGACTCACAAATCACGAATGATCGCGGGTCGCGCGCAAAAGCCACACGCACGGCGGGGCGCGTCGCGGGAAGACGAGCGGTTGGTTTCGTCATTTTTCGACCTCCGCGCATGCGTGCAGGGCCATACAGGTACATACATCCCTTCCCGTGTTGTGTCAGCAGAGCTCGACAGCGAAGGTGACGCACTCAAGATTGTGACAAAGGCGCAGCATCAGCATCAGCATTAGCAACGTAGATGCCTGCTCCTTATCTTGAGCTTTTGCAGTCGTAAGTCTTGAGTGCTTATGCTGGCAAGGCGGTTCCGAGACCACCAGGCCTAGGCTGGATGGATGGATGCAGATGAAACGGGATCAGCGTACCGGTACATGATGCGCGCAAAGTGGTGGGATCGGGAAGCTGGCTCAATTCTTGATTGTGATTGGCAAAGGAGGCGTTCGGTCGCTCGCCCAGGGAGATAAGGGCTGCACTCTTGAGTGGACGCATGCAGAGAGAGGGTCTATAGCAAGGGTCCTGATTCGATCTCTTCCACGTGAATGCGAGACAGACATTTCGCATTTAGGATTTCACGATTATTCCCGCTTCTGATTGCAGCGGAGCGGAATTCGACCAAGCAATTTTACATAATAATAATTACACGCACTTCGAGAGTCTACTTGGGTGCGAAGCAACGAAGAAGTAAAGGGGAAAGCAAGAAAGGAAGCAAGTCCCCATTGCCGGCGGCTTGCAGCACCTCGGCCACATCGGCACCGAGCAGCCACGCGGCAATGAAGCGGGAATCACATGCACTGCTCAGTGTGTGTTCGCTATGGCAGGATGGACTCGCCGAGTCTGCAAAAGCTGACTCTTCTTAATCGCAGTCGATATTTGATCTGGGGCGCCGCGAATGAAACGAGCCTTGAAAAAGTGTGGGTGAGTCGAGACGAGGACGGCTCGCCGGAGACTTGCGACTCACTCATTGGCTCGAAGGAGGTCGCAACGCGAGAGAGGCGGATCCGATATAGATCGAGCGCCTCGTGCGAGTGCACGTGTACATCCGCTCCGGGCACGAGGGAGACGCTCACAGTGACGATGCTGGGTAGCTCTGCGTTGATCACAATCGATCGAGGAGCGATGACATAAATTTCTGATCCCGTCAAGCCACACAAGAGGTTCCTGCAGGCGCGTCGCACGCGTCGCAAACCTTGCGCGATGCACGATCGAGCATGGCGCGCCATGGAGGCGGGTTTGTGTCTCCTAAGAATGACGCCGTTGCTGGTCAGCCGTAGAAACCCACTGCGACCGGCATCGGTCCGACGACGCTGAGGTCCATCCGCTGGACCGGGTCGATAAAGTCATGTGATGGGTCGTCGCGATGCAGGAGCAAGCACCTCCGTTACTTTCTTCTTTCAGATTCATCAATCCACGACTTCGAGCTGCCATGCATGGCTCCACACGTGACTCAAGAGCTGAATAGAATCAAATGATCAAGCAACTTGAATGCTCTTTTCTATTTGGTTCTGTTTTGATTCGAACCTCGACGTTCGACTGATGCTGAGCACGTAGGCAGTGCCACGTGCGCACGGGGATCGTCCTTCTTTTGCACTCATCAGGACGGACTCACGACTCTCAGACTGCTGCGCGGGCATGTTCAGCACACCACTAGCTGTACCCGCTCCCCACGCGCCATGCTTGCTGCCTGACTGGTGTGATTGTCGCGGGGGCAATCACGGTGCGGCGGTTCAAGCGCGTTGGCGCGACCGTTGCGTCACACGCTAGCCAAGCGAATTAATCAAGCAACACTTTGACTCAAGACTCGATCACACACTCGTGACTCAAGACTCGATCGCGTGAGTAGGCAGGCCATCCTGACAAGCCGGACGGCTATGGCTGTCTACGCGCATCATACATGCTCCAGGGTGAAACCTTTGGTACAACATTCATTGCAATGCACATTCACGATTCACGATTCACGATGAGCAAGCTCGGCTATCAGATGTTGCGACTTGCGTGAATCATGGTCACAAAGCCTTGTCCGCTTGCTTGCAAGACACTCCGTTGACTCCTGCAAGGGGTGGGCGAGACTCGTGACTGCATAGGTACTTGCGGTCGCACCATGCACACAGCGTCACGAGCGCAAGAATCACGAGGGTTGTATGTATATAGCGTTCTGGTCGCGTCCATGCACGCGCACAATTAGACCTAGGCGTACACACGGAACACCATGCAGCCTCCGGCCCTTGCTGCTCACTCGTCGTAACTGATCGTGTTCATCTACCTCAGACAGCAACTGTGATAAATCAAGGCAGAGGCAGCGTCACCCGCGGCTCTGCTCCTCTCCGCGCGTGCGAGGTAGCCTGGGTGAGACGGATATGAGCCCACCGCTGCACGATCGATTATACCCACAGCGCTGCTGCTGTGCTCGAAGTCCATGCAGCAGCAGCTTCACATTGTTTGACTCGTCTCAGGGGTGGTGGTCTCAGCTGGCCGCTTCTATGCAAAGACAGACTCGACATGAGTGTGAGACATAGTCACGAGTGTAGGCAAAACCAGAAGAACATGTTTCGGGCATTGTGGGAGCCTTGGGTCGTTGCTCGTCAAGGTCCAGTCGTAAGTCGACTGACGCATCTCTGGGCGCGGTCTACGTCCAGACCACGCAGCGCACTCGAAGCCGCTCTACGACCATTGATCACAAATGGAGCCGATCGATGCGGGCAGCAGCTGTGGACTAAGACGTAGCTTGCTCACAGCGATGCAGGCAAGACGAAGTCACAGCAAGATCGTCAACGAAACACGAATGTGAGTCACAACTCAATCCCTGGATTCGCACTTGTCTCAGGAGATTGTGGATGCATGTTTACCGCGATATAGTCGTGCTGGGTCTATTAGTCGCTCCTGTCCACCTCCTTATCCAGCTCTTCTCCGCCGCGCCTCTGACAGCTAGCAAGCGGCACTGTTCTCTTGCCCCACTGATCATCCATCCGCCCTCACAAGCCTTCATTGGTATCTCGATCGCTCCCTTCTTCATCATCCTGCCAGCATGGTCGAACTCTTGCCTCATCAGACGGCATCCACGTCATCCAAGCTGTAAGCTAGCTGCTGTCGAGCACAATACCCCGACGGTGTTCGAGTCGTGACTTGAGCGTCGGGCATCAGCAAGGGTCTGTGCGCGCGCTCACAGATCGCACCCATCGCGCTGCCTGCACCAACCCCCAGCAGCTGCATGGACATTCTTTGATTGCGTCTTTTCGTTCCGAGCATCACTTGGAGGCGTCCGGAAGAGCTTGTGCAGCAGCTAGCTAGCCCTGTCTAGGTGCTCTGGCCATACCAAAGCACGAGATTCACATTCGCCGCCCTGGCAACGACGCGCCACAGGCGTGGGTGTGTGCTCAGCACTTCGCGCGTCCGCTTCCCTGATCAGCAAGTCCTACAGCTGTAGCTGCCAGGACAGCGCCAGCTACAGTCATCTTACATTCCATGTCTCGCAAGAGGCGTTAGATCTCGCACGCATCGGCGGGTCGCAATGCAGCAAAGCGACAATACCGGGGGCCGCGTCCACAGCGCGCTCAGAGCACCGAAATCGAAGACTCACTCGCGCGCGTTGACTGTGCCCAGCAACGAAGCGACTACCAACTCCACTCACTTGGCAAATCCAACCAGCAAGGATGCAGATGCGATCCGCATCGATGCCGACCAGACCGCTTCAGCAATTAGCAGCGAAGGCCAGCGCGCGGCTCGTTCTCTGGGCCCTAGCGCTGCTGATTCCGGCAAGCGCGGAAAGCCCAGCTCGCTACCGCGATTAGCGCGCCGAAGCGATCCATGCGCCTTCGCTTCGTCTTCATCAAGGAACCACAAAACTCCACTTGTGCCACGCAACGCCCAGCAGACCTTCGCGAACAAGGTGCTCGAGGCAAGAGAAGTGTCTTGCGCTCCCTCAAGTCACCAGACCCGTCGACTCGGTCAAGGTCCAATCCAAGATGAGCTAGCCACTCTTGTCGGAAACCCGGGCACTGCAGCTGCTCTTGATTGGGCGAACGTGCTTGGCGGTGACAGCGCTTCGATGGTGCCTGGCGCGATCAGCAGGACGGGCCACGCGCCGAGCCTCAGCCTCCTTGAGAGGCCTTCACGCCCATCGAGGGTCTCTCTCGACGATCGTAAATACCGACCCTCGACGCCCCGAGAATCTCGGAGCAGTTTTGCTCTGCCAGTAACTATCTCGAACGAAGCACGCCGTCGCCTGTCACCATCTACGCAAACTCCATTCTTGGGCTTGCGCAGCTTAGAAAATCTCGTTGGCGCAACCGACAACCACGTCGAGCTCAAGGAGGCCTCCTTCATGAGCCAGTGTTCAGTGAGTGAACAAGGGTTGTGCTCCATCAAGTATCGCTGAAAAGGCTCGAGTTGGCACGCTCTGACCAAGATTGTGCTCGACAGAACTCCGCAATCGACAAAATCTCGTCCTCCAGAACGCACTTACCGACGCTCGAAGCGGATCCAGTGCTGCTGAAGCGTCATCTCGCTGGATCTGCCACACCGCGGGCATCAAAAGACTTCGCTCCTACGAGCGCCATTCACTCCAATCAAGCCGTGCTCACGATGCGATCTGCTGTCTTTGGACATAAACAGACGACTTCAAAGGGGTTCGAGACCGACTGCAAGCTCGTCCGCGCGAGAGACACTGATCGGACACACGCCTGGCTCTCGGGTCCCGTCGCAAATCCCTCTGCAGTCGATAGCGAAGCCAGCACTACTGGCGTGCTGTGGCCTAGGGCACCCCTGGTTGCATCCCACAACGAAGCCCATGTGATTGGGTCGACACGACGTCATGACGACCCTCAAGACTCGATTGCCGAAGCATGGCAGCTCTCGCAGCCTCAAATTCGCCCATTCCCTCTCTCGTGGTCTCAAAGACTCCAGAAAGGAGATGCAGCTACAGGACTCCACAAGAATGCTTCCTCGATCTCAAAACCACAACACTTGGCGGAAGCTTTCGACCTTCAGGGTGCTCGTCAGATGGGCAAGAGCGCAATGACGGTGCCAGTGGACCGTCACAACGCTACTCCGGTCTTTGAACCACCAACCTCGCCTCGAGATCGGATGACAGCAGGCGCTTCTCCTGTCTCTCGATTCAGAGCCTTACCCAGGCTGGCATCGGCGAAGAAAGGGGGCCAAGTAAGGGCGAACCCCCTAATAGGAATGCCCATGAGCCCCGTCTACCTGGGGGGTCATTCTTCCATCGCTCCCGCTGCTCGGCCAGCACACAGTCAACGGACCCTTTCGCACGGCGCAGAATTTTCATTCGCGACCCAAGCTGGCCAAACAGCCTTCGACCATCTCAACTCTACCGCCTTACATCCGTCGCGATCGATGACTGATCTGCGTGAGACAGCGTCTGCGAGCCATGCAGCGGGCAGCTCACAATGGCAGCAGGGCACTCCTTGGACCCCATTGAGTCTCCGTCGCGAGTGGCCTCGATCAGCGGCGGCATCGGACGCTGTGACACGATACTTGAAGCAAGGTCATGACCAGCCTTATGACCCTACTCAATCGGCGCTCTGGTCGAGCTTGCGCCCATGCAACGTCAGCAGAGGCGCCTTCTCAGAGTCATCCATCATTGAGAACATCGATGAGGAAGCGTCCGACGTGGTCGAAATGCAGAAGATCTTCCCACAGTTCAGCAATGACAAGCTATCGTATCGCCAAGGACCTAGATTCCTCAAAGACGGCCTCCATGCTGCGCATAGAAGCGGTCGCAGTGTCTCCGTTGACGATCTCGACAAATTGGGGCTCCGTCCGCCACTCGAGACGCGCACCCAACGCGATGCAAGCAGTCTCGATCAGCGACGAAAGAGGCAAATGACGTTTGACTCCCTGTGCATGGACGCTCCAAATAAGAGCGATTACGTGAGACAGCGCACGCAAACTTTCGCCGCCGGCGAAAGCGCCGTTGCAAACATCATCAATATGGATGCGAAGCACATCCGAAACTTCTCGGCACTGTTGAACCCTCATGAGAGGCCTGAGAAAATAGCTACTCATGCTTCGCTCGAAGGCTCGTTCCAGCCCGTAGCTTCACCACAAGATGCACCGAAGATCGTCATGCGTGCACCTCATATTGGGCAAATGGAAAGCTCAGGGCCGGAAACTGCACTTAGCGCGACATCCATCGATTCTGGCTTATACAAGCCTTCAAATGAAGTTTCGAAGGACCTAGCTCTTTCGCACATGCGAGGAACCCCGTCCAGTCAGGCCAATTCTGGCCACTCGCCTTCTCGGTTGCACATCGCTATCGCTGGCATCTCGCGCCCGTGGAGCTTCGCCTCCGAAGGCAGCGGCTCGTCTGCTTCCGATATGTACTTCAGCCCAAACACCACCAATGACGACCTGGCATTGAGCCCAGAGGCGGAGGGTAGTCCGCACGCGTGCTCGAACGAGCCTCCTCACGAACATGCCACTTATCAGCGGCCTGTCGGTGAAGTGCAGCAACCACATTTTGAGCGTTCCCAGAGTCCCGCGTCGGCCGGTGCAGCGTGCCTGCAGGATCGTGCCTCTGATGTCCTCTCTCACGACTCGATCTCACGAGACCTATTCAACAGAGCAACAGTCGACGAATCGCACATCGCCAATAAACGCGTCTCGTCATCTTCTGGGCAGTCCCGGGAAACGGCCACTAATTCTACGTCTGGTGGAGCAAAATATCGCTTCGAGGTTGTCAACTCGCCTGCGCGATCTCGCAAGAGCGTCCTCGAGGAACAAGAGAAGGAGCAGCCTCAAGAGCCAGGGCACGAAGGTCCTCCTACTCTTGACAGTCTTCCGGAGCTCTACGAGCTGTCGTCAGTGGCAGGAAGCGACGTTAGTAGTATAGAAGATTTAAGCGAGGACGAAAAGTGCGATACTCTACATTGCGACTCGATCCGATGCCGAGACTTACAGGGGCCAAATCTTGAAAGTCTTGAGCTGCTGAATTCCTTCGCGGCTCTCTCCTGCGGGGACTCAAATTTGAGGACCATGGCCATTGCTGGCACATCTGCCCAGGCGGTCCGACCTAAGATTGCGCGTTTTCACACGGTCCCATCGGCTCAAGAACATGCATCGCAAGTGCTGTTGAAGGACTTGGAAGTTGATCTGTGCCCAGAAGACTTCGAAATTGTTCCTGTCTTTGATAATGAAGCCAACTCGACACGACTTGAGCTGCGATGGCGCTTGCGCTTGGCGCTGCCTGGTTCGAATGTCAGTTTTCGAGAGGTCAAGGGCGGAACCACTTTGAGCAGCGCAGCTCTGGAGCGTCTGCAATCGCTCCGGACAGATGTTAATTCGCAATTGCCTCGAGCGAATGCAGGCCAGCTCGACACTAGTCAGAAACACGCACCGAAAGGTGACCAGCCGCACTCGCTATCGACGATCGAAACCCCTCGCCAAAGTTTGCAAACACTTTCCGGTGCGTCAGAGAGCCTGGACTCTGACTTGACACGAACAGCGTCTCTTCTTCAGACCATAGCTAAGGACCTTCGCGCGGGCGAAGAGCGTGGATTTGCATTACGTCCTTACGGCCAAATACGACACGCATCGCCCTCAACCTTGAAGCAACACTTCGACCGTTCCACACCTGCTACCCTTGGTGGCCCCAAGTTCAGTCCCCGTCCTCTGCTTCTCGCTCCAAATGGTCGTCATTCTAGTGCCAACAGTCCCCGCCGCCGTGAGAGTCCACTGCCCCGCCTTACTGCGCATCGTCTTTCGGACACGGCCAGCTCGGGTCAGCAAGTCCCGACAGTTGCCATTCGTGCTGAGGCGATGGCTCCCGCTTCAGCGGACGGCAAAGGGCTGAAACGCATCCGAAAGCTGCGTCCCCCTCCGTTGATCTTGGCTAGCAGCTTTGGGGCCACTGGTTATGGCAGGGTTGGCCGAGCCCACCACAGCCACTCAAGCCGAGATGTCAGCCCTGGTCATATCACACCGTCTGGCATCATGCGTAAGTTTGAGTCGTTGATCATCGTCATTCGTGGCGATACCCCTTTTGACATCTTTTGACTCCTCCCAGCGTACCACCATGGGGACATTGAAGGCGCCCGCAGACTTTTGAAACCTTTGACGCCGGCAGGGACGAGCAGCTGTCCCAATTCTGCTTTGATGCCGTATTTGGAGCGAGAAGAGCGGCGACACATTTCAGGACAAAGACACAGCGCGAGTTACTTGATGGATGCTCAGGAGTTCGCAGACGACAGATCTCCCGGGTTGGTCGGAGACCAGGCTAGCGCCGCCGACACGTCCAGCAGCGACACTATGGATATGGAGCTGACAGACAAGCATCCTCCTGCCGACCTCCTCTTTCAGACCTCTTCGTCTTTGGCGCACATCACTGGAGCTCGCCAATGAGTCATCAGCTTCGGACTTGGCGCCTGAATCCACGTGCCTCGCACCTTTGGTCTTACTGTCTCTTCTTTGTGACTACTGCCTATTACTCCGCTTCGTCGAATTCTGACCTATGTACGCGCTACGAGCGCGAGTGGTATCTTGACCTGGCTATGGTTCATCTCACTACCCTAGCTGGACGGAGTCGCCCCTACATAGCAGTGTATGTCGACAGTCTCAACTAACCACCTAGCAGTGTATGTCGACAGTGTAACCTAATTGTATCATTCTAGGCTGGGTGCCCATTTGCACGGCGACTGTGACACGTTGTGCCCTTGCCTGGCTTTGAGGTGGTTGCTGAGCGTCTGTGACGACGCTGTTCGCCCATCGACGGTGTTTGTGGATGACGTCGGAAATTGTAATGGCCTTCTGCCCTCGATGCTGATGTGACTGTCTGTTGCTGCCTCGTGTGCCTCGCAATGCCTCATAAGCGAATGCTGGGCATGTTTTGAGAGGTGCTGACTGCTGTCTGTCATGCGCGTGCATCATGCACGGTCGTCTGACTCGACCGGCAAAACCGATAGCGAGGGCGCCAAGTCTTGATCAGAGCGTGACGAGTTGGCCCAATTCACAAGCTCAGCTTACCCGTCGGTCCAAACACGTCCACTGCATGCTCGCCGAAGTGCTGAGAAGCTGCACTCACGACTACACCGTACTGGCCCGGTCGGAACGTGCTCCCCTCCCCACTCACGACTGTGACTGAAGCTGCATGCTGCTAGTGCCTCTGAAGACGCGAGAGCGGCGCTTCGACCCGGCCCCGCTGCGTGTCGCCGCTGTGGGGCACCATGCAGGCGTGTGAGCCCGCCTCGGTAGCGCCCAGATGCGGCAGAAGCAGCTGCTGCATCGGAGCAGAAGAAGCAGAAAGAGCCGGTCAATGAAGCAAAAGTAACGCACACAACCCAGCAGCAGCAGCAGCAGCAGTCTTGAGTGCAGCACCGCGACGATTGCCCATACCTGCGCGCCTGCCCTTGGACCTCGTCGACACCTCGTTGAACGTCACCTTTTGCGCTCCATCACTCCATTCAACATTCGCACGGAGACTCTTTGCAGTCAAAAATGAGCGGCACAGAGAAGACATGTGTGCTGGATGCTTCTTCAGAGGCGAGGCAGACAGAGCACCACTCGCTGCCGAAGGATGGTTCCAAGTCGGATGCAGCCAGCGCGGAAGAGAGGCGCATAGACGCTGCGCTCATCACAGGCCAGACTGGAAGCAAGGCACAAGGAGCGGCTGCTGGACACACTTTTACAGAGTCGGATCTGCACTTGGAGCCGCAAGAGTATAGGCGCTTGTTGAGAAAGATCGATCTTGCCATTGTGCCTTATGTGACCTTGTTGTACCTGCTGAGCTTCTTGGATCGCGTCAACATCGGGTGCGTCGAGGCTTGCAGTCGCACCAAAGGGAGCAGGGCTGCCATCGACATTGCTCCATCCGGCTGATCTGATCCCCCTCTCTGACTTCACGACAGACAAGCAGCCACCCTTGGCCTGCGTACAGACCTTGGCCTTGTGGGCAACCAGTATGCGGGTGAGTCGATCTCTTTCTCTCAAGACGATGTCTGAGCGGCTTAGGCTGACGACCCAACACTCCGCCCAGTCGCTTTGACCGTCTTCTTTGTCAGCTATGTCGCCGTCGAGCTTCCAAGGTCAGTCAAGATTCCCCTCGCTCCCTGTATGCGCCCTGCTTCTTGCTAATGCCCAGTGAACCTCGCAAGCATGATTTGGTTCAAAAAGATCGGTGTGCGGTACTGCATTCCTGCGATCATGGTCGCTTGGGCCATCGTGATGACCTTGATGGGAGTTGTGCACAATGCCGCCGGCTTGCAAGCGGCTCGCTTCTTCTTGGGCTTGTGCGAAGGTCCTGTGAGCAGAGCGTTCTGCCTGCGCGTCCGTCCGTGCTGCTCCACTGCTCAGCATCTTCCTGATCACTTCTCCTGTCCTATCGCAGCTGTTTCCCTTGCTCAACTATATGCTGAGCTGCTGGTACACGCGCAAGCAGCAAGGCACGCGTGTTGCAATCTTCTTTTCCGGCGCAACGCTCAGCGGCGCTTTCGGCGGCATCTTGGTACGTGTGCCCAGCGATGCCTTTGACCCCGAAAGCAACCAGAGCTGGCGTCGCAGTTTCATAGAGCTGATCATCATCTATCTCGCATTTCTGCTTGTCATCAGGCGTACGGCTTGTCGCGTATCCCTATGCCAGCTGGTCCTTTCCAAGGAGAGAATTGGCACTGGATCTTCATCATCGAAGGCATACTCACCCTTGTCTGTGCCCTGCCAGGCTACTGGTTATTGGTGGATTTTCCAGCAGTAGAGAAGCGTCTGCTATCGCCCCTTGAATCTGCTCAGTGGAACCATGTGCTTGCGAAGAGCCAAGGTGTGACCAATGCCGAAGTGCCCTTCTCATGGTTGCAAGTCAAGTCAGGCGTAGGCGAATGGCGCACTGTGAGTCGAACTCTCTGCGTGCCGGCGCAGCTGTTGTCAGATCACCTCGCTCATGATAGATTGGGAATGCCGCGACAGTGGGTGCATGCAATCATGTATCTGGCGATTGCCAATCCTCTCTATTCGCTGGCTCTATTTACCCCCCAAATCATCACAGGTGAGACTGGGATAGATCCACAAAAGCACAATGCTCTGCTGACGTTGCGATGTACGCATCGGCACAACAGGTCTCGGATCATTTCCCAGAACCTCTGCCAAGTGAGTCCCTCTTTTGCACCTCCGTTGCTGCAGCACCACCTCAACGTGGTACTTTCCTGCCGCATTCAGCCTCTTGTCCGTCCCGCCATACGTGGTCGGTTTCATCACGACTATTGCCATGGCTTGGTTCAGCGACAAGTTCTTGGTCAGGAGTATACCCATCATCGCAGGAATGCTAGTGACTATTGTAGGCTACATCATTCTGATCTGCGATGTGTCTGCAGGAGTCAAAGTGGGTACTCAATGAAGACTGCTATCTTCCCCGTCATCACGCCTGCTGACGAGCTACTCCTTCCTTGCAGTACTTCGCTCTTCATTTGACCGTGGCAGGTGTTTCGCCATGTATCGCTCTTGCCATCACGTGGACTGGCAACACCTTTGGCCCGGCCTACAAGCGGTGAGCTGTGCCAACACATGTCCTGCAAACACTTGGGCTGACGGTTGTCGATCATCGTCTGCGTAACAAACAAAGTGCCACCTCAATGGCGATATTCTTCTCCTTCGGAAATTCTGCCGGTCTGATCTCCAGTAACGTCTACCCCTTGGCAGAGGCCCCGCGATACTTTAAAGGTCACGGTATCAATCTTGGCTTCAGTGTATTGGCCATTGCCTGCGCTGTAGTCTTGGGTCTGGCGAACATGCGCGAGAACAAGCAGAGGGACAAGATCTCGTATGCCAATCCTGACGGAAGCTCTGCCGACCCTCTGAAGGCGAACGATGAGGACGAAAAGGCTAGATGGGGTCTGACAGGAATGAGCAGGGAAGACATTGTGCTGCTTGGCGACAAACACCCTGGTGAGCTTCGAGCGCGTCTGAGCGAGAGCTCGGTGTGGCATGCACTTGGCCCTCTTGCTTACGGACCACGAATGTCACGTTCTGCTTATCATGCGCCACGTTTAGCTTTCCGATATGCGCTTTGATCTCACGCAGAAAGTGGGATGGATGCCCGCAAGATATTTACAATCACCCATGCTCCAGCCAGCGCTGACGCTCAAAATGTCGATGCCTTCGACGCTCTGTGTCGCCATGACGCACATCAAAAGGGCTCTGTGAAGGTCTCGGAACGCATGAATGGTCGTGCGTGCAAAGTGGTGACAAGCGGGGTACTGGTACATGTAGTCGTTGCGAAGTGGCGAGTGGAGCAGTGGAGCAGTGCAGGATGTGTGCTGAGCCATCACTTACGATCAGAGAACGTTTCATAACGAACCGACTCGGAGTCGCAGAGAAGGGCTGCAAAAGCTTTACTTGATAGTAGAGCTCTTCATGCGTTCGACGACCTCAGCATCTACCCGTCTGGACCGCCTGAGACCGATCGCACCGACAATCAAAGACCAAGCCTTCTCGAGAGCTTGCCAGAACTGGCGATCGAGTAGACCGATGGCGACGGCGTTGCCCCAAGCCGCATGGATCGAGTGCGCATGAGCAAAAAGTACGCTGCTGGGTAGCGTTGAGAGAGCTTCGATGGACCGACCAGCAGCTACATCCACCGCCGAAGTAACGCCATCGTCCGCATTGTGTCGACCTGCTGCCCATGCCTCGTGCTCTGGCTTCATGCTTGCTGCATCAACGTTGCGGGAAAGGAACTTCAGGGGCAAGAGCTCCGCAAGTAGAGCCGCTCCGTCGCGGGTGTAGATGTATCGATGAATCGTGCCAAATCTTTCGGGAGATGGGACGCAGATTTCTATGGTCGAAAGATAACCAGCTTGAGCTAAGGGCAGAGGTGGCAAGGTGACGCAGTCGATGACGTATGGCAAGGCGTGTATAGGTAGCAGCAGACCTTTGTTACCCGAAGTGGACTGATTTGAAGAGCTTGCTGGACTGGCAGGCGAAGGGCGCACGACGAGCAGGTGAGACACGCTTCCAGCGGATGCGGCGAGAGAATTCGGGATTGCGACGTGACTTGGGACTGTGTCGGTCTCCAGCAAGACTTTAGAGACGGCACCAAGGACCGGCGTGAGAGCGAGCGTCTGGTTGTGGAGATTGATTCGGTCGGGCAGGTGATCGCGCACAAAGTCTGGTGTGCACTTTGCCAAGTCGTGCGCCTCCCTGAAGAGCGAGTGAGAAATGAGATGCGCTTTGAAGTCCTCGTACGGACTTGAGAGAGGAACGATCTGCGGGCTGGGCAGCTTGAGAGGCAAACGGACCTTGGTGATGCGCTCTCGTTGCGCACTAGCGCTGGTCTGAGCCTGCACCTCGGCAGATGGGCCTGTGTTGCTTTGAACTGCATGAGCCAGATCTTGGGAAGATCGGCGCTCAGCATGAGCAGCATTTCTTGCCGACTGCCCTACTTGCTCGTGCTTCTGAGTAGCGGACTTTCGTGGAGACGAGCGAGGTGTCAGGGAGGCGCTGGTTGAAGGGGAAGAGCGCCTTCGACGATGCGGAGAGCGAGATGTGGGGGGCACGCCAGCTTTGTTGGAAGCAGCTGAAGATGAGCGACGCCGAGGTGCTGATGAGTCGACGTTGCTGCCATTGCTGCCGCTGTTGCTGCAAAACATTTGCGAGGCGGCGGGTGCAGACGACTTGGCAGAGTGTGGAGCGAAGTCGTCGCTGCTGCTACCACTGCCTTCGGCACGTTGATTCGAGAGGTTGGCCGTGTTGCGAAGAGCGCTGGGGGCGATGACGCCGTGTGAATGCGCCGTAATAGACATCATCTTCAGCTGCAATGACTACACAAGCAGGCCGCGACGAGGTTGTACTATGACAGTAGGCTGTCTGTGGGCCGAGGCTGCTTGAATGAGATTGATGAGCTATAGCTGGGGGAGGAGAGGCCAAAACAAGCTTGGTGCGACTGTGAGCTAGTGGGCGGTCAGCAGCTGCATCTGACAAGGTATTTGTATGGTTGCGGGATTGTCTGTTAGACCGTAGCACTTCTGAAGCGTACACCATCACACCTGCCGTGCACTGATCGTTATATGCCATTCCTACGCGGTACCGGTACTCATGGGAGAGGAACGATGTCAGATGAGGGCAAGGCATTTTTCTCTTACTGTCAGTGCTGCCATGGATGAGGGTGTGAAGTGCGCGGCAGCGATGAGGGTCTGCACGCCGCCGTAGTGCTAGCTATCACATCCTAATCGCGATCCTGAGCCTACTCGCGCGGGCCACCTCCGGCCCGCCCGCCACTGCCAGCAACGGCGCGGCCGTGACCGATGCACGCGCGCGCGCAGCAGCAGCGGCAGCCGGATGCGCTTTATTTGAAACACAGGCGCGGCTGCGCGAGATTCTTGCCGCTGGCTAGGCAGCTATGGTACACCGATACGCGAGATCGCAATCTGCTCGCTCAGCATGCAGCGTCGGATCTCAATCATCGACAAGCTACGCCGAACGTGAACAGATGGTGTAGACAGTCACGAGTCAAGAGTACATCATGAACGTAAAGGCTTTCGCAACGTACGCGCCTCCGGCGCCTTTGCTTCGGGCTTAAATTCAAGATTGCTTTTGATATTACTCACGAATACGCTCGACTGTAAACGTATCTTAACCAGCCGATTCAAACTCGAACTCATCAGCTCGTACTCTTGACTTTTGACTTTTGACTGTGCAGCCGTGCCCCCTTGCGCCGACAAAAACGCGCCAATTTACGCGTGCAAGAATTCTGATGTGTGTGCGTGTGTGTGTGCTGACCAACTCTTCTAAGACACCTTTCTTGATTCACATCCAAATTCAAGGTGATTGGGATTCTTGAGCGCGATTGTGCGCTATGATTCTCGTGAGAGATTCAATTGGTCGGTGAATCTTGAGTCACAAGTGGGATCAACCGCGGTGGATCACGTGAGCGAATGAGCGCCGAAGGAATTGGGGTGCGCTCATGAACCTGCTGAGTGGAGGCTTGAGCGGCTGCATGTGGTTTACCCCCAAATTCATCAATCATCACAACAACGTCGCTGGCACGACTGGTGAATTCGTCGCATCTACGCCTTCAAAGGCGATCAGTTGGGATTTGGAGCTACCGACCTGCCGACGGGTCTTGTGCCGCCATCTGGCAAGCATGGCACCTTCCATCACAGAGCGGGATGCATCCAACGCACCGGATCAAGGCGGTCGAGCGTGGACAGATGCTGGACAACCGCCTCAGCATCTACCTCGCACTGGTCCTATTACTTCATTCGCACCGCGACCGAACGCCATGCCTTCCACTTCTGCTGCATCCGCTTCGGCTTCAGGCAGCACTTCAGCACCCGCGCCCAAACCAAGAGTCCAGCAGCTGAAGCCGAGTAGCAGGGTAGCTGGCGCACCTCCCCCAAGACCCCTTCCTAAGGACGGACCGAGCATACAAGCCAACACTTCGGCCACCGGGCGCTCAGATCACAGCGGAGCCGGTGGGGCAGGCACCGGAGATCAGCCCGCTCAAAGGCCGGGCCCAAGAATTGTCACCGGACAAGGTTCTGGCAACACTATCATCGTCAATCCGTGTCAGGTACGTCGACCGGGCTTCTCCGGGAGGAATGCGGAGATCGGTGAAGCTTAAATCTAATGAATGATCTTCTTTGGTACATCAGAAAGGCAATCCATTGCTGCAACACGTGCGGCAGGTCGGATGGGAGTATGGGGAAATTACGGCAGACTATCTGGTTGGCGTATCTAGTGGTGTCTTGTTCCTTTCGTGAGTAGCATTGCTTGCCTGACCTCACTGATGAGCCCCCACATGCCATGCTGATGTGAGATTGCACAGGCTGCGATACCACCGGCTGCATCCTGAATACATACACTCCAGAATAGCAAAAATCCGAGGCTCTTTCAGCCTGCGCGTTCTCCTTGTGCTCTGCGACGTGGTAAGCATCGTCGAACCCCGAGCATCAGTGTTCATCGGACTCCAAGCATTAGTGCTCACACCTGATTCCCCTGTCGCGCAACACTCTAGGACACCCATGAGACGGCGATCAAAGAGTTGACCAAAGTGGCATTGATCAACTCCATGACCCTCATGATTGCCTGGACGTGAGTGCCTGGTGCCGGAAAGGTTGCATCTCCCAACACTGACGACAGCGCCGCTTTTTCGGAATGAAGTGCTGAGGAAGCAGGCAAATACGTGGAAGCATACAAGCTCTTCGAGCACCGGCCACCAGACGTCTTGAGAGAAAGAGTGGCGGACGACTACCTGAGCCACATACAAAGTGCGCTCACAAATATCCGCGGCGTCAACAAGACCGATGTGATCACCTTGGCGACCAATTTTGGTGTAAGTGTGACCAAGGACAGCTTCGGACGTCCGAATTCCGGCTCAGTTCACCTTTGGCCCCATTACAGTCATTCAAGAAGCTTTCGACGGCTTCGGCGGGGCAGCTCAGTCTTTGCCCCGGCTTCGGTGATCTCAAAGCTCGTCGGCTGAGGGAAGCTTTTGCCTTGCCGTTTCGTGTGGGCGAGACGCGGCTGGGGAGGGATAGGCTTCGCAAAGAGCCGAAAGCCAGCGAGGACACATACGCGCGAGTCGGTAGAGCAAAGGTCTTGGAGGCCTTCGCATCGTCGGACAGCGGCAACACCGCAAGGAGTGGAGGTGAAGCTGCCGACATTATGGACCCGGACGCTTCTACCTCTTTGTCTGCAGCTGGAGACATGGAGACGGAGTTGCTCAGAAGGGCGGGCACTAGAGGCACGAACGATGGGTTTGCCCAGGACGCAACCATCCTCAGCACCAATCGCGCAGAGTTAGAGGCTCTTCGGCAAGCCACAGGAGACCGCTTGTCGACAGCAGGTGTTGCCGACAAAGCATCGGATGCACCCAATATTTCCTTCAACAACGAGCTGGATGAGCTTACAGAGGAGGAACAGCTCAGGTTGGCGTTGGAGATGAGCGTGGGGAACGAGCTGGATGAGGAGGATGAAGACTTTTGAGATTCAGCCCCTCTTTCTGATGGACGCTGCGCACCTCGCTCCTATGCTATACGTGGAATTTGTACACTATCTGCGATCTTCTGTTATCGTGATGTATTCAATAACATCTATACGACGACTGAGTCCACCCGCTCCCGTGCTTGTCAAAAACGCCCGCACCCGCACTAGACAGAACGCAATGCCTGATTGAGCGCGAAAGCGGAAGCAGGAGCGGTGCGTATCGAGGTGCTGCGCTCGCCGGGCTTCTTGTCGCACCTGCGCACATGCACAGCGAGCAGGACCTTCACTGGCGACTCGCAGCGCATGGCCAAGTACGGCATGGCTGGTTCTCTGCGCACAGACATGCATTCCCGCCGCGTGCTCCTCCGCTCAGCACAGCACGCAACACGCAACAGTCATGACTTGCGATGCCTGTTTGGATGCTACATACATCACTTGCAGCTTACCAACATTCCTAACGTCCAGCATTCGAGCCGAGGCCCGCATTTCATCGCAACACTATCTGAGTAGCTCTGCTCTGCCATCGTCCTGCAGCTTTGCACATCTTCACCTGCGCGATGCCTTCTCCGACTGACAAGCCGACGTTCGCGTTGGAAGCGCTGCACCTCCTCAGCGCTCCACTCGATCAGCTCAGAGCAGAGCGAGATGCTCGCACGCTGGCTTTGACGCAAACGCTTAACGCCCGGGAGAGTGGTTATGAGGACCGCGGCAAAGATGCCTCTGCCAGGGCCAAAGGAGCGGATGAAGTGCTGGATCTGAGCAGCGTACCGAGCAGAGAGCAACTGCTGCGTGCCCTCGATGGTTTGTCAGACGGCGCTGCCGAGCTGCAAGGCGCGAGTGCGACGTCGACTGGCTTGGAGGCGGAAGAGAGACTGATCGGAATGGCCAGAGTCACTGCTGGGACGTACGCCCTTGTGCTCGATCAGCTCGTCGCGGATGGGCACCGATTGAGTCAAGCTGCGTGGGAATGGGAGGAGATCGGAGGCAGCAGATCAGCGAGCGCTACCTATCTTGTCCAGAGTGAGTTCATCGCCCATAGATCGTGCAGATTGAGGCTCATTTGCAGCGACCTTCACTGGGCAGCACTACCTCACCGTCTTGTAAACGTGTTGCGACTGGCTGCTCGAATGGCTAGCGAAGCCGCGCAGACGACGCTGTCAGTGGCAGACCAGAGCTCTCGAGAGTCTCAGATTTCTCAACTGCTCTCTCGTTCAGCCGCAACGAAGGCATGGAACACGCTCTCTGCCTCGCCGATTCTTGTGAGGCAAGCGTTGTTCCCATTGTCTGCTCCCGGCGCACAGCAATTGGGATCTCTCGACGCGCAGCACGCGAATCCTCTGGTTGTCAACACGACTTCAAAGACCAGTCGCTCCCACAAATCGAGAGCAAGCAGCAGTTTGAGAGCCCTGAGACATCCTTCCCCGCTTCATTTGGCTTCTCACGAAGCTGAGGCGAAGCGTTTGCAAGCAGTCGAAGAGAGACAGGACATCGCAGAAAAGCTTGGCATCCTCGCCATCGAGCTTCAAAAGCTCATCACGGGCCCTCCAAGTCGACAAGGCATCGAGAACGAGACCGCTCGAGGCATCCAAGAGGCAATTAGTCAGCAGGTCGCGTTGCTCCAAACAGTCCTTGCGCGCGAAGGGGTGGAGGACCGTGTTGCTGTTGTTGCTAATCAACAAACCTCAAGCGCTGATCTTTCGAGCAGCGCAGGGACTCTTCGCAAGCTCCTGACCGACTCTATCCCAAGCTCCTCAAGAGAGATTAGCATCTTGCTAAGCCCTTCGCCAACAGGATTGGGTTCGCCCTCCTTTCTTGCACGAGCTTGGCCCACCTTGGTTCTTACCCCTCTCATCAGCATGATCACCCTGAGAGCAGTGTTGAGGAATTGGGATGCGGTCAAAGCCCAAGTTCAGGACGCCAAGGAGACGCTTCGCGGCTTCGTGATCGGTTGGGTTTGGAACCCTGTCATGGGTCTGCTGGACACGCTGAGGGAAGGCGACAAGCGCGCAATGATCATGACTGCTGAGAGTCTGAACTCGGACGTCCAGGCGAGTCCGCCGTCGCTGTGAGCTCTGTAAACGTCCGAATCGCGCTGAACCCCTGACCTTACCTTGCACAGAGTCTGGAACGCATGGTTGTTGAATTTGCAAGCGAGAAGCAAACACTCTCTGCGACAGAGCTGGCTGCCCTCTCATCACGCGTCAGAGAGGGTGACCTTTCAGAGGTTCTGAAGGTCTACGAGCAAGAGTTGAAGGTGAGAAAGATCATTGCCTGACTGTCTAACCTCATGCGCCCCGCCTGCCTGGCTAACCTCCGCCTCGCATCGCTTCTGAAATCCTTTCATCTTGTACCGCGCGTCATTTCGCAAGTCTCCCCTCAAGTCGGCAGTGACCGGTTCTTTGGTGCGCTCGCTTCTAATCCAGATTCAGAAAGCAAAAGTGGACATAGAGACAGCAATGGCAGGTATTGATCGCTTGCTCAAATCGCAGCAGTTGCTCTTCGGTGCCGTGGGTGTCGCTCCAGCTATGGGAGCGGTGTACCTGGTCTACAGCTGGTCCTCCAATCGGGTCGCGGAGTGGAGCGGAAGGCGAGGGAGACAAGCGGGCAGACAGACAAGAGCCAGAGTGTGGGAGGCCATGCGGTAGGTGCTTCTTAGCCACGCTTTCCGCTCGCGCATTGTGGTTGACGATGGCGAGTATCCATGTTCGTGTGCAGTCGTATCGACAAGCTCCTCGCAGCCGACACACAACGCGCTTCGTCCAACGCCGCGCAGTCGACGTCTCTCAGCGCAACGACACGAGGCCTGCTGTTGTTGGACCTCTCCCTTCTGCGCAACTCGGCCACCGCTCTAGTCAGTGCACCAGCGCGAGGCAACAAATCGGCTCTCAAGAGACTGAGGGGCCAATTCTTGGAAGACGTGCGAGAGCTCGAAGGGCTGGAAAGTGCGGACTTTGTGCAGACCGGCATGGACGGCAAAACTTCGACGAAAGAAGCCGGCCTTGGCTGGCATGTCAGAAGAGCTGCTGTGGAACGTATGTGGAGGAGCTGGGGTCCTCTCTTTGCCCTCGATGTCAAAGCTGGCTAGGCTTGTTGGAAGCAATTATATGTACATTATCAGCAGTATGTCCTTTGTTTGGCGAGAGCGAGACGCGCGCCGAGGGTTCGACATTCTTGAGTTCCTCGTACTCAACGGCAGCGTCGTAGTGAAAGGAGCGCTGAGCAAACCTTTGCGGCATGCCGACGACAGCCCGGGTCTCGCTAATTGCACGCAGTAGCCACTCTACGTGAACAGAGCACAGCATTGCATTCAGATGGTATCACAAGAATCAACACATGGCCAGTCAGAAGAGTTTCTAGGCTCCGTTGGGGCACCTCCAAGTGTCACCGCAGCAACCGGAGCTTTTCACGGGCTGAGCACCTCCTTTGCAAGTCGGAGGAGTGGGGTTGCTACGGTCGAGGCTTCCGCAAGCCACCTCATCACACCCGCGGAGCTTGGAGTCGTTTCCGGGAGGGGTGATCCTCTCGTCGCTGCGCTACGGCGTGGTCTCTACCTGTGGCAGAGTTCTCGCAAAATTGGCCAAGATAGAAGGCAGTTCTTCGTCCGCCGACTCGCCTAGCTCTGCGCGCTTACTTTCCTCGTCGACGTCAGAGGGGATCACGGCTCTGGGTGGGTGCGAGGCAGGGGGAGATTGCCCAATGCCAGATGCTTGTCTAGACTCGACCCTCACCACGGACGTCGACCTCTCGAATTGTTCCGGGGCGACATCGGCTCCCTCTTCGGCAGCGTAGACATCTCTAGGTGGGTGAGAAGCAGGAGGCGACTGGCTGATGCCAGAGCTCTGGCGTGCTTCGAGCTCCTCCAGGCCGTCCATTGCTGCAAGGTCTCGACCGAATAGGGCGGACGGCAATTCTTCCTGACCATTAGGGCAGCTCCAGCGAGGTCCGCAGCATGCGCCCCCGGACTGCGTAGGCTTAGCACCTCCTTTGCAAGTAGGCGGAGGTCCCGCAGGCCTATAAGCGCAAGCGCACGACTTGAGTTCGGAAAGCTCTTTGTGCGTCCTGTTGCCAGTGGAAATGAGACGTTTCTCGAGGTCGTTCGGAACAGGAGCGATGAGAAGCCCCGGAGCGTTTTGGCGCTTAGCGTTGTTCAGCGTTTCACTGGCTCCACCAAGAAGACTCTTTCGGCCGCTAGGACATCTGTAGCTGGTACCGCAGCAGCCTTCGTTGGCGATGGGCTCCTCACCGCCAGAGCAAGTAGGGCGAGGCTCATTGCGCATAGCACACTTGACCAGTGCACAATTGCCTTTACCGAGCGAGTCCAGAGGTTCCCTTTTGAAGCTGAAGGACCTCCTCTGCTTGAGCGCACCAGTCACACCTTGAAAGTCGGGCTTGGTGGGCCTAGCACCGTTAGAGCAGATGGGGTGGCCACAGCAGCTGCTTCCAATGGCCTTTGATCCGGCAGGACAGGATTCCATCATGGCGCTTTGACTGATCGCGCAACCGCAAGCTCCTTGGCTTGCCAGCACGCGCTTGATGAGTGCGGCATCCTCGCGGTTGAGCGAGCGATCCTGAACGACGGTGAATGAAAAGGCAGCACTCGGGTCGCCGAATGGAAGGGCCAAGGAGAAGGTGGCCAGGGACGCGATGAGCACCGTAACGAAGAGAATAGACTTCATGGCGCTTGCAACGGTGTCTGTAAAGAGTGTGATCCAGCCTGTATCAAGAGCATACAATGGAAGGGGCGTGAGCATGCCTCTGGATGTCATCCACCGTCAGGGATACTCACCAGTAGATCGGTAGGGGCGTGAAGGGCGGGGAAGTAGGGAGAGGTGGAGCGATTGGGTAAAGGCAAAGAGGGAAACCAGTTCCTTGGGAGAAGTTGAAAACGGGTAGAGGCCGAGCTGGACCGTCTTCTTATAGCTTTCCTACGTACGGTCCGTGCTAACCAATCTGCACAATATGCTACCACGGATATTTTGTAAATGTCCTCTCAGCCTCTGCAGAGTACTGTGAATGTTCTTGCGATGCTAGCGGGGACGCCCAGTGATGCAACCGAAATTCCAAGATTGTCACACAGAGGAGCTTCGACTGAAGGCAGAAGAACGAGTGTGGGTGGGCTGCATGATGTGTAAACGCCTTGCACTGCATGATACCTCAAGCCCGCTCGATCGTGGGCTCTCTCCATCCTCGGTCGCGGCGTCTCACAATCGTGAATCGTTGGGCTGAGTCTCGTGCGCCCGAATTGTACGTGCTGCTTTCATGGCCCGAGCAAGAGCTCGGCAGTGTCCGGTTTGGTCTCTCTTCCAAATTGGGCCGGGCTTTGAGGTGTTGGGAGATCAGTCCGCGAGAGGCTCGATTGACGAGCGTGATGTCAAGAACAAGCTTTCAGCACTGCGACTCACACTTTTGATCAAAAGGCGGGCGGAAGATGAAGAGTCACAAGTCACGAGTCACGAGTTTATGCGGGCGCGCCTACGTGAGCGCCTACATGTACGTTGGCGTGAATATGCAGCCGGGCGTCGCGAGCCAAGAGAGGCTGGCGCAAGCGACGTGTCCGGCATACCGTACAGCAGCAGTCGGGAGTCGGGAGTGTGAGTGGTGACGAGTGTGAGTGTGAGTGTGAGTGTCGCATGAACTCGTGAACAGCAAGATTCGTGTCGCGCTCGAAGCTCGTCAGCAGATGCTGGCTGACCTGCAAGGTTCGAGGGCTCGAGCCGCGCGCGAGTTGTCGGTCACTCACAGACTGCTTCGTGACAAGAACGAAAGACGAGGAGTAAGTTGCGTCCTTTGCGAGCGAGCATCCAGTCGTGAGTAGTGAGTCTGCAGCCAGCGCGCGAATCTTCTCGCTGAGGGTATAGGCCGCCGTTGACGCGCGCCGGCCGGGCACGTCGCTCGCTGAATCGGCCTCCCACCAGTCACAATCAAGAGACACGCATGTCGGGCATCGGTTGACATCCACCTGGCGTTGCGAGGCAGACGAACTTACTTGCGTTGGCTAAGCGTTGCAACTGAAATGGTAAAAATTTGGATAGCACAATGCATGGCATTGAACGATGATAGAGCAGAGCCGATGCACATGTCTGAGCTCGAGAGTTGGTGCCATGGGAGCAACGCCATGATATCATCGTCGCCTACCACTAGCGTCCCCTTTTGCACCCTCCTCAGCAGCTTCCGTCCTTGCGCTGACTCGATCCAAGAAATCCCGCCTTTCCAAATATCCCTTGATGTTGCCCAAGCCGCTCGCACCGCCCCTTGTTTGAGCTTCCATCTCTGCCACTTCAGCTTCTGTCAGACCCTCAGCGTTCTCAGACCGGCCCAATGCGCCTGACGTTGCAACACCTTTGAAGGAGTCCCAGTCCATTTTGCTCTTCTCTAGAGTCGTCATTTTGGAAGGGGCACTGTTCCCTGTACGAGAAGCTAGTGCCGCTAGACCTCCCCCACGCTTCTTGCGAGGACCGGCTCGGACGGGTGCTGGAAGCGAGGAAGCAGATGTGGTGACAGAAGCGCCATTCGACGGGGGCGCGGTATTCGGTGTAGAGCCCGAGGAGTGAGGCGCACCACTTGGTTGGTCTCTGCTCGCTTCTGCCTGCTTGAGTCGAGCGAGATGTGATACAGCATCAGGATGGTTGACGGGTAGTGTCACGTACTTCCTGTGATGGCGCAGCGAGATTGTTCCATCAGCATCATTCCGTATATGCGCACACCTCACCGAGCGACTCACAAGACGTCTTCACCAGCGAAACGGAAAGTGCGAGGCACTTCTATGGTGCGGGTTTCTGGAGGTGCCTTAGCGACGTTCGAGTCATGATCGCTTTGATCCTGAAACGCTTTCCAGGCCACGTCATCTACTGCGCTCTTGACATGCGCAGCCTGCTCACGGGCTTCAGCTCGAGTCGTTTCAAAGCTAGGGAAGGAGCAATGAAGCTCAGCTCTTCTCGTTTGTCCATACACCATTCTAGTCCTCTGCTCACTTATATTTAGTACCGGCCTGGTTCGTCCTGCGCCTCTTTCCGCTTGTCTGACCCGCTAAATCCTCCTTAGCATCCGCGAGCAGCGCTTCAGCTTCTCCATCACCTAGCAAACCGCTTCCTGCCATGTCCTGCTCATCATCCAGCTCGCTACCAGACGAGCTGCTTGAAGATTTGCCGCCTGTTGAGGCGGACCTTCGGCGCCGTTTGGCTGTGTGTTTGATGCTGGGTGTGCCTTTCGAGCCAGAAGGAACGACTGACGGCGAGACGGACTTTGAGCTCATGACGAATCAAAGCTAGGGTGCAGCAATTGGGCAGAGGACACGTTTGCCAGCTTTAGTATGCTGTCAGGGATAGACTGGAGGTGCGCGGTGGTCAATCCTTCGTGGGCATACGCCGGCCTGGAACGTGTCGTTTTGGATCTGAGTGCGGTGAACGTATGGCTCATCGCGTGACCATGCACTCACACTGTGACTCTTGAGTCTTGACACTCTTGACACTCAAATTTGACTCTCACAGCAGGAAGCGCTATAAGTACGCGACGCGCATGCGCGCGCGGTCAAGAAGAGCTCCAGTCACGAGTTTTGCTGTGTTTGGAGGCTTAATTGCTTGCCGTGTGTGCGCCTACAATCAAGGCGTTTGCGAATAGTTTGGATTGCGATTACTATTATACGTTTGTTTTTGCATGATGGCGATTACAATCAAGAATCACTGAATCAGAGACACGCCGACGAGCATCTAGCTACTGTGGGTCCCGACTCCCATCACGGTTCTTACCTAACCCCCCATCCTCTAGTCTACTCACCGACGGCAATCATCAATGGCATCGGTTCTTGTGCTGACGACTCAAACGCCAATGCAGGCCTGCACCAGTGAGGCGATGGTGAGCGCACGCGTCTATGCTCTGCGCAGCAGGTAGTCAGAATCAAGCCGCACGATTCAGCTTGAAAGCACCTCCCTCACCCGCGCATCACTGCGCTAGCCATTCTCCCACACGATTGAATGTTGGCGCTGATCTCGCATCGACTTTTCAGACGATGACACCATCCCAGAGAAATGTGGATGATGGGATCATCGTTCAAATCGATGAGAGGGACGCGCGTTCACGCGGCCTTGCCTCACGCAAGCGAGCTCGATTCGAATTTTCGCCGGAGATAGACCAGAACACTCGAAGCGGTGGGAGAAGAGATGGTCCGGCTCAGCCACCTGAGGCCGAGAGTCATAGCCGAGGGGGCACTGTGATCTTACAGGATGCGGACAAGAGGGCGTACCTGGATGCGGAGACCTATGCTCCGACCAAGTTTGGTGACTTTGCCACTTTCATGCGCAACAAGAGAGCCAAGGTGAGCATGCACTCGGCATCTTCTGACCCGCAAACGCCTGCATCGCAGAGGTTCATCTGATCAACATCCTCGCTGCTTCTGTCGCTCAGCTGAAAGTGCAAGAATGTGACGAGGCTGCCAACGGAAATGATGAAGCTGGTTCTCGCATCTTTGAGAAGACGAACATCTACATCAATGGTCACACCACGCCGCCATATACCGAGCTTCGTCGACTTCTGCTATTGCACGGTGGCTCGCACATGGCATATCTGGACACCAAAACGCCTTGCACCCACATCATCGCCTCTTCCTTGACACCCAAGAAGCGCGTCGAGTTCAAAGACTATCGCGTCGTCCTGCCCGCATGGGTGACGGACAGCATCAAAGCTGGTCGTCTGCTAGACTGGCGAAAATATCGATGCGGAGCAGATGCCTCCGGTGCCATGCATCCCGGCTCAATCTCTGCAGGCCGAGCAAATGCACCGGCCAGACCTTCTGCAATGGGTGATCTTGCTGGTCGAAAAGATTGGAGAAGCTTTGGCGCCTCTCAGGCGGCGTCACAGACCGTCGATGGTGCAGGGTCTGTCGATGTGCAGCCGTCAGGCTCTTTGTATGACTCGAGTCAAGCTGGAGGTGTGGTACCTCCTTCTACAACGCCTTGGGGGCGCGAGAGCGCCCAAAGACGATTGACCTCGTGGCACGCGGGAGCCCGGCACGAGGACGAGAGCAGTCAGGTGAGGGCAAAAGAGCCCGAGAAGGCTGGTCAGACCGAGATTGCAGCAGCAGTCTCGCAAAGGAGTCTAATCGAGTCATCAAGGTCTCCTGCAGGAGCAGACAGACAAGGCTCTCCGCCAGTCACTCCGACGAAGCCGCGCATTGAGTCCAGTGGCGACCAAGTGTCTCCGCGGACTTGGCTGGCAAACTTAGAGACGCCTGAAAAGCCGAAAACACCGGGAAACTCTGTGCAGCTCGATGATGAGGCACCGACACCTTGTCTCACTGCCGAGCTGGATGCAGAGGAGCCTCTCTTGTCCACTAAAGCTGAAGGTCTTGGTACCTCCGAGTCAGCGCGAAAACCAGTCGCTAGAGCGATCCGCCCATCGACGCCACCTGCGTTCCATGGATACTCTTCTAGGCCCTCTCATCTTTCCGCTGCTCGTTTGCTGGCGTCTCCGTCGTGGAGAGAGAAGCACACGGCGACAAGTGACTCTTTTCTCGCCGGCTACTTCGACAAGAGCAGGTTGCATCATTTGAGCACGTGGAAAGCTGAGCTGCAGGACATGGTGGCTCAGGCAATGAAGGAGTCTGGAAGAGGAGTGGAGGGCAGCAAAGATCTGCCGAGTGGAGTCAAGCGCGTCATCATGCACGTTGACTTCGACTCTTTCTTCGTCAGTGTCGGGTTGAGGAATCGACCAGAACTGCGCGACAAGCCAATTGCAGTGTGCCACGGTGCAGGGGAAGGTGGCGATATTGCTTCGAGCACTTCCGAAATAGCTTCCTGCAATTACGTGGCCCGCAAGTACGGCGTGCGAAACGGCATGAGCTTGGGTCAGGCGCGTAAGCGCTGCGCAGAGATCGCTACTATTCCCTACGACTTCGAGGCCTACATGGAAATCTCGATCCACCTCTACTCGATCCTTCTCGCTCACGCTGATGTTGTCGAGTCTGTCAGCATCGATGAGGCTTTGCTAGACGTTAGTCTGCTTCTCGATAGCATGCGCAAGGAGCACGCAAAAGACGCCCCCGATTGCGATGCTGGTGACTGGCGCACGCTTTTGGCCGCATATAAAGGGCATACTAGCACTCAAGGAGAAGCTTGGTCAGAAGAAAAACAGCTAGCAGAGGCATTCAGGGACGAGGTTCGGCGTCGTACGGCGTGTGAGGTCAGCATCGGGATCGGCGCCAACGTCTTGCAGGCGCGACTTGCGACCCGCAAAGCGAAACCTGGTGGTTCCTATCATCTACAGGCCTCTGGGGTCTTGCAATTCACAGCAGGACTCGATGTCGACGATCTGCACGGCGTCGGCTGGAGTCTACGGGCAAGGCTCAAGGACCTTTTCGGCACCGCAAGAGTTGGCGAGCTGCGATCGCTGGTAAAGCAGAATCGCCTCATGGCCGAGCTTGGACCCAAGATGGGCCGCGTAGTGTGGGACAAGATGCACGGACGTGATCGAGACAGACTAGAAGGCTATCGTCAGCGCCAAAGCTTGGGAGCTACAGTCAACTATGCTATTCGTTTCAAGAGCATGCAAGAGTCTGAGGACTTCATACGCCGCCTGTCGGAAGAGGTATCTCAACGTCTCAGAAAAGCCAAGCTCCGTGGGCGTCAGTTGTCTGTCACGGTGATGGTCCGTGCTCCAACAGCACCAGTGGAGGCCCCGAAGTTCATGGGCCATGGTATCTGCGACACGTTCAACAAAAGCACCCCAGTGTCGGGCTCAGCGGCTATCGACGATGCTGACTCCATCTTCAGATTGGCATGGCCAATGATCAGCAAGGTTGCGCCCGACGCAACACAACAACGTGGTCTAGGCATCAGTTTGCACAAACTTGAGCCGAGCGATGGCAGTGTCCTTCCGCTACCCAGGTCGGCGCCCGGCCAGCAGCTGCTTAGCTTTGGAAAGCGTGCGCAGCAGCCTTCTGCACAGATCGCGTCTCGCAGCCCACAATGTCGCAATTCGCGCGCAGAGCCGTCCTCAGAAAGCGAAGACGACGAGGACGCCCAGCAACACGCCACAATGCTCCACGCCGGGCCGGTGGGTAGGGCAGCGCGATCGCCGAGTCCTCGTGCACGCCGCATTAAGCCTTCAGGACAGATCCGGGACTCGAGGGACAGTGGCCTCGTTGTCTCGGACGATGATGTCGCACACAAAGACGGGCGTCAAGTCCCTGACCAGGCTGATGTCAGGATGCCAGTAGGAACCCAATTCGCAATTCCTCCTTTGTCGCAGATAGATCAAGAAGTAGTGGCTGCTTTGCCGACGCAGATTCGCAGTCAAGTCATAGATAGTCTGGCCCGGTCTAGTGAGGGTCACGCAAGCACTTCTCGAGAGCTCCAAAGAAGACCAGCGGAGCCAATTGCAGCACGACGAGCAAATTCTGCTGAACCGAGTCCTAGCTCTCAACGGGGTGCCGAGGCCATCGAAACTGTCGAAACTGTCGAAAGCCCACGGCGAGGGCTATTGCCACTCGATTCTCCTGCTCGAGCTTCTTCCACGACCCCAAGCAAGAGGCACAAACAGAGGGGCATACAAAGCGCATTCAAAATCGCGCACGCTATCAGCATGCCTAGCTTCTCGCAGCTCGATCCGAGCGTACTGGAAGCCTTGCCAGAGGAGCTGCGCACCGAAGTGTTGCGTGAAGCCGGGATAAGATCGCGCAGTGCGGCTGGCAGCTCGTTGATGGGTGCGCGACGTGCCGCCTCGATCTCACCCGTCAAACGAGCTGGCCTACTTTCGGCGGCGGCCGCGAAGAGTCACGATCTAATGTCTACATCGCGAGTCAGCTCTAAGATGTCCAAGAGCGTCGAGACTGTTCCTGTTCCTCTCGGTCAGCCGCTCGCAGACGTCGCGATCCAAATGGCCGATCCGACTCGGCTGTCTAGCAAAGAGCTAGAAGCACTTGAGATCGACCCCGACTTCTTCAGAGCACTGCCCGTAAACATGCAACGTGACATTGTAGTGGAGCAAAACAGCATCATGGAATCCCGCCGAACGCGGTTCAAGGGAGCTCGACACGCTGAGGAGCGGACGCGCGCGCAACAGCGTAGGGAAACCGCGCTCAAAGCGGCTGGAGTGGGCTCAGCGCAGCTAGATAGTGTCGTGAGACAAGGCATGCTCGACTTGTCCAGTCTGGACTCCTTGCCCAACTTGATTCGCGCCCAACGCAATTCTGAAGCATTGCCGAGCGTGAAAGGGTGCTCCACAATCGAAGACGTCACGTGGCTGCTTGGAGAATGGTTCAATCGTCAAAAGGAATCTGGACCTCGAGAAGGCGACGTCGCTCGATTCCGAGCCTTTCTCAAATCGTGCGTAGAAGAAGATTCTTCCATCGCTCACCAGCACCTCGATTTGGAGAAGGCTGCTGGTGTGCTCAAAGCTTGGCGCAAATTGCTCCTTCAAGCGAATATGCTCCCGGCCACAGCCCAGCAACAACAATCCAACGCGGTCGACGGGCCAGACGAAGGCTCCGCTGCTGTGCTCTGGTGCGCAGCCTTCGATGCGGCACGCAAGGATGTCGACGAGCGCGTACGCAAACGCTTTGGCTTTGCTCTTTCCCTACAGTGAGCTCTGGCGCGCGAAGTCCCAGTGCACACATCTGCTTTTGTCTGTGCAACTTTCCTTGTCTCTCCTCTCTCCCCTGCTCCTGTATGCTTCTCCAACAACTTGTCTATCCGGCGTTTGTTCTTGTAATGTACCATCATGTATTTCTAATGTCAGCACCCCATTGGAGCGCGAAGTCCCCAAGAGGAGTGAAAGGCGTCGAGTGCGAGCCTACGCGAATTCTTGGACATTGTGCTGAGTCGCATAAGGCTGAGAGGACGATTGAGGTAATTAGCACGCCGCTGTAGTGCAGGCGACACGTCTTGACTCACCTCTGAGACGAGCGCCGTCCTTCCACTTGCAGGCTCGCTCGAGTGTCTGGCGCTCTGAGGACCGGGCTTGATGGGTTGGCCATTCCTCAATGCGTCCAGCACTTTGATTGTAGTCTCCGGCGTCAGATCCTCCTGTCGCACGCGTAATGGCAAGGCAAGGCTAGTGATTAGGGATGGCCTCTGCCGCAAGTTCGCTACGAAACTGCAACTCACGTAAAAGTCGTCGTTGACCTGCATCATGGGTGCATTTGCACAAGCGCTGTGTGGCCATATTTGCTAAAGTCAGCCGCGCGCCAAGCCAATTGACCCACGCAACCAGCTCAGTGCTCACCCCAGGCATTCGACTTCAATCAACGTAAAGAGCTTGTCGTCGGTAGTCTGGCCCTGCTTGATGCCGAGATGCTTCTCGATGGTCTCGAGGATGGAGGTACTGCCGCAGCCACCAAGCATGCAAGGTGTGGTGGTGCAAAGCTGAACAAAGTGCTTGCCAACGGGCTCACTGAGCGCGGGACGTGGATCGCAGATGAGAATGATGCGTCAGAGTGAGGTGTGAAGGCAAATGAACTTTCGTGGTTGCTTACCGATTGAACATGGTGTAGAAGGAAGCAACCTCGTACACGCGCATGGGTGGCATCTCCAGCAACTTCGCTACATAGTTCATCACGCTGATGGATACCCAGCCCGAATTCTGCCTTTGGCCCAAATCGAGCAGAGGGATGACCGCTGCTTTCTTGTACTGGGGTGGATAATGAGAGATGATCTCCTCCGCTTGCTTCAGCGTCTCTGCATTAAATTCGAAGGGAATAGAAGGGTTGCTACGATTTTGACAGACGCATAGTGCTTCTTGTCAGCTGGAGCCGCGAGCGAACAAGGACCAGGGACTGGGGATGCTACCCACTTGTAGTCTGTATCGCGGTGAACCATGAGCTTGTCTGATGATTGCACGCTAGAGCTGGCAAAGCCCCGCTGTGCGATCATGCGAGGCCTGGCAGCAGCGCTGGCGGATCGGGAGGCAGCCTGGAGATGAGATGAGGATGACCTCAGGCTCGCGCGAGCCAGAGTGCGTGATGCCGATGCCATTGCGTGGATGCGCGTCAAGAGCCGTCGGTCGATGTGGTGTGGCGGTAAGAAGACTTTTGAGAATGGACAAGGGAGACAGACTGCTTGATGAGTTGAGTTCTTGACGATTAGAGTAAGGAACGTCGCGTATGCGATTATGATTCTGATCCTGCGCTGCCTTCACACTTACGGTATTGAGGGTATCCTCCGGCGCATCAACGACTCACGCACTCACGACTGCTCAAGCTTCCTACGTGCGGCGTTGCTCCGCATCCAATGGTGACGCGCGCGATTTCTCAGCTCGTGCGTGGGTGATTGTCAGCAATGAGTTCACGCCACGTGGACGTTGGGGTGATATTAAACTCCGCGGAAGTCCGACACGCTCTCTCAGTCCAGTGAGGCAGGTCATAAAGATCCCCATAGTGAGGATCGGAATCTATCTGCTACAAACACTGGGATGTATCTGTCTCGTGAGCGCGATCTTCACGCCCGATAAGGTGGAGTTCCCGTACAAGGTCGCGCTATTGCCGTGATCTCAATCACTAGAGCATAAAATTGGACGACTCTGATGCCATTTCCTGGTGCATAACATATTTTATGGTCATTTCAGAGGGGTCAAAGGATGAGGCAGACTTCTTGGAGGCAACGTCGCTTTTCGCTGTGCCGACGCATGACGATGCTTTCTTCTTTTTCCATAGGCATCTAGTCTCGGGCCGCAAGATCGAGCAACATTTGAGCTGCTTGTTCATCACCTTCGTCTTTGCGAGGAGAGCCGCTTAAACCGCGTAGGGTAGATCGAGCAGTTCGAAGTGGGGCTGCAGCCTTGCGACTTGGGGCGCGTGTGCCTTTGCCCGCCTTTGCGCTGTTTGTCTTATCTGCAAATACCGCGCGTCTTGTATGTCCTTCCTCTTTGTCGCTGCCGTAAAAGCCGCTGTCGTCCTGCTGGCTCTCGGTCAACATCGACACATTATTACCAGCGACGTTCTTGGCAGGGCCCAAGGAATTAGCGTACGTCACGGGCGGCAATGGACCAGACGCCACGCGAGCCAGCCCATGCCCGCGTTGGACGGTGTTGAGCTGCTCGCGTCCCCAAGGTGTGCCGACAGGTGCTTGGAAGCCGGACAGCGACGCCCGCTGGTTGACCGGGTGTTGAATGTTTCTAATAGGACGTTCAGGAGAGACGGAAGGAGATGCTGTTCCTCGAGGATCACGCGTGGAGGAGGCCTCGAAACGGAAAGTGCCTCCTGATGGCTGCGATCCGCGCGAGGAAACATTGGAGGTACTCATCCTTGCTCCCAATAATGAATCAATAGACAGACTGGGCTGAGCCAGACCATTGCTTCGCTTGCCGAACTGGGGGGCTTCTTGACCTCGTGCTGGCCGCAGAGCTGCTTGTTTAGCACGGCCATCTAGTAATGCATGTGACGGGGGCCGCAGAGGTGGGAGAGTGGGAGTCTGCAACAGAGTGTCGACCGCCGTCAAGCAAGCGATAGAAGGCAAGCGGGAAGCATCCAGGGTGGAGCCAGCAGAGAGGGTTGGGTGGCTCGTCAGCGCCGAAGCCGGTCCAAGGCCGGACGGCATCGTAGCCGCAATGGACCGTGGCAAAACCGTCAATTGATTTTCCTTCAATGCGACGCCGTCCTCTCTAGAACGTTTGCGGGGCGTGGAAGAGGTGTCCATGTGCGGCGCAACGAGCGGCTGTCTCTGCGCGACTACTGGCTGAGCCTCTTTCCAATCGTAGGGCGTAGCAAATCGACTGCGCTTGCGTGGTGCGTACTGATCCTCAACAAAGCGCCATTTAAGACCGTTTTCGTCAACGACGTATTGTGCCGCTGGCTTCCTCTTGCGGTGAGGCACTTTCTTTGCTGAGACACCTTCGGAGAAAGATCCAACGAGTCCAGCAGCCAAGTCTCTGCGCGCGTCGGAGTTCGTGTCTGTTGACAGCAATGGTCTGGGAATGTCAGCACGGTCATGCCCCGCGGCGTAGTCTAGAGAGGGGACCCGTCGTCTGCTCGAGCGCGCAGGATCGTCTAAGGTTATTGCGGGCGCAGCTTGCACCGAAGAGATTCGGGATGCTGGGTGTGGCTCGACATTGGTGGTGCTCTTCTCTTCGCCTGGAACGCTAAGTGTCAGATCGCGAGAGAGTGAGGCACGTCCGTCTGAGACTGTTCTCGGCTTGAACGCGCCAGCGCTGTTTGTAAGGACGTTCGACGACGGCCGGATGCTTCCAGACATCGCCCGTGTTAGGCTCAGCCTGCCTGGCCTCAACGTGCTTTTGGCTCTAAGATCGTTGAGCTGCTCCTTGGCGGCTCGGCGATTCGCAACTCTGCGAAGAGTGCGCTCTTCATCTTCTTCCGCCGCTTCCTCCTCTTCGTCTGGATTCTTCGGTCCCTCTTCTTGACCATTGTCCGAGCTTGCACTAGAGCTCAGCATGCGGCGCCAAATCTCGTCGCTTGGGGATCTCTGGCGCTTGCCAGGAGAGACGCGCCTTGGACTGGCTGGCAGGATACCCTGCGCTCGGAGCGAGGCTATCAAAGACGGCGGCAATTTGGCATTTAGCGATCCCTGCTTGCTTCTCGATAGACCGGCACCGCATGCCGCGGTCGATGCAGCATGCTCGGTGGTGTGGGCCGGAGCACCGTCCTTTTTCGCACCAATGACACCATCGAAAAGAGAGACTTTTGCCTTCGTCTTCGAGGACTGATCAGTCGTTCTTGACAGGACTTCGCAAGGCGCTTTTTTGAGGCTGGTGGTGCTGGTGACGATCCTGCCTTGCACGTTCGCTATCAAGTCGTTGATGTCTCGCAATGGTGCGCGACCCTGGCCTGGTAGTGAAGGCGCAGAAACAGCGCGTGTCATGCAGCGGTTCGAGGCAGAAGGAAAGCTTGGCTGACTGGAGTCCGTTGCGTCTAATGCACGACAGCTTTCCTTTCGTGTGCTGTCGTCATCGGTGCCGGGAGAGCCTGGAAGGGTCGTCACTGGTCTAGAGAGAAGGGTTGCATCCAAAGACGGGCGTGCTCGAGGCAGCACGGGCTTCAAACCCCCGGCACGGTCAGACGCGCTTTGTGCTAAGCTGGATGCATCCTCTCCACCATACCGAGCAGCACGCTTCTTCATCGCTTGACGTCGATTTTGAAACCAGATGGAAACCGCTCTGCAAGCATGCAAGTTCCGATCGTCGCATGATGAGCCAAGGCATGACATCCGACCAATGCCCATCATACTCACTTGACCGTCATATGCAGCTGCGCAGCCAGCTCATTCCGCTTGGTTTGATCTGGGAAGGGCGTGACCTCGTACCTAGAATGCCAGGAGAGGGACAAATCTCAGACTACTGCTCGGAGGCTAAGACAGCGGAGACACGCGGTACCAGGGCCCATTATTCGCCCTACTTACACAGCAGCGAGCGTGTCCACCTCGGCCTTCTTTGTTCGTCGGCGTCGTTTGCTGCCACCCGGGCCTCTCTTGCCAGTGACAGAGTGGTCATTCTCATCGCACGATTCGTCATCTTCATCATCATCCTCCTCCTCCTCTCCCGCCACGCTTGGCTCGCGCGTTGATGACTCCATCTGCTCGCTTGACGGATTTCGAGCTATGGCGGCAGAAGGAGGAGTGGGACCACGGTGGAGCGCGACTGCTGAAGGGTAGCTGTCGCTCTCCACAGCTGCGCGTTCGGCAGGAGATTGCATGGGAGTTTGTCGGTGCGCGTTGTCGCGTGCCGTTTCCAGCTTGCTGCGTTCACCCTGATCAGCCGCCGGAAAACCCAGCACCATCGCTTCTGACGAGGAGCTCCAATTTCGAGCAAATGGGCGTTTCGAAGCTTCGGAGCCTTGCTGCGATTGCGCTTGGATCATGCTATCGGGGGCGCACCCGCTGCTCAAGTGCATGCTCAACTGCTGGGAGGCGGATTGAGAGCTAGGCGGTCCATCGTACAGCGCTGGTAGCTCATCCGAGAGTCCGTCCCGGATGGCTGGCGCAACACGAGTTCCTTGAATGCGCATGTTGAGAATGCTCGCGTTCGACTCGGTCCTGCCAATACCTCTTCGAGAGCCTTGTTGGTCTACCGAATCTACTCGGCTCGACCCCTGTTGATCGCCTTGCGAATGGACCAGCCGTGCGGATGATTCTTGAGACTCGTCCGAGATGCCAGAGCGAGGCGAGCTGGTCGAAGTGTTGAGGTACGCGCTGAACGACTCTTCTGAGCGTTGACTCACTGCCTGCGATACATTCAGCTCGCTAGACGCGGCTGATGCGACGCGAGGAAGGTGTACCCTACGTTCCAGGTTCTCACCCGACGCGACACCAACGGACGATGCTGCTGATGTTGCGCTACAGGCCGACATCGGACGGGAGGGCGAAAGGCTGCGGGCGCGCGCAACAGAGGCTTCCAAAAGTCGTCGGGTGTCGTGCTGGAGAGTCGAAGGAGTGGGGAGAGAGGGGTTGAGCAGAGTCGCGAGGTATCGAGCTGTAAGGTAGATAATGCTACCGTTCGCGACTGTCCCGATGGTCCTCGATGATGGACAGAAAGTGGGGTCGCCCGGCTGGCGGAGAGATTCGATGAAGGTCTCATCCACCTTCAGGTGAGGACGTGTTGGTTCTCACGAAGACGACCGAGCTTTCTGAATTGGTGTGTGCATCTAGCTGGAGCCTCGCGTCTCACGGTACCTGCCAACTGACAACCCACGCTGCGTAAACAGCATTCGATCAGTTCAACAGCATCGTGCTCTCATGGGATCCGCGACAAGAGCTGCTGCTGCGTACTGGGTAGCTGCTGTGCTGCTGGCTCGCCCGACGGCCAAAGCGCGAAGGATCGCGAGCGCGTCGAAAAGTCGATCACGAGACGTGCTTGGAGTGGCGCGCCGCGTGTGCGCGGCGCGACACGCCGGCCACGCACCATATATTCTCACAAAGCTCACACTCAGCACAGCAGCAGCGCTACGCTCTGACTCAAAAATTGTGCCCCGCGCGCGCTGCTCGCCTGATGCCTGCTGCACGCGCATGCATGCATCATGGACCGCGAACGGTGTTGCTCTCGCCTATATACCTGTTGCATGATGATGTTGATCTATCTTCACGTACGCGCCTCTGAACGCGTCAATTAACAAACCTTGATGCGGACACATGTTTTGATTTAGGGCTTCAACCCTTTCGCTCGAGAATTCGGGCTCGCCTCGAGCATTCAATCATGTACGGACTTGCCTTCATTCAAAGCATTCATTCACACTGCAGCTATAGTGGACTCGGGAGAAAAGCCTCCTGATGACGGATCGTATCACTCACGACTCAAGTAGCAGCCCTACCGAACCTGCACAAGCATCCAGCAATAGCTCAGCTGCGCGATGCAATTCAATCGTGAATGGCAAGATCACAGCAAGACTCGGCTCTGCTGACATCCATGGCAGATTCGCAACATCCTTTGCATTTCGCGCACGCTGCGTCCAGCGGGCTCCCGCTAAACTTGTTTCTCGCCACTCGATCGCTCTTGGCTCGTCTGCTATAGCTATTAGCCCATCCAGCAACGAGACCTTTTGAGCATGTCTCAAGCTTTTGAACTCGCCGAGCGCAGTGTGTGCGGCTAGAGCTGCTCGGCGTGCTGAGCGCAACGGCTGCCTGTCACGGCGTCCATCCAGGGACCAAAAAGGCCGCCCGCCCGCCGCGTTTGAGCGGCGCGTCACTCGTGACTGCTGTCATAATCAAACTCGATCCCACCCCATGACCCGACTGCGTCTCAGCACCAAGGCTATGAGTGGACTGGCTCGCGCTTGAAACGTTGTGGCGTTGATCAGCAGCCCAGACTCACGACTGAAGGCGCGCATTGCGCAGCTGCGCCTCGTAGTATGGAGCAGCTGCAAGGAGTTGCTGTGAGCGATGTACTCCACGCGTCGCCTCTCCCATTCTGAATCCGACTTTGACCGCACTTCAGGGCTCTCGATGCACGGCTTGAATGACGAGTTGGCCAATCTGCTTCACTGACAAGCCCGAGCTTGGCTCAACATTCCACGTTGTGACATACGTACGTGTTTTGAGGCAGCCACGAACTAACGATCGTTCATGAATGACAGTCACATCGACTCCGCTGCATCTTGCTCACATTGGTTCGAGCTCCTGAAATTCAAGATCGGGTCACAATCAAAATCCAGAATGTCAGAATCAGAATTTGAATTTTAAGCACAAATTTGTATCCAAGCACGCGCCAAGGCAAAACGGCTCATCACGTGTCAACGAGTCTTTCACTTATGACTCAAAACGGTTTGCGTGAATACACTCCAAACATTTGATTATTAAAATTAATCTGAATCGGTGGGAATCCGATGATCCGTCATTCACGTGATTCTCGATTTGATTCAGAAGAGATCAAGCTGAGACTCAGACTCAACTCGCAACTTCACGTTCTCATCCCACTAGGAGATTTGACAGGCTATTAATTTACCCTTCACACGCTCATCTCGATGCCGGAAACACGTGCACTCGTGGCACCTGTCAATTCGTTGGATGACCTGTCCAAGCAGCACGAGAGATGAGCAAAGCCAGCATTGTAGGCATCGGGGTGGATTTGCTCTCCTTTGCGCGCCTTCAAAAGCTCGCAAGCAGAAGTCGCGTGCCAGACGAGAATGCATGGCACAGGAGTGACAGGCTCGCTAGTAGGATCCTCAGCACAGAGGAGTACGAAGATTGGCGCTGCCTTTTTTTGGCCGACCTGGGCGCGCCCACGAGTCTCAGCAGCACAGAAAAGCCCCTGCGTTGGCTCGGCCTGCGGTGAGTGGGCCATCTTGTGCTCGTTCAACCCAAAAGGCTGACCGTCAGATCTCTGATCTGGCGCGCCTCCCGTAAGTTGGGCAGCCAAAGAAGCAGCGTACAAGGCTACTTTTCCCATAGCGGTGGCCTCGTTGCGCTGGAAGCACTTCAGCGTTAGCCAGTCTGAAAAAGGGAGCGGAAGGCCAACCATCTCTTTGAGCCATCTTGGCCGCGATCAAGCGACAAAGTTCCCACTGTTCAGCATTGATCACTCTGCGCTTGAGTGGCATCTCTCCGTCTCGCACGATGCAGGTCTCATCATCGCCACGGTGCTCCTCGAGCGCGCGTCACATCAACAACATGGATGACGTGTCTCACACCATTCGTACGTGTGGTCCAAGGGAGCTGCTGGAACTGTTGGTTGGTTTGACCCCTCAAGAGAAGTCAAACTTGACGCGAGCGAGCACTTGAAGGTGATCGTGCAACGTGTCTAAACATGTGATGGTAATAGTCGTGAGCCGTCTGCTCATCCGACCTTCGTCACCGCGTCATCTTTGAGCTTGAACACATCCACGTAGAAATCAAGCTGCCCTTCCAGAGCTGAGTGGTACAGGCGGCAAGATGCAGCATTTAAGCACGAGCCCAGGAACTCCTCGACAGAATCGATCTCACCTGCCTTCTGGTTTTCAGCTCGGCGGAAACCTGTTACCGCGGATCGAACAGTACGTCATTCATCATGTTTCAGGAAGACACATCACAGGACCGTCACCCTAAACTTACCGTGACCTTCGCCTTCGAACAGTGTGTACTCAACCCGGCCTCCATTCTTCAGGATTGCATCTCGGATAGCCTCGCTCTGCTCTTTGGGCACGACTTTGTCCAAGCTGCCCTGGAATAGCCTCACGGGCGCCTTGATACGATCCGCTTTGTAAAGAGGGCTTCGCGATCGATACACTTCTGGAACCTCTGCCGGAGTGCCTCCCAACAAGCCAGTAGGATACCTGAGCTCAAATTTGTGCGACAATTCCGCCAGCTGCTTCAATTCAGATATGCCAAAAGAGGATCGACCGGCTCTGTAGTGAAAGTGATGTATGCCGTGAGGACGTGTTTGCGTCAAAGTCGGTCATCCGATTCCACCATTCTCAAACATCCCAATCGCTGGAAAGCACTCACGAGAATGCATCGGGATAGTCACAGAGAGCTGCCAATACGGTGTAGCCTGTGAGAGAAACAGAGCAATGTGTCAGAAGTCGTCCTGTCCTGCTGAAAAGTCCGGTGCGCCCTCAGCCTTACCTCCAGAGCTTTGCCCAGCTATAGCAATCCTGCTTGGATCGACAGATGGGAAGACAGCCTCATCGTTGGCAGCGTATCTCGAGTGGACCGGACCGCCCTGTTGCTGACTGGCTGGATCCCATCCGGTTGCTTCTGCGGGAGCTGGTCGATCGAAAAGCTTTTCGTAGACGGCTTCTACGACCGGCAGCTTTGGCAAGAGACTCTGTTGCTCCCAAATCCTTGAATCAGCGAAGCGGCGATGCAGGATGCGACAGACGAGAATCACCACTCACAGGGAAGATGACCTCCAATTGACCTCCTCTTCCAGCGCCATCGCTTCCTTCGGCAGCTTTCGTCATGATGGCGAGATAGTCGATAACTTCCCATCTCCTGAAAGCTTCGATGGTCACGACATCCAAGATAGAATCGCGTGGTATCAAACGAGTCCGCAATGTCACGGCTTGGAAGTGTGCTGCGGCCGTAGTGGGCACTTGGCTACCCGGCAAGGTCTCTGGTTTTGGTGAACCCTCGACTTTCCCTCTCCGGTCGTGAACCCACGGAATGGAAAAGCCCTTGATGGTAGTCAACTGAAGACCTACGCCCGGGATGCTTGTAACAGTCTCTAACAAAGCGCCAAGGAAGACACCTTGTCAAGACGAGAGCATTGGCAGACTAGAGAGCGCGACTCACCTTGCTGCACTTCTACAATGTGCTTGAACAGCCAGTACACCCAAAATGCAAGAACAGCCAAAGCAGGACTTAAGCCGAACTGTCATTTCGTGCAATTGGAGGCAGTGTTGAGGCAGTGTTGTGTCAGAGGTCGCTTGCGGCATCCCGCATCGCCAACGCAAAGCTCACGTTGGACAGAAGTGGCAGCGCTGAAAGTGCAGTCGTCGCGGTCAGGCCCAACACGTCGAGTGCTCCGAACTTCCAACCAGCGTCCGGATTGCGGAAGATGACCTCTTTGGCTCCGCTCGCTTGCGTGCGCTCGGACAAGAAAGCCAGCTGAGCTTGTCCTTTCGTGCTGGCTGCTCTATCACGTCTTGATTGGCCTGGCTGAGCACGGTGTCCAGACGCGGAGACGGCTCCTTTCGCAAGCCATTCGGCGCAAGAAGCACAGTCTCGCACATCTACCACACCCCAATTGCCCATCAGCCGCTCCATATACTCTCTTCCATCTGCAAGACCGGCGATCCGTCAGTGGTATCGCGACCCTCTGAAAAGCTGGATGGCCACACTTACATCCTGTGCTGCCACCGTAATTGACAGTGCATACTGCATTATGACATGGACGCCTGCTTCAGTACTGGCCATGTGCATAGCTCTATTGAGGGCTGAATTGCTCACCTAGAAAGCCTCGTGTCGTCCAGAATTGGACCAGAAGGCTTAAGCCAGCGTCCGCAGCGCTTGTGGGCCCACCATGAGCGAGGATGATGGCGGGAGCAGCGGAGCCCCTAGGCGCCACGTATTGCGCGTTCTTTGGAGGAAAGACAATTGCATGTGCTGTGCTCCTGTCACCGTTCTGTCGGTAGTAAGGATGAACAATCTTAGCGGCCATGCGCGGCGCCATACTTCCGACATGCTTACTCGCCGGCAGAACGGTGGGAAATTCCACTGGAACAGCTTCGCTAAGATACGCTCTGGGTACAGTGCCGTTCGTGATGACATCGCTGCTTCGTTTCAGAACAATCCATCTCGGCTTCACTTCCCCTTTCTGAGACGCATCGAGCGCTAAACCGAGGTCCATGGCTACCAAAGCTCCAGGCTCGTCGAAGCGTGTTCCTACAAACACGATGGTTTGCTCGTCTACTGCTCGTAATTGTGAGATTGTGCGAAAAGGCGTGTCGAGTCGACGCAGAGTACGCGTTGGGAGGTGTACCAGAGCAAGGGAATGTATAGCCCTCGTAATGACAGTGCACGCTATCCAGCTAGCATTCAGGGTCGCAAAAGGTGAACTGTGGATGCATGTGAGAGGCGACATTCTCCTGAGCTTAGAGACGCCAAGAGGTGGCTAGAGTGAGTGGCACACTCACCCATTGAGCTGCCAAGCAGGCTGTTGAAAGTCGCTCTTCTCTGGCGCCTTGAGGATAGCCAGCTTGTCTGACACCCGCAACCCTTCGTCTCCAAGAGGTCTCAGTCTCACTTCGTAGATATTGGCGAATCCAGTCTCGTCATCGGTAAAGAACAAGGCAGCGTCTCCATCCTCTGTGGTCCTACCCCACGTCGGCATATGAGCGACCTGCTCTTTCGATCCTGCAACGAGGAAAGCTTCCGTAACAATGGGCGGCTTGCCTTCCTCGTACTTGAACCTGGCTGCCCAAAGTTGAGTGCCCCAGAACGGCATGCTTGGCTGGTCCCATGACACCCAGACCACAAATCTGCCACAGGGACTGAACCTTGGAGCCGTGCTAAAGTCGGGACCCTCGACGAGGGCATGAAGCTTCCCCGTACGTGTGTCCAAGCAGCCGATGGAGTTCTTGACTCCTTCTGGCGTATCCACTGTATGGTCCTCGTGCACGCAAAGCATCAACGGAAGTGTGGGATGGGCGTGAAAGTCGCCAAGCAGTGATGTCGGACTGTCTGGAGGCATAAAGAACCAATGCTCAGGTATGGGGAATGCCGGTCACGGCTGCGAATTCTCACTCTGCCCTCACCTTCGCGGATTTGTCGAGGCTCTTCGCCCGGTGCTGCCAGGAAGACACCATTGCTTTTGGCTTGCGTGAAAATGATCGGCGCCGTAGCTTTCCCTTGCGCGGTCGAACTTGGGCCCAGACCAGCCGCTCCTCCTCCATACTCATGTATGCCGCATTGGGCACTGTACTTCCCATGTGTCAGGTCTTCCCCTTCCTCACCTTCCTGCTCACCGTCGCCTGGAGTCTTGAGAGGCAGATCGAACGACCGATAAATGACTGCGCTTCTGCCCGATTCGTAAGGTCTGTTCTCAATGTATGCTACTTTGCCCTTGCTCTCTCCCCTTGCACGTGGCAAGACCACCACATCACCAAAGGAGATGTTGGCTTGAGTCAGAAGGTCACTCGTCACTGGCGATTTCCACAGACCGTACGGGGCAATAATGGTTCTGGAGACCTTGTCGGATCTGTCCTGGGCTGTGGCCATAGTGACGAAGGAATGTGTTCGGGTTGTCAAAGGCCAAAAGGATGCTCGGATGATCGCTGAACCAATATACACTACCCGTCTGTGCGGCATACACGAGACGACCTTCGTGCTGCCAGCGTGTGGGGTCCAAATTTCAAAAAGATGATTTCGGATCGGAGTGTGAGAGACAAGGTGGTGAGTGAGGATACCAAACCCCGTGGTGCATGATCTGTACTCGCGACTACTCGACATCAACATGCCGCCTGGACCGTGCGCGCTGCACATCCCTCAGTCACGAGTGAGCATTCACGATTTGCCGTATATGAGGATAAGCCTTGTGACTTTGCGCATCATCGACGATTTCAAAGAACTGCGATACGGCGAGCAACCAAGCTTGACCGCCATTACCGCAGCCCTAGGCCCGTCAGACTTGTGCCGCGAGATTTGGGGGTGCGTGAACCGCGAAAAGCCGCTTTTCAAGAGCCTGTCAGAGGAGCATTCCGGCGGACCTGTGCCAGAGGGAATGCGCTCCGGTCGAAACCTAGACCATGGTCTGAGCACAGAGAGAAACGTCTTCAGATTTACATTGTGATTGCTAGAGTGTTATGATGGTACATGTATGTGTGTGTGGGTAAGAGACTAGACGCATAATGCGCGTCATGTATGGTGTGGAGATCAGAGAGGGACTTTGGGAGCATACTGGGTGCCAGTGGCGGGGCGAGGCGATCTTGTAGCTCATGCCTGAAAGACCTCTTTTTGAAGAAGACTTGACAATGACAGCAAGAGATAGATGATTCTGAGCTCTGCTGAGCCTAAACGTCAAGGCGGATCGAAGTCCGGATCCGACCCTGTTGCGCCCCTCATTTGCTCGCGCTTGCCCCCTCTCCCAGCTTGCAAGCCACGATCCTAGCGCTGTCGATGTGCAACATCTCTCCGTTGTCGAGCTTCATATTGCCATCCTTGACAAAGAAAGTCCAGACCTCGTCGCATGAGCGGTACGTGTGCAAATGACCCTAAGCGCATACAGTGAGACCACAGGGTCGCTTCCATCAGCCGAGACCCGCAAGAACAAAGGACCGCCCAGCTCAATCCGGGCCAAATGCATCCACCCACACTCACCTTCAGACTGCTCTTGCTCTTGACTTTCTTGTTCAGCGTGTCTGCCACACTCTTGTCGAACTGCGTCAAGACTTTCATGGCCAACACCGGATTGATGTGTCCAGATTGGATCAACTCGTCAAGAGCGTCCGTCAATTGCATTCCAATACTGAAGGGCGACGAGAGCGTGACATGTCAGCTTTACCTGACGCGTACAGATGGCCAATCGTGGCGTTGCGCCTAGTCCGAAGCACTCGCAACAGCTCACGGACTACCGGTCGTCACCAGCTAACGCAACAGTCTCACCCTGTCCGTTGCCTTTCGAGCGCAGCACCCAGAGCTAGCACATGAAAAGCACTCCAAACCCATTTCTCAGAATGCGGGCTCGGGCCACAGATGACCAAAGCCTACGGAGGCTCTCCCAGAATGCCAACCCACTGCTTAACATTTGCCACCCGACGCTCACCTGCTACGCCTGTACAGCTCGTAGTACTGGGTAGGACGAGCACCGTTCGACGACATCCTGTCCACGTGCAGTATCCTCCAAAAGTCTGGTTTGACTGCTCGAAGAGATATTTAGCAGGTCTGCCAATGTCACCCCTTGGAGACGTCTGCGGTCCTGATTCTCTCTACAAGAATCAAATCGAAGAGCACTAATGCTGATGCCGAACTAGCAGACGTTGGTGGACAGCTAGAGAAGAAGCAGCCAGGCGAGTTGCGAGGATGCGGAGGTGCGAGGAGTGGCGAAAGCGTCCTGCAGACTGACGTCCAGACGAGACCAATGGGTGAGCTTCCATAGAGCTGGAGGTTGTAAGCAAGTTGGCACGATCCCGGTGTAAAGGGGCACATAGCCAGCATCCCACGCACACCTGAACCGTTCACTCAGACACAGACCGTGACTCGTGACTGACTCTGACTGTCGGGCGGCAGCGATGAAACGCGTGGCCCTTCGCCACGTGACGAATTGTCTCTGCGTGCTCAGCGTGAGCGCTCCGCGTGCGCAACGCCGCACAAAAGGCAGTCACAGTCAATCAGTGAATGAATCGTGAGTCATGGAGTCTGAGTCACGAGTGTGGTCATGCAGTGTGAGTCATTGAGTTTGAGTCGTGAGTCTTGCTTGAGTTTGATGAGTCCCGCGAGTCTGTGAGTTGAGTCGGACACGGCTCAGCCAACGCTGCGACCGCTCACGATCAACTTATGATCGCTGATGTCTGGAAATAGGCTTTACAACTCACCGACTGGCTGAGAAGCATCAGGACCATCTTAATTGGGGCTCAGCAAGGCAAACAAAAGTGTCTCGTGTGTTTGCAGACTCGAGAGGCTGCTCGCTCGTGTGGGCAAGCGCGAAGCACTCACTCATTGCTGAGACGTGGACAAAGCAGCGAAATCCAGTGCAAGCCATCGCAGTAACTTCGCCTTGTCAAGTGGGACGGAGAGCCCAAAGCATCAATCAACACATCACGGTACCCATCCCCTCTTTTGGAGTTGCAGCGGCCTAGGCCAGCATTGGCTCGACCCAAAGGTGGCATCGGTTACAAAGAAGAAGTGGCTGTGTCCGGCAAGAGGAGCACTGCGCGTTTTGCTGAATGTCTGCATCGATGCCCTTTCACAGTGATGTAGTGCTCAGCCAGAAGCCCAGCAACGCATCACTACCAGCCACAATAGGCCGATTGAGCTCCGAGCGATTGTGATCAGCTCGATGATCACACCGGACGGCTATTTTTGTTCGGATCGCTTGCCCAGACGATGGCCTAGCATACAACCCGAGCCAGTCTGCACCATGAGCGCAGGGCGTCTGTACTCAAGTTTGGCGCTACTTAAAGCGATACAAAAATCCTTCTTTAGGATTCACTCGGCCTTTGCTCACGTCTATGCGTCCATAACAATCACGACGCTCGTGTCTGCCCCCCAAAAAATCGCCGAATGACGAATGATCGCGCCAATTTTGATGACGGCGGGCGTAAGTCCACGTTGTTGGCGTCGACTGCGCCCGCCAAGAAGAGGGAAGGACCCTATCGGCGTTGTGCCCTGCGTAGCGAGCTGAGAACAGCAGTCACGAACTTACCTCCGCCCTCAGGGCCCCTTAATAATGCCTCTCGAGGTCCGCAGATGCGCGAGTCCACCCTCCCCCATCTTCCTTGCCTCCTCCTCTCACGGCCACTCAATCGATCCCCAGCAGTCTGCTCTGCCCCCTCAAGCCTCGCAGGTCGAGGTCCTCTTTTTGTTTGCACACTTCGCAAGCTCTGCCTTCAGCTTGCGCAAATCCCACATCATTTCCCTCCCCAGCTCCTCGTCACCGCAGACACAGGCCTCAGGAGGCCTCGCATCGTTCCCTCCCTCGAGGACAGTGTCTATATCACCATCATTACTCCCAGCGCGATTCTAGCAAGCAGCTCTTGAGGAGCTGGCAACATCCTCGCAGGCCGAGTCATTCACGCCTTGACATATCCAGTATTCCTGCGCCCTGAGTGGTACAGGCCTCCGGCGGGCCAGGTCAAACACAGCCGTCTGCGCTCCTTTGCTATCCATCTGCTAGCCCCAGAGCCCAGATGAGCCCTTTCGCTTACGACGCCACCATGACAGAGGAACAAGGGGTGAGTCCTCTGCTCGAAAGGATGCCGTCCTGTTTAGCTGTGGTAAACGACTGACCCTCCAATTCCCGCTTGCAAGGGCGAGCATTACAACTGGATGACCAAATATGGTCGCATACAGACACGTCACTCTGCGTTCAATTCGTCTCTTTACTATCTTATCTTCCTGGGCTTCGTGATTTGGCGCATGCGCACGCGAAGGAACACCGCACATATCCTCCTTGCGGTCCACATTCTTCGTGAGTATGGTCCTGACTGCATGGGGAAGGAGACGGAGCTTCATCTAAATACTGCCTTTGCCTTGTCTTGTATCCACGTAGTCAGACTCGTAGTCTGGCTCTTTCGCTGCGTGCTAGTCTGTTTTCCTCACCTCGGATATGGCTCTGCAGGCAACAAGCTCCAGGCTTCATGGTTCTCGATATACGCCGGTGGCCTCGTCCCGCTAATTCTGGCAGTCTTTTGCGGCGCAGAGAATCAGTAAGTACAGAATGCGCATGCTGTTCGTGAGACTCCCGACGACTGATGACCTATCGATCAATCAGTGCGCGTGCGGTGGGTGATGTGCAGTGCTCCAGATCTTTGACAATACTGGCTGTGGGGAAAATGACGGCTTTCGGCCTGTGTGCCTTGGCCTTGGCAAGTGTGAGTGCCTCCCCAGCGCCCATGGCCGCCAAATTCAATTTTCGCCAGTGCTCAACGAGGCTTTGTCTGCCACCAGGGCGTCCTCGGCGAGCTCATGCAAGCACTTGGGACCCAGCACTGGGTCCAGGAAAATGGACACGACTCGTACGAGCTTTCACATGGTTTCTGCCTCTTGGTCCTTCTCTTTACAACAGCCCTGTGCATCATAGCCCTGGCGCGCCAAAATGAGGTTCGTCAGGATTGTCGGAAGCATCTGCGCGAGATGAGAAAAGGTCTGCAGGCGGATGATGAGGAGCGCAGTCAAGAATTTCGGATCTGTGAGAAGGACGACAGACAAGAAGAAGAAGCCCCGAAGAAGTCGCGCAGAGGACCTTCAGTCACCTTCTCCCCGTCAGAGGCGAGATTGAGCTACGCCGAGCGGAGGGCCCGTGCAGCGTCCCGAGCTACAGTGTGGTCTGTAGATAGCCCTCTGATCGATTCTACAGGCGCGGCATCTGCAAGGCCAACCTCTGGAGCTGCTAGCGATGGCATGCTGTCTCGGATGCAAGCCACGGTCGTTGCGGACTTGCCCAGCCAACCGTGCGCGGCGGCTCGCACGAGCAAGGAGTGTCACAAGGAGGCTCGATGCGTTTCGATCAGAACTCTTGTGGCTGAGCAGGTCGCCTACGAAGAGCAGACACTACCAAAAGCCAAGCCAGTCTGGCTCCTTCTCCTTGCGACAGTGCTGCTCATCTTCCGACAAGTCGCTCTGCTCATGACTTGGAACGCATACAGGAAGCAAATGCACGAGCTCTTTCTCTACACGATGGAAGAGCAGCCTGAAATCTTTGCGACTATTTTGCTGCTGATAGATGGCGTGCTTGCATCGTCAGCGAGCTCACAGCCTCGAGTGACGCCGTACCTGGACATTGAACGACCAGATTGGGGACAGATTGCACATGGCCGCAACCTTTCGTCACGGGGGCGAAATGGCAACCATGGGTGTGTCTGTGGTCCCCACAGCTATCAGGCGGACAGACCGACAGCTACACTAGCTAGAGGCAAACAAGGGGCTTCGTGCCAATCGATGCCTCCTTCTTATGGCACCTCGCAGAGTGAATCGTCCGGAAACAGCTGCGAAAGAGGCTTCAACGCAGCACCCCCTCCCTCAGAAGCCGACACCAGAACGACAACGCGCTACTATTCTTCGACCGCACGAGGCGTGGGGCGCAATGCCTCGAGTGGTTCCGACGAGACCTTGTGCGAAGGTGGAAAGGGTAGCTTGGAAGAGCTTGAGTCTCGACCACTCACACCACAGGCTCATACAGGCACTCTGCTTACTCCGTGGCAGACGCCCTCTCCACCTCAACGTAGATCCAATTCGAGCGCGTTCAGATCAAAAGCAACCACATCGACATCTTTGCAGCGCTCCATGACTTGCGACATTCTCTCATCGAGCACGTTCAGGGGTACCCCTACATCCCCACGACGCGCAGCTCTAGCGTCCAAATCGACATTGCCTCTCAAGCCACTGGTGCTCAAAGCTAAGCTGATGACATCTCAAGATTCTTCCACAGCAGGCTTGAAGCTCACACCGAGTCCGTACGATGGGACGCGTCGCGAACTCCTCAGTGGCCGATTGTACTCGCCTCCGCGCTCTTATGATCGAACCAACATGTTCTAGACGCGCTTCGTTGTAGAACATCCAGATATACGATCAAGATCCAATGGTGTCATCGATCGGAATCGCTCTCACTTTTCGGGCAGTAGGTATCGCTGCTCGCGCTAGACGCGCACGTAGTCCCATATGGGGATAAAAGCATGTGATTATACGTAGCACTAGAAGAGTAAAAACTTGTGCGGTCTGAAGCTCGAGGTGGCGCGGGTATCATAGACGAAGGGCGAGCTGAGCGAAGTGGCGCCTTGATTGCCTTCTGTGCAGCCGATTCGAACAGTCTAAGCATTGCCAGCACTTGCTGTCGGAGCTGGAGCAGCAGAAGGTTGTGGATAGAGGGTAGTGGCCATCTGTGCCGAGAGCAAAGGCACACCAGTGACGCCGGCTACGGTAGAAGATGTGGCTGTTGTAGCGGCCTGGGTAGCGGACGCCGACCCGCTGGTGCCAGTGAGACTGGTTCCTGTGATGGTGGCAGTTGCGCTGGCGGGAGCCGAGGAAGAAGCAGAGTATCCGCTGCTTTGATCTTCTTCATCAGCATCAGTGCTATCTTGGTCCTGCGCATCATCGCTCGAATCCATAACGGCGCTATCGGAGGCAAATCGAGAGTCACCAGTGTCGCTATCGGCAGGTGCATCTGACGAAGCATCATCACCAGGCATAGTGTTACCGTCTGAGTCTCCTGCAACATCTGCATCGGTCGCCTCATCGTGAGCATCTGCCGCATCGTCCTGCGCATCCGACACCAATGCAGGACGAAGTGCTGCATCGCTTGGTGATGCTGCACTGCTGCTGCTGTCTGCACTCTGCGTGTCGGAGGAAGGAGCACCATCTTGAGCTGCTTGAGCAGCGCTCGCATCTGCTCCTTTGGGAGCGTCAACGAAGAAGACTAGCTTTACTTGCGTCGATTGATTGGCATCTGAAGGATTGTCTCCAAGGTTGGCGGCGCCAAGACCACGGCGACTCGGTGCAGCTTTGGGCGCCGGTGGGACAGGCATAGAGGCCACTTGAGCTGGTGCGCCGGTCCCACTGGTGGACGTGCTGGCTGGAGATAGAGAGGTGCTACTGGAAGCGGCGCCTGAGCTTGATGCGGAAGGTGCAGCAGGCGTCGTGCTTGCAGAAGCAGCCGACGCTGGCACAACCTCGCCAGTGGTCGGGTCGTACAAGAATCTTCTGCTCGCAGCTTGGTCGTCAGGAGCCGATCCGTCGGCCGTCGTCTTGGAGGCCTCATCGTCGCAGATTTCCATACGAAGACTAGCGGGTTTGCGGATCGTTGCACAGTAGAGATGCGGCTCGTTGGCAGGTGCCGTGGTCAAGGTGGCCTGCAACTCAACTTGCTTCCATCCGACATTAGCACCGCTTCCGCCATCCGAGTCGGCCATTTCGATCAGCTGAAGCTTGACGCCCGAAGAGCTAGTGCTGGGCGAGAGCATAAAGACGGGAGGGGCTGACGCCGAAGTGCTGTTGGTCGCAGAGGAATGATTGGGTGAAGGCCGGTTGGGGTCTGCAGGGCCAGTAGCAAATCGACCTGGTGAAATCGAACCTCCCAGAGCACTGGTAGCTGCAGAACCGACGGCCTGCAGAGGAGCGAGCACGAGGTTCGCTACCAGTTGAGACAATCCCGTGCCCGACATAGCGCCGTCCAAAGGCTGCAGAACGCCGAGTTGTCCGACAAGCGAAGTCAAGCCCGCTCCGAGATCACGACGATGGTAGTGACCGTGGGAATGAATGTGACTGTGGACATGAGCGTGCTCATGTTCGTGGTCATGCTCGTGCGAGTGGCTGTGCGCCCTCGACTTCAAATGGATCAAGGCGCCGTTGCTTGACTTGATGTTGGCCTGCAGCAGGTCAGCATCTCCACCAACAAGGCTGATAGAGGCACCGTCTGATCCAGTCACGACCAGCGAGCGTTTGCGATATGGTCCAGCGACGACGATCTGCAAAGCGCGCTTCTTGGAGCTCTTCTGTTTCTTGCTCTTGGATTTGCCTTTGCCCTTCGACTTGGACTTCTTGCCCTTCTTCGACTTGCGACCTTTCTTGGACTTGGTGCTCGAAGCGGAAGGTGTCACCTTTGCAGAGTTGTCCACCCTCTTCTTGTCTTTCCCATGATGAGTATGGTAGATGCTGCGACGCTCTAATGAAGTGTCACTCTCATCTGCTGAGCTGTCTTGGGCGTCCGAAGCTGCAGAGTCGGCGGAGGTGACATCTTGCATGCCTTCGTCGCCGACTTCGTCAGAGGCTGAGGCGTCCTCTTGTGCGTCTTCAGAATTGCTCTTGAACTTCAAAGAGGCATCAGACGTGGCTGAAGGGATGGCAGAAGACGTAGCGGGGTGCCACATGCCATCATCGAAGGTGTGGGTAGCAGTAGCGGTGGCTGAGGCCATAGCAGCAGTGACGGAAGAGACTGCTTGGGCGATCAACTTCTTCGCTTGCGCAGAACTCAATTGCTGAGTCGCAGCCCCGCAGGCAGGAGTCGAGGCGCTGTCCGTTGAGTCAGAGTCAGTCGAGTCGAGCTGATTTGCCGAAGAGGCCGCACTGTCTGAAGACTCGTCGTCATCCGAAGCAGAGGCATCATCGCTGCTTGCGCTGCTTGCAGAGTTTGACGTGTCATCTTGCTCTGCCTGATTCGCATCGGCTGAAGGAACCTGTGATACCAAGGCGAAAGGAACTTATGATCAGCAACGCGACGAGCGAAAGAGACTTTGAGCGATGACCAGCTCACCCATTGTAGCTCGGAATTAGCGTCTGCTGCTTGAGCTGTGGCCGTGAGCACTCGCGAGTTTGAGGTGGGCTGGACACTCTCGTCGACTGTGCTAGTGACGTCATCTTGAACGGTTGAGCTTGAGCTTGAAGCAGAGTCAACGCCGTCTCCAGCAGCGGGCGTTGTGGTCTGCGCATCACTTGCGTCTTCGTCACTCGTAGCAGAAGAAGTAGCGGGGCGGGTGTTGAGAGCTCTCAAAGGTGGCAAGGGTGGAGCTTGAGGGAAGTTGCTCGTGCTCGAGCTCGAGAAGCGAGCATTGCCCTGGAAGGGAGAGGCAGCAGCTGCGCCGCCGCTCGTCTGCCGTCGTTCGTTGAGGCTGTTGCCAAGCGGCACCGAACAGGCGAGCTGAACAAGAGGGAGGAGAAGCAAGAAGACGCGGGCGAATTGAGTCATCCTGTGCTGGTCGAGAAAGCAGGGGTGGGAAAGGGGTGGAGAGGGGAACAAATGGAGAAATGGGGTGCAGCCTGTGCGATTTGAGGGGTGAGCTCCTGGCTCCTGAACAAGTTGGAAGTAAAGGAATGAGTGATGCTCGCAGAGCAATGTGAGGTGCGCGTTTGCACTTTTTGTGAGGGGAATCAGAGTAAGCAGTGGGAAAATGAAGGGTTTGGGGAGCAAGCTGGAGTGAGAGACGGAAAGCAAGAGCGCGGGCGAGCGACGACTGGTACTTTATGGCCGAAGCTCAATCAATGACTTTGGGACGGCCAGCGTCTTGCTTCTCACTTACTGCTCGGCGTCCACCAATCGCTTGTCGTCCGTCGACTTGGCGGTAGACATCATTTGAACGTCTTGCGAGCGCGACCGCTCGGCATGTCAATCGTCTGTCTTTTGCCGGACTTTGACTCCCAGCAATGACGTTGCCACGTCACGCCCACCACGCGACGCTGACTGTGACTAGTCACGAGGCGGTTGAAGTGGACACATGTTGAAATTTCACTTGATCATGTTGCATCCGCGTCCCCCATGCTGGCAAGCCCGAGTGCCAAAGCGGGTTGACGGTTATATGCATGCTGGCCGTTGAGCGGTCGCAACTTCTACCACGCAGCGTCAAGACCTTGCGTCCGGGCTCAGTGCCAAATGGACGTCATGGCCAAAGCCCCCTGGACTTGCGGAGCGTGTGAGTGCGCAGCTGTCGCCATACATGATTTCATGCGATGGTTCTGCTCGCTGACCTTGGGTGAAATGGTGGTGGAGGCGGGCTGCTCTCGCAAGAGTCATACCTACAACAGAAGAAACAACATGGCACGCATGTGTACAAACCCATCTGCTGAGCTGGAGGCGGCTCTTTTGCGCCGCCTAGACTTCGACCACGTGACAGCTCGCTTGCCAGCCGCGTGACGTGAAGCCGGCTTGCAGGCTGGCGTTCGCTCGAGTTGAACGGCGCACGACTTCATTCACGACCACGACCATCTACTTGAAGGTCGGTAGCACGCTCAGAGGGCAAAAAGACAACAGTAGCAAGGGTCCACCGCAGGGGCGCGTGTCGCGCGTATGGCGCTCGAGCGACCTCGATGACCGCGTAGCCCAGAAAGGAAAGCGTTGGACCTGCATGTGAGCGAGGACAAGCGTAGGGTTGAAAGCGCGTGCGCTCTGCGAACAAGGCAGTGCAGAGGCGGCTGGACGAGTCATGTCACATCATCGAGCAAGGCTTCGTTCGGTGCCCGCCTTTGCAGGATCGCGGTAAGCAGGCATGCTTGCGTAGACTGACCGAGAGAAAGACCTCATGGACAAGCGTCCAGATGATCCTCGCACGGCAAGCCACACCATCGAGATGGTCAATGAACTCCGCAACGGCTTCAAGCAAGGTTCGCCGTGCGCACAGCATACAATGCATCCCCTTGATGAATGCTACCGCATCACATCTCCCCACGCTATCAGTTCATCACTCACGACAACTTCACGGTACCCTCACAGGCCGCCCTTGCAGCTGATGATGCGGTGGCTGAGCGCGGTACAATATCCGACCGCGCGCACCTGGCTCGTGATGTTCGTCGGTGCCATCATTCTGTCTCAAGTCCTAGAAGATGTTGAGTGGCGCCAACGGTTCCTGGCCTATGGTGACGGATTGGGGGTCCAAGGCCAACGGTCGAAGGAAGTGATGCGCACTTTCCATCACAAGCGATTGTGGGAGAGTACAAGAAGGCAATTTCAGCTTGTCACTTGCTCTTCGTCCCCCTGCACCTCTCTTCTCGTCTTCTCATTTTCCTCGACCGTACCTGTGATATCCTGTCTACCTTACCTTCTAACCATTCTTCTTCTTTCGCAGCACACGTTGATCGTGTGACTTGCCCGTTCTTACACGCACCCCCCTTCGAAAAGCGAGAGTGCTCCTTATTTCTACATCGCTTAACCTCATCTGTTCGCGCTGTATCTGCTCGTTCGTCCATAGGCATCGCTTCTGCCCATCCGCTTGGCCTTTGGTGACTTTCAATCTACCCAGAACATCGCTACCAGCTTTCGCAATGCGCTCAAACACCAAGCAGCAGCTCAAAGCTACGGCGCTCGCCCTGATGTGCGTGGTCGCCGCTGCTCAGCTTGGCCAGGCGGCCCCAGTGAGCAGTGCGGGAGTGGACGGGGACGTCGCAGCCACGTCTGCTGCTCCGGAAGCCTCTTCGAGCGACCTGGCTCAAGTTGTAGCAGCCAGCGCATCTCCCACATCTGCTGCAGCAGCAGCTCCCACAGCTGCACCACTTGCCGGTCCCTCGCTGGTGCCTCTCTCGCCAGGCCCAGCAGACGTATTCAAATCAGGGGGAACCTGCTCAACCACCTGGTCGCCCGCATTCGCTTGGACGAATGGTCAAGCTCCTTGGGCAAGTTTCACCATCGATCTGATGACTGGCAGCAACGACAATATGACCAAGCTGGCTACCGTCGCCTCCAACTTGGACGGTACGGATTACAATCAGACCAAGTACGACTTCCAATGTCCCGACGCTCAGCCTTACTCCAAGATCTACTTTTTGGTGAGACGCGCACGCCTTGTCTAACGCAGCTCAAAGCGCCGAGCGATTTCATTGCTGACTTGACTGTCCATGCCACGACGATTCGATGTCAATGTAGCAATTTTCAAATCCGTCCGGATCCAATGCGACGACCTGGACGACTCGCTTTACGCTCGCATCGGCGAACGGGGAGACGACTGCGCCAGAACACGAAACGCAACCTGATGGAGAGGATATTGCTTGGGGACAAGGAAAGCTGATCAGCGTCGGCAGCACTTCAGGCAACATCACACCGGCGGAGGGATCAAGAGCAGCCGCGCTTGTTTCGGGCAAACAACCAAAGAGTCTTCAACAGCAGACGGCATCGCAGAGCTCCTCTTCTGCAAACGGGAGACTTGATGCGCTCAGTGGAGTGGCGGGCGCGATTGCTGCCGCTTGCGCGGCGATGGTGCTGATCTGAGCACTAGAGCGGGCGTCGTGTAATATACTCATCAGACTGGATGGATAGGCTGCTGCTTGCCTTGCGAATGCACAGATGGCGGTAGAGGTCAATAGAGGGACTGCGCGCGCGCGTGTGTGTGTGCCAACTTCTGTTGGTAGCAAACCAGAGTGTATCAATTCAAGTCGCATTAGAAGCCAGACTGACTCGAGCGCACGTGAATGCGAATGATGAGAGGATGGGATGTGCTTGCATACCTTGAGATGTGGATGGGATGCCTATCGCTGCATCCGTGCACGTGACGAGGAGTGCGGGGAGTCGTCGCCGTAATTTGCAGCATGCATGGGTGTGAGTCGCAAGGAAGGTGGGTCACGAGTGCGGGGAAGCTCGCAGCCACGAGTCAAGTGGTGAGTGGTGAGTCGCTGGCTGACCACGATCATGGCAAGGTACGACGTGTGGCCGATGCGAGGAGAGTCACAATCAAGTTGCCGCCCACGCCCCGCGCCATGACGACATGCTGCGCTGCTGATCGGCGGGCGAGTTAAGCAGCAGTAGATGCTGCGCACGGATCTGATACGGCAGCTGCCAGAAGCGTGCATCTTGAGTCACAGTGGTGAATAGTCAATCACGAATTATGATTACAAGTTCGGATGCAATCGTGAATCTAGAATCACGAATGAGATGGGATGACCTCAGCAGCATTCTCTCCATCGAATCGACCTCGCGCTACATTCACCATCACCCCTGGCACTACCATCGCAACCTCCTCCAGGAGTTTCGCAACGATCATCCGAGTCGCGCCAGCAGCCTCGCGTAATTCTAGCCCGCTTTGCATCTCGCCCTTGGATCATGTCTGTAGCGCACCCGACCGCTTCGGCAGCGGCCACCGAAGCTGCCTTTCTTGCGGCCAACCTAGGAACACCAGAGTGGATCACTTCACTCTTTGCACTGTTCGGCCTAGACGTTCCAGTCTGGCTCACACCACTGCTCACCTTCATCGCCTTTCTCGCTCCCATTCCAATCCTCATCCTCTTTCGTAGTCGTTCCAGACCTCGTCAAACACACATTCCGCCCTACCGAGAGCGAGTCGTCATCCTGGGAGCATCTTCCGGAGTGGGCAAAGAGTTGGCATTGAGCTATGCGGAAAGGGGATGTAGACAATTGTTGTTGGTTGCTAGGAGAGCGGATGAGTTGGAAAGGGTCAGAGCGGAATGCGATGTGATCAGATTAAAGGGAGAAGAGTGGGAGATGAGCGATGAAGCGCCTGGCTACAAGGAGAGAGGCTCGCTCAAGACACTCTCCCTCGCTGCCGACTGCTCCAAGGCCGAGCAGGTGGACAAGATCAAGCAGACGGTGCTCGATGGTGAGTGACCGCATACAAATGGAAATACGTGTCGTAAGCGGGAACGTAGTCTGGCACTCCTGGCTCACCTCCTCGCGCGTCCGACTCTACCATAGCTTTCGGTGGTTTGGACACTGTGCACCTCCTCTTCGGACTCTCCGCTCTACGTCCTGTGCTGGGAATCGCAGATATAGATCCCATCCGCAAGGGCTCTTCTTCCCTCCGGAACGGCAGTCTCGGATCATCGCAAGAGCCGGAGTATGCTTCGTTGGCTGGATTGGAAGCTGTCCGATTCGCCACGAATCGCATCAACGAGGTCAACGTGACTGCCACCGCTTTGTGCGCCACGGCTCTGGTGAGTGTCACCGTGACGGTCGAAGCGTTGTCCGAATACAAGCGCTATTTCCCTCTTGTCTGGATGGAATCTCAGCTGACTCCAGACTTTTCGATTTCATGCTGGACATCTGGCCGCAGCTGCCCATCCTGCAGCTGACATCCAGCGCACCCAGCTTTGTTCTTCTAAGCAGCATCGCAGCCCTCGTCCCCGCGCCCACTCGAGCCCTGTACGGCTCCTCCAAAGCTGCTCAGCTCCTCTTCTTTCAATCTCTGGCGCTCGAAGCCCAATCTCATGCCCAATCGACGCGTCGCCTGCGGAACGAAGCCGCTTCAAATCAGACAATGGGCTCAAAGAAGAGAGCATCGGTCTCCTTCCTGGCCATCTTGCCGGGAACAATCAAGACGGATTTTAGGTCTAGCGCAGTGGATGGAGATCCCACTTCTGCCGGCGCTTTCGACGCTTCTCATCCGTCCCAGGGCGAAAAAGGAGCCAAAGACGTGCTGCTTCCCAAGGAAGTGGCCGATTTGACCATACTCAAGACGGATCAGTACGCCACGGGCGAAGTGGCCCTGCCGAGCAAGTACAAACATAGTAGACTTGCGCGAGCGCTCGTGTAAGTTGTCGAGTTGCGCTGCCATCTCGAAGGGCGAAGCTGGGTTTCCTGACGCGCCTATGCTTCTTGCTTCCCAGACCTGGTCTACTGGGCAGACTGGCACACAAAAAGTACGGCTACTGATGAGACTCTTACGCTGGTGTGCGGCGTCTCTGAATCGTTCGTCAGTGATGGGACAGCTTTGTCAAATGCAGCTGTGCAGACGTGCACAGAAGGTAAAAGTGGTAGTAGTGTACAAGGTCATCTCTGAGCCGCATTTGATTGGATCGCTGCGAACGGAATGGCATCCCATCAACTGAACTCAGCACAGCCAAAGGCTCAATCCTCTATCATGGCCATTCTCATCTCGTAGCGCTTTCTCGCCGCCTCTCTCCTCTCCGCCTTGCGTTTAGCCGTGAGCTTCTTCTCGATCGACTTTTCCTCATGCTGATCTGCTACTCGGGCAATCGGCTTCTCCGCGAGCAAATTCTCAGATGCGTGCGCCTGATCCGCTCTGTGCGCAGTTGCGGCTATGCTGACATGTGCTCCCATCAGCCTGTTGTGCGCCCCTTCCGATCCATCATTTCCGTCCGCCGTCGTCTTTGAGCTCGATGGACGCGATTTGTCTGCGCTCTTGTGGAGCTGTACTGGTCCGCTCGTGCTCTCGACTGGCCGAGGAGGCGGCTCTCCGCGCATGACACGCCTCAGAGAAATCTTTGACGGTGATGTGGGTGGCGCGGGTGGTCTTTTGAAGCGGTACGGTGGTGGAAGGGATTTCAAACGGGATGCTTCCTCATTACTCGGCTCATTCGGCACAGATGCTTCGTGCGTGATATGCGCGGACTCTGGCATAGGCGGTGCAGCAGTCTCAAATGTTGGAACCGATGCATGTCCTGTCGGAGCATTTTGACGCTCGTCATGCTTCCCAATGGATCCGTTCGAAGTGCTAGATAGCGTCTGGGATTGCCCCGCTGATTGGGCGGGTCCACCACTCTGTCCATTGCTGGCGCTCGACTCTCCAACTAGGTGAGAAGAAGAAGAAAGAGAGCTGGTAGATGGAAACAAGAATGGCAGAGACATTCCCTCGGGAATTAAAGGAGCCGAAGGGCTGAGGTGCGACAAGCTTTCGCTCGAATGACCACGACGCACTCCAGCCGCTTTTGTCTGGCTTTGCTCGGGACCGGCATCTTGATCATCCATCTCGACGTCAGAATCGCCAAAGTCGGACATTGGAATAAAGGTGCTTCGCTTTGGCGCGCGACGCGCAGATAAGCGCTCCATCGATTCGGGCAGCGTTCCCAGCATCAGATCAGGTCGGCTAGCATCCTGAGAGTCCGAGTGGGTGATTGCGGATCTGGTTGAAGAGCTCGCTGCGGCGTCGATCCCTCTCTCTGCTTGATCCCGCTGACGATTGCCGAGACGAGCTTCTGCACTAGCCTGCGCGGCAGCTTCCATCAAATCCGTCACACCCGTTGATCCCGTCGCATCCAAAGAGTCCTTTTGAACGCTCTTGTCGACGAAAGGCAGACGAGCTGCATTCTTGGGGTCAGAAGATGATAGTACCTTGGCCGAGTCCGTGCTCGAGTGCCACGTTGCGGTGACTCCCTGAGAAGGAAGATTCGTTCTAGCCGCGTGCGCTTGCTTCGCTTGAAAACCAGACAAGCCGTACTCTGGCGGGGAGCTCCGTGACAGCTGGGCAGATTCGTCTTGAGGCTGAGGAGTGGCGTGGGCAGCAGCAGCAGCTTCGGCATCAATCAGTTCTCGATCCCTCTCCAGCTCTTCCGCCGTAAATTGCGCGTCGGCCTGTGAAAGCGAAAAGTCCTGAGGCGCGTTTAAGAGAGGATATATGAGTTTCATACTAGCGCCATTCGTGACTCAGATAGAGGTATTGCAAGGCAGCTACTCACTCCCCAGCCATCGTCTGCCACTCGGGCTTGTCCCCTCTCTTGATGCGTGGCAGCTCGTCCTCGCTCCGCGTAGTTCGCAGAAGAGGCATTTTTGGCGAAAGCGACTAGTGCACGTGGCCTCTGTCCAGGAGGGGGCATTTCGGGCGAGGTGGACTGTCGCGCTGAAGGGCATGCGAAGGGCTCGATCAATTTACATGAACGGTCTTGGTGCAACAGCGCACCTTTGCACTCACTCTCACTTTGCGCTGAAGCTTCTGACGTAGGCACTGGGGCATCGTTGGTCTGGGACCCGGCAGGCTCTGCCCCATTCAAAGCGGGCGGCACACCTTCGGTTGGAGCAAGCATAGCGTCGACCACGAGGGTTCTCGCCGCTCTATCGTCCCTTCTCTGCTGATTCTCCAGCTCACGCTCCTGCAGCCTTTTCGCGTCTTCGACGGAGCGTAACCAACGGCCGCTCACTTCCGAGCTTGCAGCGGCAAACCAGATTCGGAGGCAAGCGAGATTTGCTAGCTGGCCTTCTGCTATCCTTCCCACTCCCTGCGGTCCATCCGCCACGTCCCTGAGACCCAATTGGGAAAGGGTGAAATCACCGTCGTTCACCGTCATCGGCGCGGAGGGGCTTGGCTGCTGAATTGGCTTGAGGGGATCGCCGATGAGAGATGCGTGCAGGTCGTCCAAGTCGGCAAAGAATCGAGATTCGCCCAGACTGCCCAACAGGTCAAAGGCCCCGACGTGCAGCACTAAGCGAGCGTAGCTCGGGTGCCATGTTGTGCTGTCGCCGAAATGAGGGGCAGATGGAAGCGGCCATAATGCTATGCTACTTCGGACGCTCCTCAAAGCGAGAATGGCACCGCCAAAGTCTGACATTTCCTTGTCTGCGTACAAATTGGCGAACAAGCGTAATGCTGCCCCGTCCAGCATGGCGTACGAAAAGTGGGTCCTATCCGATATCAACACCCACGCACATTCATCTGGGGTCTCCGAATGCTTCTTTGATGAGCGCAGGTGGGAGAGACGAGGAGCGTGAAGAACCTTGAGCAGCTGAACCCTGGAGCCCGGCCAAAAGGGAACATCGTCCAGCGACAGCGTCCACGCGCGACTGGCATTGCTGGTGGGCGAGACCGCAGTCGCAGCATGATGGGTGCTATTGCCCTGCATGTGCGCACGTGCCTTGCCATTGCCCTTCTCCTTCTCATTGCCTTTGGCTTTTGGGCTGCGAGGACCCACACCACCTTTGCCTCTCGCCGCTGTCCGAGCAGCCGCAACATTGTTCAACCATGCTCGATTTTGCTCTTCTGCCTTTTGGGCTCGCACAGGTGTAGAAGCGAGGTTGACCGCTTGGGAGAGCGAGGAATTGTAAAGCCAGGATCTAATGGATTCTGACATTGCGCGGAAGAAGGTCGCTCTTGGCTTGTTGTGGTGTCTAGACCTGATGGTGGTGCTGGTGGTATGTCCCAGTGACCAGCAGCAGGGCCGAGTCAGACACCTTACCACCTTTGGGCAATCATGAGCGCGGGCCCGATCGGATATCGTTGCGTCAAGGATGAAAGGTTTGTGCGCAGCCTGGCGAGGTCCAGCAGTTGGACGTGTTGGTGCAGGGCTCGGGGTGCTGGCGGAGTGTCCATGGATATAGGAATCTCGATCGGCGCGCTTTACTATTCTGATTGTGCGTGCAAGTCACGCGTGGTGCTGATTCATATTAAAATTGAAGATTCAATTGTATTTTCGAACGCGTCGATGCGGGATGCTGTTTGCGCGGATGCTGCTCCTGTTGGCTGTTGCCGCCTGCCTCGATCGATGTCCTGCTTGCCCGCCCGTGCAGCTGCTGATGGCCGCGTAAATTGATCCCTGCGCGATGTGTCACGTGTGCGCACCCATCAAGCCAAACTTTCAAATTTCTTAGTCACTCAAAACTTGCTTGTTGTGTTGCCATTTTGCGCGAGTTCTCGCTCGAGGGGTGCAGCAGCTGCTACAAGGGAGCACTCTCCGCTCCCTCTCCTCTGGCCTCAACATCACTCTCTCCCTATCTGGCCCAGCATTGCTACTGCAGTGCTGCACACGAATCCTACTCACATCTCTGCCTTCGACTCGTCCAGGATGTCTCATGCTCTTTACGCTGGCTTCACCGCCGGCACACGCAAGACGAGCAAGACGAGCCAACCGGCACTCAAGAAGCGTAAGCTGAGCCGAGACTTGGAGCGCACTGATGGCAAGTCTATCGCCCCGGTGGACGATTCTGATAGCAAGAAGATGACGAAAAGGGGCCATGGGAAGAGAATTGACGAAAAGGAGAAGAGACGAGTGTCCTTTGCTGATTCTGCAGCCGCACAGGAGCAAGGAAATGCACAAGAAGCGGTGCGCTCAGTCGCGACGGAGCCAGAAGAGGCAGCGGCACTAGGTCCTGAGCGTAGGGGAGTCAAGGTCGATCTAAAAGCCCAGAATGGGCGCAGGGTAGAGTCTGGCAGGGTATCAGTCGATGAGGCGAAGCTCAAGAAGAAGCTGGTGAGTGGAGTGTAGTTTGGAGTCCTGCCAGCCGAGCTGCAGGCCGCAGATGCTCACCAAGAACTGACACGCACGCGCATACACACATCGCTTCTGCTCAGCACCACACCATCACTCTTTCCACCACCGCGACCAAACGAGCTCGAACTTTCGAGGTGCAAAAGCAGATCAAGCGCTTGAAGCAATCAGGTTCGACGGATGGCGGAGAGGAAGGGGAGAGAGAATTGAAAGCTCTGAAGAATGTCGATGCTGCTGCTGTCGCTGCTTCCGTGCTACTTTCCAAGCTCAGCAAGGCAAGAATGCTGCCGCGGCCGAAAGAGCTCGCGCAGCTTGCCGCTGACAAGGAAGTTGCAGAGCAGGATCAAGAATCGTGGCCACTTTTGAGGGCGGTCCTCGCTCATGCCGCGCTCAGGTCATCCATACTCGACGGACCAAAGTCCGCAAAGGGTGACGATGCGAGCTCTAAAGATGGAGCAATGACTCACAAAGCCGTGTCCAAGGTCAGCAGCAACAAGACTCTGGCTGATGAGATCAAGAACGCTGTGGAAACTCTGCAAGCGTTGCTCGGCATCACTGGGCCAACTCGCAAGGGTGCAGATTCAAGGGAAAAGCCAAGCTCTGAGGCGAGCAAGGCGAAGGATGGAAGCGCGAAAAGCGCTTCAGAGAAGAAAGTAAAAGAGTCTGACCCTACGTCCGCCCATGAAGATGCGCCTAACTCGTTCTTGGAGCGGGAATGGTCAGGAGCTTCAGAGGAGGAAGGCGATGAGGCGGACGACGCACACAGGGATGCGGATGCACAACTAAGCTCAGACGAGGAGGACGAAGGCGAGTTGGACGAGGAAGAAGCTCAGAGGAGGCTGGAATCCCTCGGAGACCTCAGCCAATTTGATGGACTTGTTGGACACGATTCAGATGATACTTCAGATGCTGACGAGAGCGAAGCAGAAGCAGGCCCTAGCCAAGGTGGCGAATCACAACGGAGGCCGGATAACCACGTACGAGGTCGAGTGAGCCCAATCCAACCTTCACAGTCTGACACCGATTCGGACGAAGACGAAGACGAGGATCATCTACCTTCTCTGCGTACAGGCTTCATCGGTGGTAAAGGTTTGGAGCTGCAGAAGAATAAGAAACGAGGAGCAGAAGATGACTTTTCCGGAGAAGAGGATGACGCTGATGGGGATTGGGACGAGATGGACGAGATCGATGAACATGCGGAGGACAGGGACAAAGGCGGAAAGGTTGTCAAACCTGCTCGAAAAAATAGAAGAGGTCAGAGGGAAAGGAGAAAGTGAGTTGGTCGGTCGCCGCTTGATCTCTTGCGAACGACGTTCCGTTGGAATGTGCATTGCTGACGTACCACTGCCTGGCTCCGCTCGTTTTGACGCTCAAGAATTTGGGAAAAGAAATTCGGCCGCAACGCTAATCACATCAAGGTCAAGCAAAAAGAGTCGAAAGCGGTCTCTCATGATTGGACGCCAGCAAGAGCTCCCAAAGGAGAGGCACCTTCGAGCTTTGGCGCGCCGTTCGGACGACATACATCAGGTGGTCTAGCATCCAAGGGCAGACAAAGGCCTGCCCCGTTTCAAGCACCGCCCAAAGTGGATGGAGGATGGGGCGTGGGGCCTGGAAGCCAGAGGCTTGGATCAAGTGGTACTTCTCATCCCTACGCCTCGACAGGCTGGCCGGCAAATCGCACATCTCATCCAGCTGCGCGTAAGCCGCAGGCAAGCGAAAAAGTCAGCAAAGACCAGGTGCATCCTAGCTGGGCTGCCAAACAGCAAGCCAAAGATGCCGCAGCCAAAGCTCTTGCTGGAGCTGGCGCTGGTAAAAAGATCGTCTTCGACTAAGGATGTTGGGGCATCAATCTGCTATGCATGCAACCTGTACAAGTCTGGAGTGTCACGCTGTTCCGTCATATGAAGCCATTCCTGGCATGCTGTTGCCCCAGCAGGTCTCGCCGCAGTAACAAATTTGGGCCTTGGCAATTACTCGAGCGGGAGAGGGTATCAATATTGAATCGGACTCGACGTAGTACATGGAAGAGAAGGTCTGAGACACGACAGTGGACTGCGTAGGCCCTGCTCAACTCCGATTGCAGTTTGAGGTTCTTAGAGAGCTCTTTTTTTTTTGTTAGCATTGACAAGAGCCCCCTTTACCACCATGACTCTCTGGGCGTGAAGCGGGCGGGATAGGTCTGATGCCTGCTTTCTGCAGGATAAGTCTTTGCAGAAGTCAGAGGTGATTCTGCATCGCGCTGCTGTCCGTTCTTGATCGACTGGTCGCCGAGGCTGACAGGTGGCTGATGCGCTGAGAGAGCATCTTCTGCAGGCGCAGACCACGAATTCCAGCCATCGTCAGGCTGCTCTGCGTCTTCGAAGGCGAGCTGCGCATCTTGGGCAGTATGTTCGTGCGATACCTCACCCGACGCACGCAACTCCTCGACGCTGGGAGGCGCAGTGGTTTGCGTCTTGAATGCTAGCTCCCGTCGATTTTCTATTTTGAGAGGCAACTGAAACAAGTCCCGCGCTTTGCTGGTAGCGTGCAGTACAGGCTGCTTGAGAGCGTCCCAGGCGCCATCAACGAGTCTGACAAGAGCAAGATTTTGTCGGTCGAGGTGTTCGAGGTGCGAGGTATTTCGCGAATTTTGAACACCAGCAAGTCCTACAGCAACAAGGAGCAAAAGCGCTGCGAGCAGAACCACGCTCGTACTTCTCTGCTCTTTCATCCTGCGTTGTTGTCTACTGCTTGCGCTCGACTTTCGTCTGCTCACATTGCCATCACCAGCAGTTCCAGTCGCCGAACCCGTACCTGACAAGTGCAGAGACTTGCCGAACCCATCCAACAAATCCGAGGGCAAGCAAGGATCGGGGCCGAAAAACGTCTGACGCCCCAAGATTGGTGCGATTGGCGAGCTAGTGTGTGTCAATTGGGCCCGGAATGGGGAAGCTCTGGGCGGAGCAGTCTGGGAAGGATCAGACGTGCTTGACATCCAGTCCATCGAGTCGGCATGAAGGTCCAAATTCTTGTCAAAGCCAGGTTGTCGCTGGCGCTGGAAACTTTTCTTGGAGTCATCCGAGCGCTCTTGCGGGCTATTACTAAGAATGCCCGTCATGGAAGGCGTTCCAAAGACGTGCCGTTGCCTGGAGGACTCGCCGTCGACACCTCTGTTGCGTGTTCCCAGCTTCGAGGGGGAGGCCGCCAGAGGCCCCAGATTCAGATCCGCAAAGGTAGTCTCGGGTGAAGGTGTTCTACTACGCAAGCTCGGCTCGCTGCGCCTCGCACCTGCTGCAGGAACCGAGGTGGACACAAGCCTCAGACTTGCGGGTCTGCTGATCGAAAGTCCTAGGCAGGCTCTAGAGAGCAGCTACGCAGATGAAGAGGTAGCGTGATCAGAGCGCGAGACGAGACGCATCTCGTAGCCCAATGCCATACTCACAAAGGTTTGTGCGAGGCACAGGAATGCGGAGGTGACAGTTTTCGAAGCTTTGTTGATGATCCAAGCCAGTACAAGCGAGCAGCTGGCAGCCATACTGCCGCTGTGCCACCCCGAAGCATCATGAGACGCCTTCAGTGTAGGGTCATGAATTTCCTCACTGTCCGCACGTAGCTGCAAGCAGAGCAGAGCACCCAGACTTCTGAGCAATAGGAGAAGCGCTTGAGTATGCTGCAAGCGGAAAGAGCACGCAGCCGCATGTGAGTCTCGGAAACGGATAGCGGAGCTGCGTACGTGGCACTCACGAGCCACTGCGGTCTGCCGTGATACTGCACTTTGACATTCGCCCCCAGACGTCTTCTCGTGCTCAAAAGACGCAGATAGAACGGATCCCAAAAGGTCCAAAATGGCGCTAGAGGCAAGCTAATAAGCAGGAGTCGGGCTACACGACGCTCTATCGGCGATGGCATGGGATCCAGGTGGGACGGCAATGCCGCTGCGTGTTTGCAAAGGAGAGGGAGCTGCGGTCAGTTCGACGGGCTGGAACAAAGCTCTACATCTTGGCCAAAAGCCACGAATAACTGACCACACAGCGACAGAGCGAGTCCCGCAGTGGTGCTTGCTGCCCAAAGCGCTCCTCTGATGGACCAAACGAGTACACCTAATCGTGTGCCGTGCCGCAGGTCTGGCGTTGTGGGGTTGTGAAGAGGTCGGGGAAGGTGTGCCTGATTCGTTCTAGCATGAGTGTGATCCTGCCATCGTTCTGCCGTTGCACCACCATCACGCTCCGCTCTTGCGCTCCCCAACCACCCCTGGTAAGCCTGAGCTCTAGCCATCCTATCCCTCTCCCTGATCGTCTCTTCCACCCTTGGTCTGCACACTTCGCACAAAGTGGGATAGCGTTCTTCCAACGAAGCAAGGTACGAAGGATACTCTGATTCGAGTTGCGCTTCTTCCAGCACAGACACGGATCCGCTTTGAGGATAGTAGGAGGAGAGGAGAGAGGTGACTATCGTCTGATTTGTTGCGCACCTATGACAGAAGGGTCCTCTGTTGATCTCCGTCGACGGTTCTCGGCCCAGCTCGTTCGAGCGCCATCGTCTATTCCAAGAGGAGCGGGAATTGGAGCGTTGCGCCGCGAGCTCGTGGCCATTGTGAGGCATCGACGAGGGCCTGCCAAGTCCAAGAGACGCGTGTCCACTGGCAATCGGCGAAGCGTATCTGACACCCTTCGACGTTTCGTACTGCAAAGCGGCACCAGCAGCGTCCATGCTTCTAGCCCTCTCCCCAACTTCCCAATCGCTGGCATTGATCTGACCGCACTCTTCGCACCTCCATACCCATGGTGCTGAAGGAGCTGAAGAGGTGGACGCGTGTGCTGAAGCGCTGGGAGCGGTGTGGCAGAAGAAGCATCTCGTGGTAGATGACGAAGTGTGGCCAATCCAGGGCATGATGCGTTGGGTTCGCGTCGACGTATCACTATCGCTGCCAATCGCAATGACTCGATGTTGATGGTTTGGTCAATGATGCGTTGCGCGCCATTCGGACCAGAGCTGTCTCCCCATGATGCGGGCACAGATGAGCACAGTAATCTTCCAGGCTAGCGGGCGCGCTTTTGAGGTCGAGGCGGGTATAGCGTTTGGAGAGATGGGTCGATTGACGATTGGAGAATCGATCGAGTTCGTCACGAGGTGCGGATTCAAAAGACATTCACTTTTGACTGTGACAGTCCACGATTGCGATCATTCACAATCGTGGAGGCCCATGATGCGTGGCACGCAGCAGCAGCATGCACCACCCTGTCTCTCATGTGCGCGCGTCATGCTCAAGTCGTGAGTCGCGTGATCGAGCCTCACACAGCGTAAAGGATGGCGCGTATACGTGACTCTGACTGCAGTGGTGACGGGTGAGTCTTGAATGAGTCGCCGTCAAGTTTTGTATCATCGTCATTTGCGGGCATTGGCGTATGATCGCTCTATCAATCATGAGCCAAAAGGCGCGCTCTCCGAGTCCAGCCTAACGCATCGCTTTGCAGCTCACGACATTTGTCACGATAGTTGCACGTCTAGTGATCCGGAGCAAAGATTCAGTAGACTCGTGACTGGACACGCATACACGAGAGGCTCATGCATTGAGTAGTGGTCGGTCTGGATGGCAATTCGGCATGTGTACATCGCTGCGCAGTCTTCTCCCCTCATCCGCTGGGCGGCGCACCTCCACCGCTCTGAGGTCCACTGACCGGTTGACCGCTTCCCCCCGTAGCGGCCTCTCCACCTGCACCTCCACCTCCAACGACCAATCTGGGTTGTTCCACCACCAATTTCTCTCCCGCATACATCTGATTGGTCAAAGCAGATCTTCTAAGCACCGCCAAATCCTTTCTAGCAGAGTCGTACCACGCTTTCAACCTCTCGTCTTGCGTTGCTGGCGAAGAGAGACCGGTGGATGGAGTGGATGTCAGGGTGGAGGGCGATACTGGCTCCGTCACATTGCCGGACTGAGAGTAAGGAGAAGAGGTGGCGACGTGCTCAGGCAGCAACGCAGATCTGAACATATCCCGCGATCGACGTTGAAAGTATGTCCTGAAGTTGTATGAGGACTAGCAGCAGCGCAAAAGAGACCACGGTCAATTCAGCAGGGATCACTGCGGGTCAGCAAATTGACAAGAGACTGATCTATACGCTCAGATTGAGGCCTTCGCCAGCCTGAGCCCACGCTATTCGCTATTCGCTATTCGCCATTCGCCATTCGCTATTCGCTATTGGCTATTCGCTATTCGCTATTCGCTATTCGCTATTCGCTATTCGCTATTCGCTATTCGCTATTCGCTATTCGCCATTCGCCATTCGCCATTCGCCGTTCGCCACACTGCGTCTGACACTCACGAAGCTCTGCGCAGTCCGCATGTAGTCCCTGTACAAGCGCAGCAGGTTTGATCTCGTTGGAGCTCCCGACATCCTAGCTGTTCACTACTTGAGCGGTCAAGACGAAGTTGTGTGTTCTGTGCCACCCTTTGGTTTGCGCGGCGTTTCGCCTTCTGCTACGAGCCTGAATAAATGATCCTGATAGACGCTGCAAAGCTAGTTTCGTGTGTGAAGTTGGTCGTGGCCAAGTAGAGCTCAACGAGAATTTGGGCGGGTGAAAGAGCTTAATAAAGGCTTCGAACTTTCCGGTAAGGAAAGTAAGTGTGTAGAGTTGAGTGCGTAGGTGACAGTGGTGAAGTAATGCATTCACCTCCGTGCTTCGCCATTTAGTTGCGATTATTCAATTTTGAATGATTCGCGTCAATCAGCTCACGCTGCACCTTGTCAGAAACTTTTGATCACGTGCGTGGCTAATCGGAATGCAGGCTTTTTTTTTCAAAGCTTCGCCGACTCTCAAGACTTGTGGCGTCACGACGTTCGGTGTTGCTCGCCAGCCTGCATGCATACAGATACAGGCATGACCGTTGATGGTTGACACGCTTTATAACACGGGCTGGGCTATACGTCCACCAAAACAGCAGGACCTGAGCACACAGCTCGTAGAAGTGGACCTATGCCGTTTCTTTTTGTTGTAATGTTCAGTCAAGTGCAAGCATGTGCGTCCGACAGGCGACAAACACACGCGACGCTGCTGCTGCACCAGTCACAACAGCCTCTGCCACGCAAAAGCAGTGGAGAGCAAAAGATGATCCAGAAGCGCTGTACGATGAGGGCCATGCTGGCCAAGAGCGAAGCCTGGCATTGTCAAGCTCGTGCAATTCTACTCTACAAATCAGTGACGCATCCCAAGCTCGCGTCCGACACATTCCGCACAAATTTAAGCAAATGGCCAGACTTGGGTCTGAGCTCCCTAGGCTTCCACTCCTTCCTTCTCTTCTCCATCTCTTCCTCTGACACATTGTCCAGCTGCATGATGTTGCTCTCCGCATCGATTGAAATCACATCACCATCTTGCACCAGTGCGATGGGGCCTCCTACTTGCGCTTCAGGCACAACGTGTCCAATCACGAAGCCATGAGAGCTGCAGACCCGAAGGTGGGAAGGTGCGTCAGCGGTTTGCACACCCAATTTCTGGCGACCACACCAATGTCGCTACTCACCCTCCGCTGAATCGACCGTCGGTAAGGATGGCGACGTCCATGCCGAGACCCGCCCCCATGATAAGGCTCGTTGGCTTGAGCATTTCTGGCATGCCTGGTCCACCCTTGGGTCCCTTGTAGCGCAGCACGATGACCGTCTTTTCCCCATTTTTGATGCTTTTGTTCTCCACCGCCGCGACCATGTCGTCTTCCGTGTCGAAACACCTAGCTTTGCCTGTAAATCTGAGACCTTCCTTGCCGGTGATCTTGGCAACAGCTCCTCCGGGCGCAAGGTTGCCCTTCAGGATGCGAATGTGGCCCGTGGGCTTGAGAGGAGCAGAGAGGGGACGAAGAACATCCTGGCCCGCGGGAAGCTTGCCCTTCTCGTGTGTCCACCGGTCCACGTTTTCAGCGAGTGTGCGGCCAGTCACCGTCATGTGCTCTCCCTTCATCAACTTGTTCTCAATCAAGTACTGGATGATGGCTGGACGCAGAGACCTAGCATGAGGGTGAGAGGCCCCCGGCATCTGAAAAGACGTTCCCACTCACTAGGGATGCCACCAAGCACCTTGTGCACGTCCTCCATCACGTACTTGCCGCTAGGCTTGAGATCGGCCAGGAATGGTGTTCTCTCTCCGATTCTGTGGAAGTCATCGATGCTCAGATCAACGCCAACGCTGTGCGCAATGGCCAGAAGATGCAAAACAACGTTGGTGCTTCCGCCAAGCACCATAGTGAGGACCTGCAAAGCGCAGGGTTATGGACCAAGTCCTTCAATTCAGCACCGCTGTGAGGGGATCTAGCATCGTCACTGCAGACTCACGATAGCGTCCTCAAGCGCGCTGCGGGTCATGATGTCCCTGGGCTTGATGTCTTTTTCCAGCAGATTTCTCATAGCTGCGCCCACGCTTTCGCATTCCTGGATCTTCTCTGGGTATTCGGCAGGAAAAGACGAGCTACCGGGCAGCGTCATTCCCATTGCCTCAGCACAAGATGCGATCGTGTTGGCAGCTGCTCAAAAGCACCCGAGACAGAAACGCAAGAGGAAGGGTGAGCATGTTTGGCAGGTCTCGGCGCAGCTCACGCGCGTGCGAAGCTCACTGTACATGCCTCCACAAGCTCCAGGACCAGGGCAGGCGTGTCGAATTGTGTCGTAGCGCTTCTTCTCGGCATCGGCAGTTCCACCCTCGCTAAGGTATTTACCGTAAGACTGGAAGGCACTGACGATGTCCAGGGTACCCTCCACCGAGCTGCATGCGCCCGGCCGAATGGTACCGCCGTACACCATCAGACCAGGCCTGTTCAGTCTGCCCAGCGCCATCAACACACCGGGCATGTTCTGATGCGTGCCCCTATCAGTCAGCTCTGAGGAAGCGGAGGCGCGACAACAATCTGTCTGTTACGCACCTTATCGCAGCCCGGAACAACGACGCAGCCATCGAGCCAGTGGCCTCCCGCAGCCGATTCGACCGAGTCCGCGATGAGATCTCTGGAGGGCAAAGAGTAGCTCATGGCGTCCGTTCCCATCGAGATACCATCACTAACACCGACGGTGCCGAATTGGTAGCCGGTCAAGCCAGCGTCGTGTATGCTCTGTTTGATCCTCTGGCCCACTTGCAGCAAATGAGCATTGCAAGGGTTTCCCTCGTACCAGACGGAAGCCACACCGACCATGGCTCGAGTCAAATCTTCATCGTTTGAGATGCCCGGAGTGGCATATAGCATAGCCTGAGATGCACCTTGATCCTTGGGTCGAGTGATGATGCGCGAAAGACGATTCAGATCTCCAGGGGGTGGTCGCGCTGAACCAGAGGCCATCCGGATTGAGCTGGGTGCAACTGCGAAGCTGGCGCGAGCTGCAGCTGCTCGTCGCTGCAGCAGATTTTTGATCATGCTGTATACTGAAGATGGCAAAGTGATGTTCCGAGTCCGATTAGAGGATATGAGGGGACACTTTTTCCCGAGACGCCTTCGTAGTTAGCAGCTGCGACACGCGAAGAAGTCGCTTTAATCGCGCAACCGGATCGTGCATCGTGCAATCAGAATCATGACTCGCGCTCGCGAAAAAAAGCCGCGCCTCGCGCTACAACTCGCACCGCGCCGCCCGCTGGTTTTTTTTTACCTTCTCGGCCGCAAGGCGCGCGCGCGCCCTGACGCCGTTCCACTGTGACTTCTCGCGCATCAAAAAGCGCGCGCTCTGATTGGCTTGCAAGGAGGAACCAAGCCTCAGCTCTGGCATGCATCCTCATCATTGGCAGCACTCTGAACGTTGAGCCTTGCGTGCACTCCTGCTTGGTCATACACTGAGGTGTACCTCATTCAAGTCGACGTCGGACACGCGAAGTCAGGCTCCTACCCAGATGACGGCCGTGCGGGTCAGATACGAGCGGTGAGCTTTGCGGTTTGTGCTGTAGAGCTAGTCTATACGGATATGATTGCTGTCCAATATCGCTATCAATCGATCGAGCGTGATATCGCTGCACGGAAAGCATTTTCGAGCCAAAGCATTCACAGGAAAGTGATGGGCAGGTACTTTTCATAAGCTTGCGCTACTCGCCAACATGCACACATCAAAGAAGGTGGGGCTCGAGAATCCGCAGACCGCCGTCGAGTCGCATTAGCTTTTCAAAGACTTGCGCAGCCGAGGAGGGATCCAAGCCTGCTTTTCCTGCGATTTACCAGCCACCGCCGCTCTTCTCGACAGGGATCTTACGCCTGGCGTCTCTGCTTGCCGAGTTCTCCTTGGCCGATGGCCCAATGGGATCGAAAGAGACACCATTCTCCACCTCTCTGACAATGTTGCCGAATGCAGTCTCCATTCTAGCGTCCTTGAGGGCGGCGCACACATCCATAAAGTCCTCGAAGTGCAGCGTTCCAGTCTTTGCAAAGTCGACTTCGCCAAGAATACCGGTAATCGTTTCCGCCGAAACGTTCTTGTAGCCGAGACGAGAGAGCACCTCCTTCAGGTCACGACCGTCGACTTGGCCATCCGCGTTGACATCTGCGAAAGGCCAAGGGAAAACCGATTAGCCGCGGCAGGGATGTAGTCTGCTGCAACACACTGCGACTCACCAAGCTGAGAGAAACGTTTCCTCAATTCGGTCAGCTCCTCGCTTGAGAAACTCGCGCGAGAGACCGACGTCGCCTCAGCATCCCGAGGGTCCAGCGCCGCGACGCTAAGGTTGCTGATGCTGGCCGCCGTCTTTCCCTCCCAGATCTTGCGCATGTCGTTCAAGCTGATAGCCTTCAGCTGCTCGACCCTAGCAGGCTGAATGCCCATGGAGCCCAAAAAGTCTAGAGATTCGGCATATTCCGCCTCTTTGCGCTTGTTGTCCCAGTTGAGCTCCTCAGCCATCAAGTCGATGATGCGAGGCAAGGCTTGTGCTGTCGCTTCCGCATTCAGGAACGACAATCTCGAGCGACGAGCGATAAAGTCGGCGGCCTTTGCGGCGTACTCGGATCGGCAGGCGTAGCGCACCTCTGCCTCGATGTAGGGATAGAGGCTGTCCAAGCGCTTGCCATGCACGGGCCAGCGTCTGCCTGTGGGCTCGGCAATGCTGCAAACGCTCCACGCTCTGTCTCCGTATGTTGCGGAGAGGTGCTTCGCAACATCCGTCTCGAGGCCGAATCGCTGCAGGAGCTTGACGTACATAGTCTTGCTCCAGCCGTGAGATCCCAAAAGCCTCGTCTCCTTGGTCACGCAGCCGCGCACAGGTTGCAGCGTGAAAGTCTCAATGGCCTTGTCCACCGTCTGCTCGGCCATTTCTCTGTAAGTGGTCCACTTCCCTCCAGCAATGGTCAGCAAGCCGCTCGCGCTGACGTTGATCATGTGGTTTCGCACAAGACTTTGAGTGTCCTTCGCCGCAGGATCTTTGACCAATGGACGAAGACCGCTCCAGGCACTCAGAACGTCTCCGCGGCGAACCTTGATGTCAGGGCTGAGGTAGTTCCGCACCTCGTCCAGGATCCATTGAATCTCCTCTTCCTTGGGCTGAGGGTGTGCTTCAACAGGAGCCGCCGTGTCCGTAGTTCCAGCGATCGTATTGCCTTGCCAGGGCAGGAAGAAGATGACTCGACCATCGCTAGTCTGAGGGTCGATGAGACCCATGTCACGCGGAGAGAAGTAGCCAGGTAGGGTGATATGAACGCCGGATGAGGGCGCTACAATCTCTTGCGTGGTGGGCTCGTCCATCTTGCGAAGAGCATCGCTGAATGGACCGGTGGCGTTGATCACACCCTAGGTGTTGCGAACGCACAGGAGAGCATTAATTGCCGCAGACCAATCTAGTCGCTCGACTCAGCTACTCACCTTGCACTTGACATCCCACTCATCTCCGGTGAGAAGATCACGCATGCGAGCGCCGCACACTTGGTCAGGCTTGCCTTGCACTTGCTTCTTGTGCAGCGCTACCACTTCAGTATGGTTCGCTACGACGGCGCCATGATGAATGGCAGTGAGAGCCAGAGCCACGTTCATGCGGGTGTCATTGTGCTGCCCATCGTAATAGACAACTGCGCCTGCAAGACCGGTGGCCTTGAGCATTGGGAAAGCTTCCAACGCTTTGCCCTTGCCAAGGACGTAGGAAGACTCCATGTTCTCTGATCCAGCAAGAACGTCGTACATCTTTGTGCCTGCCCAGTAGTAAGGAATTTGCCACCAGCTGCGGGGAACAGCGAGACAAGATGTGAGCAGAGTGCGTCGCAGGCCTGAGTAGCAATGGCAAGCGCTCAACAAGCAGCGTCGCTACTCACCGGTATACTGGCAGCATGATGGGCAGGTGCTCGGAGAGGTAAGGAGCAATGTGCAGGAAAGTCTTGCGCTCGTGCAGCGCTTCCTTGACCATCTTGTACTGATCGTAGTCGAGCTCAAAGACAGCCTTTTGCAAGTAGCGCACACCTCCGTGAATCAGCTTGGTGCTCTTGGAAGACGTGCCTGAGGGCGAGCGCGCATTGGATGAGAGGCGGGTCAGCTTTCGGTACTCGCTGTATCCAAGTGAATGAGGCGCAGCTCACTCACCTGCGCCAAAGTCATCACGCTCCACCAGAGCAACACTGAGACCACGTGTGGCGGCATCGACGGCGACACCAGCTCCAGTGGCACCACCGCCGACGATGAGAAGGTCGAAGCCATCTCCATCCTCGTCACCGACTCTGCCAGGTGCCAAGCCTTTGCTGTCTTCGCTGCTGGCAGGACTGGGGGCAGAGCTCTTGGCCTCCGCAGCTTTGACTCCGAGCGAGCTATTGTCAGAGGCGATGCGGTCAGTCTGAGGTCGAAGACTAGCAGCTGAAGATGCTTTGAGAGCTGCGATCATCTGGGCTCTGGTTGGCGGAACCCAGAGCGGGTGGGGTCTGACATCTCCTTGAACTCCCTTTTGGTCAGCATAAATGCTGCTGCCGAAGCCCGAAAGGGTGAAGCCGGTAGCCAGGACGGCTGCTCCCCCGGCGATGTAGAGCGCTCGCCTCGAGTTGTTCCCTGCAACTCCGTTGGATGAGCCAGAAGCGCCAGCGGAGGAGCTGGAGAAGCGCACTCCGCTGGAGCGCGGCAGGGTTTGCAGTGGACGGCGAAGCATGATGTCTCTGATAATCACTGATCAGAACAGCAAGACTTCCAGTCGTGAGAAGTGATTGGGTGAGATGGTGGTGCAAAGGCGAACAGGGCAGGCTTATCTTGGAAGAAAGCGATGTCGAGCAGCGCGGCGGAATGGAAACAGACTCTTGGCGCCCAGTGACGCAGCAGGTCAGGGTGCAAGCAAAGATGCAGCCACAGAAAGTCGCGAGGACGGCTGCAGTGCCGTCCGTGTACCGGGACCGGGTACTGTATCAACTCGACAAGCGTGAGTGAATCTTTGTGTGAACGTGTTCTACTAGCCGACACGCTTTTGACACTGCCGGGCTATTGGAAGAGGGGCGGAGCACTTCAATCGCCATTCACCACTCAGATTGGCCAACAACCCTTGCAGCGCTTTCTACACACACGGCTGTGGACACGACCCCGGACGTGCAGAGAACTTTCAACACACCGGTCAGGGAAACAAGCTCGAGCTGCTGGCGGCGAATCCGGACACAAAGCGCGCATACATGCTGCGCCCACCGAGAATGAGGATGGCACATCACTCAGAGTGAAATCATGAATCTGAATGCAATCAATCAGAAGCGTGAAAGAGTAGAGTAGTCGGCTCGCTGCTGTACCGTACCGTACAGTGTTCATGACGCGGCTTGGACTTGGACTCGAATGACACAGACGCTATCCAAGCATTCGCAATCACAGTCAAAAAGTGCGAGTGTGAGTGGAGATAATGTGCAGAGCTATAGCCTGTGCGAAGGACGATTCATGATCAAGCCATCGGATTCACGGGTGCGGCAGATGTCGGAGCGACAAGCGCAGGTCACTGATGACTCAAGACTCATCAGACTCGCAGATCGAGCTCGCGCTCAGGCTACGATCGTCGTCGTCGGATGACTGCAGCGCATGCATGCGTGCACGCCCGCACGCCGCGCGTCGCAGCAATTAAAAGCGACTTTACCCGGCTCCATTCAAAGATTTACGAGTCTTGATTCTGATTCACAGACTCGTGACTCGCGACTCGCGACTCTTGACTCATGGTGACTCCAAGACCAAACTTAAGACACGGAATCTTGTGCGCTTCCCTGTCCGCTGTTGTGAAGCCCCTTTCCCATGCCGTGACCACCAGGAACTCTCGCTGCTCCGCTCAAAAGTCCTTGCGAGGATACTCTTGAATCAAAACTCACAATCACTGAATCGTCAATGCTGATCCCTGTCTTTTGACTTCCCTACCACTCAAGATTCGTGATTCCTTTGCCGTCCCTTTTTCGCACGCGCGAGCAAGGTCGCAATCACGAATCGTGAATGGCGCGCTCTGGCGCCTGCAGCGTGCCGTCATGTTTGCGGCTGAACTCTGTGCAAAGGCCGACGAAGATTTGAGAAGCGGCTCGGGCGGGTGCATGGCATCGCATCACTCACGTGCATGCCGCAAGACCGTCCGTCTGCAGTGTGAGCCCGCGTGCCGGCCTCTGCTCGGTGTGTCTACAGCATGCATAGCCTTGACTTTGGCCAAGACTTGGTCAGCGCGCCGCGCGGGCCTGTATGTGCCGGTCTCTCGGCCGAATGACAATAAAATACACGTGACTCGCGTATCACGCACGAACGTTAACGTTGACTTTTTTGGCCGCGCATCTTTGGGAGTCGCTGCTGCATGCTGCATGCTGAGCACCACCTCTGTGCGCCGCGTACGACAGCGATTGGAGACAGATGTCCGAGGCCATTCGAGTCACCCTAAGCCTCTTCATCTTCATGACCATCATACCAAGTCACCAAGAGCGCAGCATATTTGGCGACCTGCTGCACTTGAGGCTACCATCAGGCCACCGATTCGCTAGATTTAAAAATAGTTCGAAGCAAACATAGCACCCAGCATACAACCGTTCCCCTCAGGCGCTATGGTCGACGTCGCCACCCCAACTAGCAATGCCGCCCAAGCCGCCGCGCCCATGTGGACATGTCTTTCATGCTCCATTGGATTTCCCTCTCCCGATGCACAAAGAGAGCATTACCGGAGTGATCTACATCGCTATAACATGAAGAGGAGAGTTGCTGGTTTGCCCCATGTCAGGCCCGATGTCTTCAGGGAGAAAGTAGAGGAGATCAACGCTGCTGGTGCAGAGCCGGTCAAAGAGGCAGGCAAATGCCAAGCGTGCGCGTGAGTATGTGGATCTCCTCGTCTGCGTGCGCATGCCCTCGCTCTCGTGTCGCATCAGTGCTTTGGTTCACTGAAGCTGACGATGACCTGCTTCCCCTGCACTTGCCAAACAGCAAATCCTTCTCCACCGCAAATGCATTCCGCACACACGTCAACTCCCGCAAGCACAAAGAGAACGAAGCCTTACTCGCGCGAGCGCGGTCCGGTTCCTCCAAAGTGACCCCCTCCATCTTGCACTCAACTGCCGCCGAAAGTGAGAGCGCAGCGGAACCGGCAGCAGCTCCAGGAGACGTTGCGCTTGCCGGGGAGGGCTTGGAAGACGTTAGTGATCTGCAGGAAGCCCTCGCTGCTGCCAGCACCAATGCTGCAGCTTCCGCAGCCATCCTGAATGGCACGCTGGAAGTGCCTGCGGACGCTACAGAAGCAGAGATCGAAGCTGCGATCGACCTGCGCATCGCTTCCTCCAAGCGCGTAGATCCTTCAAAGGCGTGCATGTTTTGTCTAAAAGCCGGCTTCAGATCGCTCGACGATACGCTGGAACATTTGCGCAGCCACCACAGCTTCTTCGTGCCGGACCAAGAGTATTTGACGGATCTGGCAGGGCTCATGGTCTATCTAGCAGACAAGGTTAGCGTTGGGCATCTTTGTCTTTTCTGCAATGGAAGAGGGAGAGGTTTCAACAGCGCAGAAGCGGCGAGATCTCACATGTTGGACAAGGGTCATTGCAAAATTGCATACGACTCAGACGAAGATATGCTGGAGCTGAGCGACTTTTACGACTTCTCCTCGAGCTATCCAGAAGCAGAGTGGGAGGACGTGGAGGGCACAGTTGATGGAGGTAGTGACGAAGAGGAAGACGTGGATACCGAGACCGAGACGGACGATGCCACTGATGCAGGCACAGTGGCCACGACATCCAGCAAACGAGTCAGACCCGACGCGCAAGGAGTACGGTTTGGTGACAACGAGATGGAGTTGGTGCTGCCTTCGGGTGCCAGGCTGGGCCATCGAGCTCTCAGACACGTCTATGACCAGAGATTGAGGCCGGCCGGTCGAGATGTAGATTCCGCCACGCACGGCTCAGCATTGGCCCATCGACTCGCGAATCGAGCAATTGCAGCTCGCAAGACGGAGCAGCAGGACGCGTCCGGATTGAGTCTCGCACAGCGCGGTGGGAATGTGGTCAAAGCCAAAGACAGGGGCCAGGCAAAGGAAGCCAAGAGGCATATTAAGGAATTCAGGGATGTTCAGCGCCGAGAGCAATTCAAGACTAGAGTGGGCTTCAGAGCGAACAACCAGGCCCACTTTAGGGACCCCCTGCTCCAATGATCGGTCGTTCGCAGCTCCTTCATCCAGTCCCGCTCTTTCCCCCACTGTTCTCATCCTGACTTGCCTCGATACACATCCCGTTCGTGACGCCTGCACGCTGCCAATTCATGACACATAAAGAGCCGAGCCAACATCAAATTGCGCGCGTGCATCACCAGAGCAAGTAAGACAAAACGAAGAAGCGTGAGGGGGTTAGTGATGATACAGAACGTCAAAGAGGTGACCGTACAAAGCGGACTGTGCGCGATGGATCGTCAAGCGTACGCAATCTGAAAGCCTTATTGAAGCAGACCTGCGAGAAAGATGGTCGAGTGGATGGAATCACAAACATTGCAGCGGCTTTACGCAGCATGGGACTGCTCCAGGCGCTTGGACAACTCGCTTTGGTCCCGAGCTGCTTGTCTGAGCGCGGTGTCGTCGTCATCGCCATCGTCGTCGTCATCAACCACATGTTGAGGCGCTTCAGATCTGGGTCCCGTCACGCCGGTGTGCCACGTGCTAGTCGAGGTGCGTGGCAGCGTCTCGGCACCAGGTGTGGCCGGGATGGGCGAGTCAGTCGAGAGAGGATGATCGGCCAATGACACGGAAGACTCTGCGGCCATGGCGTCGCGCCCATCGTTCAACGGTCGCTCCGCAGTCGATGTGGACGGTCTGCTGTTCAACAATGGGTCCACAGTCCGAGAGGAATGTCGACGCCCGTTCGCTTCCGCAAGCCCGAATGACGGCCGCGCTGCTTGCTCGTACATGAAGCCGTTCGGACCGACATCTGTGGAGGCCGTGCTGGGCCTGGGCTGATGCGCGCGTACGAGAATGTCGTCAAGCGGTGGACGGCCAGAAGACAAGTCGGCTTCAGGTGGGCCAGTAACATTGGCATCGATAGATGTGTTTGCCAAGCTAATACGAGCATCGTCGCCTGTTGGAGCAGCACTAGCTCGGTTTGCTGCGTTGGTGTCCTCAGCCTGCTTGGCAGCTTCAGCTGCCCTCTTTGCAGCCTCCGCTCGCTCCTTGCTCTCCTGAGCGGCTCGAGCGCGCCGAATAAGGTCCAAAAGGTCCTTGCGATGCGGGTGATCAAGCTCGGAGGCTGGCGTCTGCAAGTACTGGTGGCCAAAGCTAAGCGGTGCGCCTGAAGCTTGGGGAGCGGAAGGACCAATCCTCGAATAGACAGGAACAGAAGTAGTGCCAAATACGAGCTCGGGCAACTCTTCCTCCTCATCATCGTGCAGAGCCTCGTCTGCTTTGTCGGTCGCTCCACGCACCAACTCAACCTCAGCCTCGGCTTGGTCTGCAGCGTCAGGCGGCAGCTCGCCGAAGAACGCCTCCCTGCGCGCCTCGCGCACACTTTTACGTGTCGCGACAGAGCTAATGCTCGGTGCGCGGTGCAAAGCCCTCGTTTTGCCCTTCTCTTCGCCATTGCGCTCGTCTTCCTCAGTCTCGTTGACAGGATGGGTAGCGCCTAGGGTGGCTGTCTTGAAAGTGGCCTGCGATGCTGGCGATCGCAGTGGGAGCGCAGCGCTACGCATACCGCGATGGGGAAAGACCGTCTGCGGAGAGGGCATAGCAATCAAGACAGTCACGTTGACGTTGATGGGAATGCGGTCATCCGGCGCTTTATCATCTGACGCAGATGCAGTGTCGCCCGGCAACTCTCCTGTTCCGCTTCCAACAGCTTCGTCGGCAGTAGTACGACGGAAAAGTCCTAGTCGTCTGCCTAAGCCTTGAGGCGCTGGCTGGCTTTGTGCTGCGGCGTCCTGAGCGGCAGGCGTCTGGGGGCCAGCAGGCTTCTCTCCATGCGTGAGAGAGGTACAGATATTGGTGGGTAGCGCCGCAGAGATAGGCATGAGAGCGTCCCATCCATGACTCTTGTCACCTCCAGCGGTGAGGCTGCCAGACGCTGCGCCGCGCCCGGCGGCTCCGTCTCGTACATCGACGATGCTAGCCTCCCAAAGCTTTGGCGGGACGAGAGTGTCTTCTGGTACTCCGAGTGCACCGCCAAAGTAACGCTCCATTGGACCGCCTTCCGGCAGGAGACCTAGCCTTCTAAGCCGTCGATTGCGCACGAAGATACGAAGCAAAACGAAAGCGACCACGAGAACGAAGAGCGCGATGGCTGATGGCAAAGCGGAAAGACACGAGACCATGTCAGCGCCGATCTGCAACGCAACACAGCGGATAGGGCCGGCAATGTGCAGCGTACAGGCGGGTCACGCAGCTGCGCACCTGACACGCCAAAAATAAGGAACGGGGTGGGCACAGAACTGCCATCGCCAAACAGCGTTGTGCTTCCGCTGACCTGTCTTTTTTGCACAGGCGGCCCATCGCGCGAGGCTGTCCAGGTGCCCATCCGCCGCAGGACACAAAATCGGCAAGGCAGCTCACCGATGACAAATGTCTAGGGTCCAAGATGGGCAAGAAAGCACAAGTCAGTCCAAATGTGGTCCATTCCGTAAACGCGTGGGGAGACGTGAAACTCACGAAGACCGAAAGAGGCGTGGTGCGCTGTCCGTCGTTGTTGAAAGGATTTTGAGAGTTCGAAGGAGGCGGTGGAGGCGGTGGATTGCTCGCGCTTTGCCGTTTTTGAAGCACATGCGTTGGGGGTGTGGCCTGAAAAGGATCGTTGTTGCCTTCTACACTCCGAGAAAACGAGTCAGTTGGCAGCACGACAAAAGGATTGCGTGCACGATACGCGTCTTCGATCGCTCGCACCCAGTCGGTGGGTTCGTGACCTCCGGTGCATTGCTTCCACTCGCCGCCGTCCCTGACGCAGATGGTGTTGCCATCAATCTGCAGGGTCGCCGAATTGCTGCAAGTGCAGGGAATGATCAGGTCAGGCTGCTGCGATTTCGACTTTTAAAGCAAAACCAGTAGAGTTCTCACTCACACGATGTCAGATTTGTGAGCATCTTGGAGACTCTTGGCGAGAAGCTTGCGACCCAGCTGTCCTTTGGCGCAGCGCTTGATACCATCTTCCTCCCATCGTGGGCCATGAACGGCAGATAGGCAGTTGCGTGCAGCATCCTCCTTTCCAATATCTGCAATGCCGCCGTAATTTAGGCACTCGATGAAGTCCCACGTGGTTCGCTGCGCTTCAACAGATGAAATCTTCTTGTTTGATCTGAGATGATCGTTGACGCACAACTCGTGCACATTGCCAGCGCATTCAATGTCGCCGTGTTTGCAAGAAGCACCGTACGGTGCAGAATGATTTTGAGTGCCGATGTATGCGTAATGAAGGTCGATCAGCGACCACACTTTGGGCAAGGCGCGGGAGAATTGAGCAGCGAACGAGATGAAGTCCGGACATCTCGACATCAGGCCTATCTTGACGGGTACAAGAGAAGGCGAGGAGGCCTGCTCTGCAAGAGTCGACGCTGTCGTGCCACCGAATATGAGTTGGTTGGCGTCCTGCGCAAGCGTCTCCGTCGCCGCTAAGCTGCACAATGCTATCGCAGCGATGTGCGCCAGACCGCTCGTTGCTCGCATGCTGGCGATGGTTCGTATGTATGTCGTAAGCCTCAGCCAGTCGATCTACAACCGGCGCAGCTCTCGAAGTCGTTTCGGGACCTACGTGAGCGGCCCGTGGTGGCACGGTGGCACTGCTAGGAAGCGATGGGGCAATGCATTCACTCGATGCACAACGGCTGAAAGTGAGAGACCTCAGAGACTTCGCCACCTCAAGGACGTTGTTTGGGGAGACATGCGCGATGCTGGTGTTGAACGTCGAGCGAGATCATAAGACGGCTTTTGACTCAAGACTCGATCGTGACTACACGAGCTCAAGACTTGTACCGCGTGCTGTGGCTTGACGATGTCGCTCGGCAGCGCCGCCCACGCACGCGCGTGTCGAGATGACCTGATATCACGCCATGCTGACGCGCGTAAAGCTCTGGTAGACTTGACAATAACACGTGACTCAATATCGGATCTAGAGCATTCTGATGCAACATCTCGCGCAGGCATGGCTCACGTAATCGTTTTGAGGGTATGAGATCTTATCTCGCGATCTCCGTCGTTTGCCGATGCCCGACGCAGCCCGAGGGCGCCGAGGTGTCAAAAAAAGGCTTTGGTAGCGTGGACTAAGTTTGCCTGCCATGCACACATCTAAGCAATTTTTGGTCAAGAATCCGGGCGCTCTCCTGGGCCGCAGGTTGTTGTGTTGCTGAGCTATGGCAAGGTCAGAACGGCTCTAGTTAGCTGCCTTGAGCAGGTTTTCATCCGTGTCAAGACGCAGCGTGGCCGGGACTGAGTGATCGAGTAGGAATTGGACACTGTCCTTGGTCGTCGGGTCTCGCGCGTGCCTGCCTTGGTAAGGGGCTGCGGTCGGAGGGCTTGCAGCGCTGCTGCGCGCATGCCAGGCAGGGTCCCAGAGTCAAGAGTCAGAGTGTGAAAACTTCGGACGGCGGCCGGGCTCTGAAGCAGCTGCACAGACGCCGGCGATCGATAGAGAGATACCGCACAACACGCATATCGAACGTGACAGAAGGGCGGTCGCTCCATCAGCAGTCAAGAGTCTGCTGAGTCGCACTCAAGACTCGCCTTGCGGCGTCCCCATCTCTGCGCCTCGTCTTCAGCAAGTGGGTGCAAGACCGCGCACCATCCCAGTCCCAGTCCCAGTCCCAGTCCCAGTCCCAGCAGCATCAGCCCCGGCCCCGGCCCCGGCCGGTGCGAAACTTGCTCAATCGCACCCTCTCGGCAAACGGATGGGGCCGATGTGGCACTCTGACTCTGACTCTGACTCTGACTCTGACTTGTCCTGCGTGCCGCATAAGGTGCGTTCGCCGTGCAGACAAGCCAACAGCAGCAGCAGCTACGCTCTTGACTCGTGACGCCCCATGAAGGACGTGAAACGGTGGATGCATGCATGCTGGCTCACAAATCACAAATCCGCAAGCACCTCATTGGTCGACCCACCCGCCTGCCGCCGTACAAAGCTCTTGCCTCGTCTCGTGATTCGGCTTTCCATTTCAGAAAATGCGCCAAATTCGTGAATGTGAATGACGAGCTTGATTTGATTCCCCGCGGATGCATGTCTGTCTGCCACTTCCCCGCCCTGCCAAATGATTGCGAGGTCTCAAAAGTCGATTCGACCACAGCTATTTTGAATCGTGAATAGGAAGCCCTGCAGCTCTTGTAGCGTGACCGTATATTGATTCATGCTTCACAGTCACGAATCTTGACTCAACTTGCAACTCTGCTCAGCATCCTACTTCCCCGTCACGCCCATCACCCTCACCCTCAAGCGCCTGCGACTCACCCCACCTCATTCGCCACGATGTCAGCTCAAGTCATTCACCCATCCAAGCTGAAGAGTCCTTACACCCAGGAGCAAGTAGCTGGTGAGTGTGATCCCCCAGTGCAATGTGGCGCAGAGCGACCTGTCTAGTGGCGACCCGAGCTCACCATCTCTCCGACACGTTCCTCGTTACTGCTATGCAGCTGTCAAGAAGGATGTCGAGGCCATCTTGAAGAACAAGGACTACGACGATGGCTCCATCGGACCTGTCCTCGTCCGTCTGGCTTGGCACTCGTCGTGAGTACAGCGTTGAAGTCTTTTGAGTTCTGGCTTGCAGGCGGACTCGCAGAGCTTCAGCTTCGTGAGCCGAGAAGGAGGATGTGGACGCGCCATGTGGTAATGCTCGGGGCGCGCAAGCATAGTCATTCATGTCCATCACGCCGTGGCGACAGCATCAATTCTTCGCGCTCGGAGGGCTGCAGTCGCCAGCACAAGCTGATCTTCTTTTGCATCACTTCCTTGTGACAGAGGTACATACTGCGCAGAGACCAAGACCGGCGGAAGCAATGGCGCGGGCATGAGGTACGAGAAGGAGGGAGGAGACCCGGCGAATGCAGGCTTGCAGCACGCGCGCGTTTTCCTAGAGCCCATCAAGGAGAAGCACAGCTGGATCACCTACGCGGATCTGTGGACCTTGGCCGGAGTCGTGGCCATCAAGGCGATGGGGGGACCCGAAATCGAGTGGTACCCAGGACGCACCGACTTTGTCGATGATGCTCGCGTTCCTCCTCGTGGCAGACTGCCAGATGCGGCTCAAGCTCAAGATCATCTGCGGGCCATCTTCTACAGAATGGGCTTCAACGACCAGGAAATCGTCGCGCTTTCTGGAGCGCACAATCTCGGCAGGTGTCACGCTGACAGATCCGGATTCGAAGGTCCTTGGGTCAACAACCCCACTCGTTTTAGCAACCAGTACTTTAAGTTGCTGATCAAGCTCAAGTGGGAGAAGAAGCATCTGGGAAGAGAGGCGCAGGGAGCTCACTGGCAGTGGATTGCTCGTCTGCCCCACATGGACGAGGAGGATGAGCCTCTGATGATGCTGCCCACAGACATGAGTCTCACTTTGGACGACAAGTTCAAACCTTGGGTCGAGAAGTACGCCGAGGACCAAGACTTGTTCTTCAAGGACTTCGCGGCCGTCTTTGGAAAGCTCATCGAGCTGGGAGTCACTAGAGACGAGTCTGGTCTTGCCAAGCACGATGGAAAGGCAGGAGAGTACAAGAGCGCTCCTAAGAAGAGCGACTCTCTCGAGGGCCCCAAGTCTAAGTTGTAGACGACTCGCAAAATCCGACAACTCGACAGACAACCTTTTTCGCACGCGCCTCGGACTCTTTCCACTTTTGCATCCTTCACAGCTTTCCCATGCCACTCCCTATTCTTCGAGGCCCGCTGTAGCACTGACAGGCAAGTCCTACTAAGTTCACCAACCTAGACGGAGTAGAGAAATAGATGCATTCAGCACGCACTTGCGCACAACTTGGCGCCTCCGAAGTTGCGCAAGCAAGGATTGCTTTGTGATCAAAACCCAAAAAGATGCAGCTGTGCTGGTTGAGGCAAGGGCGCGTGTGCTCGATTACGTGAGAATACAGCTACATTCCCCAACTAATGAGCGCGTCCTTGGTAGCCTCGTAGACGATGAAGAGCGTTGCATTGACGGGTATGGCTCTGCCGATTGGGACAAGAAGTCAGGGCCAATGCCTATGCTGTGAGATCAGCAAGAGTTGCGAGACCCACCGGAGAATTGTCGGACCTGCGCCTTTCCAAAAACCTCTCAATCCGCCCTCTTGATGTACGCATCGAGCTTGCGCCATGAAACCGCGCGATCGGTCATGCGCAACCGAACCCTCAGAATGTTGTTCGCCTCCACAAAGCCGCATTCTGTCTGCACTTGCCACGCCAGCATCTCCAGCTCGTGCTTGCAAGGGCAACTTGGACGCTTGTATTCTCGTCTTGACAGTGTCGGCCCAGAATGTTGACATCCACCCGACGATACCGGCGATGGCACCGGACAAGGCTAATTCCACGTTGCTCAAGCCTTCGAGCGCTGAGCCGTGCAGGGGTCGATCATGAGTCGTCAGGATCCAACGGTTGAGGTACTCGTATGTCTAAGAATGAAATCATGCCAAAAGCCATTGCGCCCAAATTTGGGTCAAAGACATGGCAGGCAGGTACGACGATGGCTGTCAAGGCGACACTCACGAAGAAGTAAGGGCCCTGAAAGGCACAATTTTGAGAGTCGGTTCTTAGCCTGGAAAGCTGGTAGAGGTCGTCCATTCTATCACTCACATAGCCTACCTGTGCGCGGACAGTTGAAAGCAGTCATGTGAGCCATCTGAAGTGTCAAGAGGTCGTGCAAGAACGGAACAGCCCTCACATCACGAATGCAGGTGGCCCCGAGACCTCTATATATCGCTCGCAGGCCACCTTCACTCCAAATCGCCTGAACGACCGACATAGTTGACGAAGGTCTCAAAGCATGTGAGGACGAGGACGCTTTGGGTGTGAAGTCAAGCTGCTCCCTGATCTTTACCAGTTCGATGGGGGAGGTGATGAGCCTGGAGCCACGAGAAAGACCAACCAGGTCAGCGCCGATGCAACGGGCGTTTCGGCCATCAGGAGTGTATCTCGAACGCCGGCGTGAGAAATGGACTCACGCTGAGATCACGCCACTTGCAGCGCCAGCAAGGAACACTTGAGCAAGGCTTGGTTCTGCCGGGTATCCCTCTGCATCGTCCCGATGGCCGAAAAGAGCGCTGGCTTGTAGACAGCGAATCGCGAGGCCGTACACCCCGAAGACAGAGGCATTCATCACGGCGACGCCAAGCTAGTGGGGAGAGCGTTTCGTCGAGGGTAGCTTAGTGGTCCAGTCAGCTGGATGGTCTTTGGCTCTTGGTCATCTCTCACCATCGGCGACGTGACACCTTTGTAAAGCCCAAATAGCTGAATGGACGAGCCGTGTGAGCGGAATTTTCTCATATGTCCGCCGTTTACTGGGGCAGACTTACCTTCTCGTCCTGCACAATGACCCGAAAGGCATGCGTCGCAGACCGGTACGTCCTCCTTGCAGACCCATCGTGCGCGCCCTCTTGAGGAAACGCAGGAGCCGCGTAGCTTGCCTGTGCTGCGGAGCTTTGAGTCTGCAGCCGGGTCTTGACAGTATCGCTGGTGTTTGGAGAGCAAGTTACGCAAATGCAATCGAGCACGACATGTCGTAAATCATGTCAGCTCGCAAGCGATGGGACGCAGACTGACACAGAGGCGTACGACGCACAAGGGATGACCAGCAAGTAAGGATCCAACGCCTGTACTCGAGAGGGCGATGTGAGACTTGCGCCAGGCCAACTGAGCAAGCATGAAAAGTGAACGAACCTCCTGCAGTGCCGGCAATGAAGTCGACAAGGGGCGAAGGGCCTGCGACTAGGGACGTGAAAGCAATCGCTGGGCGATGTGAGAATGCGGCCAGGGACTCAAATACGACATGTGCGCTGATAGCAAGAACAGGATCCTGCAACGCACCACTGCTCATCCTTGTAACATCGGCTCGAGCAATGAGGCGACTTTACGACTTCGTGACTGTGCGCAATCTCCTTCTCCGACACGCAATGAGGACCTGCGCTCCAACAACTCTGAACGAGCCTTCCGCTCCCGCACGGAATGCCTTTTAGCGACCTGATTTGACGCTGTTTGAACGCTACCTATCCTATCCACCCGCTTCACTTCGCCGCCTGAACCTGCCTTGCCCTATCGACCACTAGCACGTGCGAAGCTTCTTCTACGTGCCGCCTATTTTGATGGAATCAGAATGTGAATGTACCTTGTCCGGAGGCTGGCCATGCGTGTTTGCGTCAAGAGTGAGGATGGACAGCATAGATGCATCCCTGCTCTTGGATCACGATGGTGAACAGGCGCCAAGAGCGCGCCACACCTGTGACTTTTTGACGCGCGCGCACTAACGCTATAGCCGCGCAGGGGCACAAACCTCAAATCAAGCTTATATGTACAGGTATACGCGCGACACCCAAAGAAACGTGCAGCCGCTTTGACGCTGACCGTATTCGTATGATTGCCCTCCTATTCGTGATTGTAGACCTTTCCTTGCACGATCCGCTCTCACTCCCCAGTCAGCACAGCAGAGCAGGGCTCAGACGTGTTTAGTGCGACGCTTTCATTCGGCTTCCACTTCATCGATTCAGCATCTTCAAAGCTCTACCTCCCTGGAGGAATCGGATTGCAGGAGGATAAACCGCCTTCTGACCTTTCAGACGCTCCAAGTGGCACGTAGCACCCGAGCCCGGGACTGTCGGAGTGGATTTGGACATCAAAGAGCCGCACCTGCCACCTCACATGCATCCAGGAAAAGCTCAAACGGTGCCTCTCCTCGCATTCCTCTCTTACTTCAAATATGGAGGGCTCGGACACGGGAAATGATAGGGCTAGGGGTCAATCCTCTCTTGGCACTGCCCACTCCATTGAAACATCGATGGCACCCGCATCCGCATTTGCGCAACCTGCCTCAGCGGATGAGAGGGTCGTTTCTGAAACTGCGCTTGATCCCGTCGCAATAGCGCCGACAGACGACTCCCCGATTTCCGGGTCGACAGCAAACGCGAACGCAAGTTCTGGCCATCCAAAGGGGGTCGACGAGAGCATGCCCGGATGCATACAGGGTCTACAAAAATGCCGCATGGGCTTAGAGGAATGGTCAGATCATCTGGAGAGGAAGGAGATTCAAAGGCGTCAGCGTAGGAGGAGGGCGAGGAGAGGCAGCTTCGAGACCGGCTCCGTTTCAGACCTGGAACAAGGAAGGCTTCGTGATCAAGCTAGGAGTGTCACTGTCGAAGGCTCAAATCCTGTTCAGCAAGAAGCGCCAAATACCGGCAAGGCCACACTGCCGAGTGAGCCAGGATATGGAAGGACGGATCACATCGTTGTGAGGAAGGGCATGGTACCTATGGTCTTCATCATCATTGCTTGGGTCTACCTTGGTGAGCAGTTCAAGCTTCAACGCGTTCCACTTGGCTGCTGACATGTTTAAAAATTCTGCTTGCTCGCTCACAGTACACGTCTGGAGGCTGTGCGCTCCAGCCATTCGTCAGACCGATCAAGCATTGACAAGTCGAGCTACAGGAGGTGCGTTGCTCGCGCTGCAGGTCATGCGCACGGCGGTCTGACCACTGGATCCGACCTTGTGTCTTTCTAATCCAGGCGGCTTGCTTGCGGCACAGACGATTCTCATGCTAATGAGTGAGTCGAATGATCGTCTTGTGCAAGGCTTCCCCTCGTCTCACTTAGTCTGACACTTTACCGCCCCTCATCTCCCCCTGCAGCACTGTGGACTTACCTCAAAGCGATGCTCACACCGCCAGGCTACGTGAGAGATCATGTAGGTGTCTCGGACTGTCCTCCACCCGCCGCAGACGAGTATTACTACGATGCCCCGTGGGTGCCAACGCCCCAACCAGCGACCTATGGAGCGGAGCGAGCGGCAACAAATCCATCTGGCGATGACGACCCACACGACGGAGGTGCTTCTGCGCCCGGCGAAGAGGACATACCAGTCGATCCTAGCTTGCCCGCCATTGTGGGTCCGATGGCGGCGAGCGCTATCGCAGCCTCGCGCATAGAAGACCCAACAATGACAAAGCTCGAACATCCTGTTTCGCCACGCAATGCGCCAGTAGCACAAGCTCCAGCCGGCAATTCTTCGACGCTCCCACCTACAGGGCTGATTCCCCGGCCTGTACGCATGCCACCGGCAAGGCCCATTCTTGCGCCTGTCAATCGCTATTGCCATAGGTGTTGCAGGGTCAGGCCACCCAGAGCTCATCATTGCAGGAGGTGCGGAACATGCGTGCTGAAGATGGACCATCATTGTCCTTGGGTTGGAGGCTGCGGTGAGTGTCGGGTCTACGCAACGAGGTCTGCGGTGCCGTGATGCATTCGCAGACGGCTGAAAGGGTGCACGCCTTGCCCTGCGATCATTTGCAGTGGGCGCAAGAAACATCAAATTCTTTTACAGTGAGCACGCCCAGCACAAGGAGGTGACATCGTGCCGTCAAAGGGCAATCTGACTCCACATTCTGTCCTCTCTTGCGGCAGACTTCGTCACCTGGGTCACCATGTGGGAGATTTTCATGATCGTTAGCGGAGCTGTTCTGTTCTCGAGAGGTGTGGCAGGTCAAGACGTTACAGATTCACCCTATCGAGACTGGAGAGTGGACGGCTTTGTCATCAGCATGTTTGTTCTGTAAGTTCGCGTGTCCAGTCTGCGGGCAATACGACTGATTGTATTCAATCACTAGCTCTGACCTCTGTATGGCCCGCCTCAGCTGCGGCATGTTTTTCCTCTTCACCGGATCGCTTTTTGCAACGCACACATACATGTACACCATCAACAGCACAACTCTAGAACACATGGCATTTGAGAGGCACAAAGCGACAGAGGCGGCCTTGCTCGACGCCTACTTTTCCGATCGAGGTCAAGGTGGCAAAGGCTGGCACCTCAAGGAGAAGCACGAGATCAGGCAGGAATGGAATAGCCTGTGGGGGAGAGTAAAAAAGGAAGGCAACCTCTGGTGGCTTGATGGCGCATCACATGCTCATCAAAGTGATGCGAGCGGAGCGGAAAAGAAGCAGACGTTCAGCACAGCTGCGAGAGAAGCCTCTCCTGCATGGACAAACTTTAAGCAGGTCATAGGCGATGAGTGGTACGGCTGGCTTCGTGAGTTGCGAGTATGCTAGCACCGCACAGCTCTGTGGACGATTGAGCTAATGCACCACTCCACTGCCCACTTCCTTTCACTCGATGCCTCTGCCCTCAAAGTCCCGATCGGCAAATCTCCATCGGATGGGCGCGCCTTTCCTCAAAACCCCAGACACAGCGCTCTAGGGGTATGGAGACCTAGGCGCCTATGGCCCAATGATTGCAAATAGGGCGCTTCTTTGATGTGCCTAACAAATACCTGCAATTATGAATGTGTTCGGGCCAGCCAGCCAGCCTACGAAGAGCGAGGCACATATTCGCTGCCTCCGGCGCCATAGTCTCGCACACTGTTCTGGGCAAGAAGGCGAAATCGACGTAGCGCGTGACATCATGGTGACATTAAGTGAAGATGCAAGATGCTGAGACAAACAAGAGGTATGCTGAATTGAAGATCAGTGAGCAGACACCACTGACCACAAGAGGACGATCGGCTGGCTATCAGCCCCCCAAAGGTCGACCGCCTCTGTGCGGAACGTAATCCTTTCCGCCTTCGCCCCAGT